GACACACCGGAGCTTACCCCTTGATCGTTACCTTGCAAACAGTCTCACGCCCTCTCTCCCTACCAAGGTTCAATCAGATGTTTCTGCCGAGATCCCAAACCCGGCCACTGATGCGTCTCCTACGGCTCCAGGCCATAATAGGCGCCGTCAGTTGAAGAAACGGCCGCCTAGGCGACTGGACCTTGGTGCGCTCGATAGTCAAGGGTTTGACGCTCGAGATTCTGGCACTACCATGCCGGCAGATAGTGTTGTTCTGGAACTCTCGCGTTCCACAACCAGCACTAGCAACGGACTAAAGACTTTTCGGCGCACTTACACCGTTGACTTCGACATCACGCCTCTTTGCCCTGGCACATTCTTCCATGAATCTACGTTTGTAGGGAGTGGCCAGTTCTCGCGCTCTCTCAAGGTTGAATCGCGCAATATGGATGTGAAAACTGGTCTGTCTCGCATCAAATTGGGGGACCAGATTTTCCGGTGGGGTCCTTGGAACGACACGGTCTCTTCTGAACTCGGCCAAGTCTTTGACGTTATGATTGAAGAGATAGAGAAGGCCGCCTCTGAGATTGCAACAAGCATTGATCAAGGAACGGCCTCCCGCGACGCTTGTGCATTGTACAGGTCGTTGGTCCAGTATATCACAGAACACCTGGCATTTGAGGATCCAATTGATAGGCTGGGATTTGTCAAAAGAGTCCAGAGTCTCATTGCAAAGCTGAATGAGCAACTTACGGTATCGTTGAGTGACGAGCGCCAGAGGGACTATCTCACTCAGCTTGCGTCCTACAATCTTGTGTTTGCGAGCCAAGCGTTTCGAGTAGCTTGTCATCCTCTTGTTGATCGGAAGATTGCCCATGAGATCTCAGACATGGTCAAGTTTGCTGCCAGACGGGTTCTGGGCTTCATTGCAAGCCGAATGGCACAGATACAGATGCGCACGTTCCTTCAAGACAACAAATCTCCTACAAAGCGTGAAGCGGGCATCCAGGCGAATCAATCTGTCCTTGAGGCCTATGTGATTGTGCGACATGTGTTGCAGTCCATGGATGAACTCAAAGATTGCTTCGGTGAGTTGATTGCCGAAGCCTACTTGTCAGCTGGAGGGGATCCGAGTAACTCAAGAGATATCGATGGTTTCGAGAATGGATGGCAAAGCTTGTTCACTGCGTTGCCGCTCAACGAATTTGATTCCTGCGGGTTGGTCAGAATTGGAGCACGCTTCCGGGAAGCCCATGACAACTGGTTGATGGTGAAACGATTGCTCTCACCCGTTCTCGATAACTACGACACCAACGCTGAAACACAACCAATCTCATGCAATAATTACTGCAGAGCTCTTTTCCGAAGATGCTACCATCTGATCAATGGTTGGGGCTGGCGAGATTGCAGGCCTATAATGCAAGTCCTGTATGACTTCTTTGCGAAAAGGCATCTCTATGATTTGAAGCTCGAGGAGAGCTACAAGTCTCCTTCTTTTCTCGACGAGCTCGACCGCAACCCTTCCTTTGAAGTCCAGCCAGGTGACCCATCTTTTCATATCTTTTTGAAGATTCTGGCAACCGGGCTGCGATTTTTGCCACTGTCCTGTGACAAGAAACAGATCCGGAATTTCGCTTGGCGACTGCTACCAAATCACGATGGAAGGTATCCCAAGGAAAAGCCCATTTCTCAATCGGACTTGGATGCTGTGAGGAACCATCATGATCTTCTGTGTACTCTCTACTTTGCTGTTCCTGATGGGTGTCGGCCAAGACTGGAGATCATTAAGACCCTTGTTGACCCTGCCATTTCCCATCGTGAAACGTGCAACATCAGCATTCGGGCATGGAGCAGACTCGTGCGGTTCAAGTTGTCAACCGACGAGGACCTATCTGGACTCGAGCCATTTGCCGATTGGCATTGTTATTTCCTCAGCGAGTTCTTACGACAGCACTCCATCGCACGGAAGGAGATTGAAGCCCAGAACGCTATAGAAAGATTCTCTCATGAAGAGGTCGAGAAGACAATCTCTCAGAACCAAAGGCAAATTGAATCGTTGCTCACCATGGCTCTCGGCGGCCTACAGAGCGCTGTTCGTGCGGCTCCTACGCTGGAGCACGCGCGAGTCGTTGTATGCAAGGCGCCTATTCGAGCAATTCTGGGTCTTTTCAATCCCAGGGTGGCTCGCGTGAATGCTGTAGTTTCTGAGGCGCTACAGGTAATCATTGCTTACATTCAGAAGTGTAACGGGAACCCCGTCCCTGCGGCGAAGACTACCACAGTTCCGGTTGACGAAGACAGCCAAGAGTATGGGGACTGGACTGACATTGAAGCAATATACGGGGACGAAAGCCCTCCAGTAAGCAAAGGTGTTGAGCACGTGGAATCGGTTTTCCTTCCTGCAGTATCCCGTCTTGTGTCGAACTGTTTTGGCGAAGATTACTGTCCTGAAGATGCAATACTCCTGAATGTTGTTGATTGCTGGACTTCCATTGCCTCGGTTCTTGTGAAGCACGGGCTGAAACATTGGGATAATTATCTCGGCCATTACGATGGAGAGTCGTGGTCGTCGCTTCGATCGACTGTGCAGACAAGGAAGTTTACACCCCTCTTCCTTGCAAGCTGTATTGAGAAAGACCCAGAATGCCTGTCTGAGTGTAGGCATTTGATACTGAGCATGTGGCTGTCGAGCTTGGTGGAACGGGTATCGATGCTAAAATTCCAGCATCGTCTCACGGAGGCGCTATTAAACCTCGACACCACGGACCCGTTATTGCACAACTTACCGTTCTCGAAAGATCGGCAGAATGATCGGTATTCGATTTCGTTGGACGATCTCAGTCAACGAAGGCTGTCACTTCTCTCAAGTCTACTTTCGAACATGCGAGCACATGTGCAGGGTCTGGAAGATACAGAAAGTCGGGAGCTGTCACGCACGAGGCGGGACTACAGAGAACTGATTCAGCGGATGATGGCATCCATGAAGGCGAACTACCAGGAGCTGGGCAATGGAGGAGCCAGAGCACAAGGAGCTTACGTTGACTTTGTCCATCGGATCGTTGGGTTCCTGCAACAATACAGCAGGGATATCTGCCCTATTGATCCATTCTTCACTGATCCTACCTCTTTCCCACTCCCGTCGGCGGATCCAACCTACATTGTCGCCAGACTCAAGAGCTACGAACCGAAGCTGTGTTCCGAGAAGGTAGTGAAGACCTTGATTGTGTTTGTCCAGGGTGTATCGGAGAGAGCAGCCATCGATGGGCAGCAAGTGTATCTGGTTGACCAGCTCCATACGTCCATGGCAGATATCTACGAGACTGGAGACCCCTGTAAGCCTACTTTGCGTGCAGTCCTCCTACAATGCGTGTTTTCCGCCTATATCGAGTGCGCTTTCAGCAATCCTGCCGCATGGCTTCTCAGTCGACCGATTATACAGACGGTGTCTCTCGTCTTTAAGGACTTGCTCTTTTTCATGGATACCACGGATGTAATGTGTCGGTCTTCCGTCTTAGCTATTCTTGGTGCTGTCTTCCGGTCGTCCTACCAAGCCTTTCGGTATATCACGGGGAATCCCCTCATGCTTACCGATTCTACCGTGATCGCCACACTTGCTAGTCTTGTCGAAATGATTACCTCTGCGATCCAAGTTGTCGATTACATTGATCGAGCGACAGATATGGGAGGATGTGCCGTCTCACAGATCGGTGCTCTTCGTGAACTTGTTCTTTTTGTCACGTCTTCCCTTCGTGAACAGCCGCTGGCTAGCGAGGTATTGGACCGGGGACATTCATCCAGGGCCTTCGATAACGTTGACACTACGAACCATGCTGTCCCGTCGTTCTTCCATGATCTTCGCACTGCAGCAACACATGAACTGCAAGCCTATCTCAACGACAGCTGGTCTCAACATCAGGGAAAGTACTACTTTACCCGGCGTGGCGGTCACCAGCCACAGGAAGTCCAGCTTGAGCCTTCAGTTGCGGCAGAGATTGAGCGCACACCAGTGGCAGCGTTTGACCAGGCTGTCCAGACCTTTTTGGGTACGGTGAGGGTCATTGACTTATTTGATGAGGCGGATTAACCAGCTCTGCTCGTCAGCTATGTAGTATATACTCCATGTCGGAGGGCGTTGAACTGGAATTTTATTCACTTTATAGATTATGAGATGACAACTGTATTAAATGAATGAAATAATGACTTGCAAACTCTTATATCAATCCTCAGAAAGGAACCAGTACCAGTTTATTGTAACAAACTACTCTGCCTAGCCAGAATAACAGCCTCGAAGAGCTCGGACATACCCTGTACAAGGATAGTTTCGGCCAGAGGAACCTAAGAAGTAGGGTTTCCAATAGATAGTGAAGGAGTCGTTCGAGCCGCTGGGTAGGTCTTCTTGTAGAATGTGATTGCTTTTTGGGGAGCTTTGGGAGGCGATCTGCACTTGCAGTAGAATGGTTATATAAATATGTGTATCTGGTTTGGGGTAGGAAGTGGGAAGGTGCGTGTGGACTTACCCATGGGCAGATCATGTCTGAGATTGTCGATTGAGATTGTGGCCATTTTGAGGTATGTCGCGAGCGCTATGAAACGAGTGATCATGAGGAGGGAGGTTTTACGTGCTTGTGCTTGGGGATTTATGGTATGGCGGGTTAGGGGTTATTGTTATTATGCTCTCATCGTGAATATAGACCTTGTCTAGTTGATGGCGGTTTGGCCTGTGCCTATGGTAGTTATCGAGTCCAGATACAAAGTGATTTCGTGTAGTGATTCCGCGCTACATGGGGTTATACCCGGCCTTCCATCATGACAGCCATATAGTACTGAGTCGTCGATTTCTGATCGTCACACAAGTCATGACAGTAAGGAAGAAGAAGAAGACGTAACATAGACAGAGTAAAACATAAGCCACTCCAGACGATGCATCCTGTTCGCCAAAGACCGTCCGTAGCACCAGTCTAATGCAACCCGAACATGAAATCCGAAGTCAAGTTCATCACAGCAGACGCAAAACTGAAAACTCATTTGCTCGGATGCTCAGCACCCAGAGGATCAGGCCCTCCATCCTTGGGCTGCCCGTCGTGCGCCTCGGGGTGACTGCCATGACTCGAGCCGCGGCGATGGAACGGGTTCGAGTGGAAGCCGGAGAAATGGAACACCTTCTTCACGGCGCCGACGACGCTCGATCGCCGTTTAGACTCGCGAGATCCCTGTGCATCGCCTGCGGCGCTGCCGTTCTTATGCACGATAGAGTCATCCGGGAGGACGATGGAGGTCGGTTTGGGGGGCCACTGGCCGTCTGATTTCCATCCCTGCACCATGGCCTTGACGACATCGGCGAGGTTGATGGGTACCGTGGGCGTCAGTGCCTGCACCACCACCTTGGAGTAGATAGACGGATACATGGCAGGCGTGATTGAAGCGCGCACGGGGTTGCTTACAGGGATGAAGGACGGGGCGACAGGTATGAGGGGGTCGCGGACTTCGCCGGCGGACAGAGGTGGTGGTGGTGAAGAGACAGACTCATCATGCGAGGACTCCGGGCCTGGTACGGCCAGGCCCGTCTCTGTCGATTCCTTGGCAGCTTCATCGACAGCTTGATCTGCCTGCGTCTGCCGCAGCTCCCCTTCCTTCTCAGCGATCGCAAGCGAGCTCCCTGTCCGCGCAACAAGATCAGCGGTGCCATCCCGCTCATCACCCGTAGCCTGTGCCTCCCCCGGAGTATGCACGGCAGGGCCTCGTTCTCGATCCTCTGTCGCCAAAACCTCCTCCTTCGATCGCGCCCCCGTCCACGCATCCCGCCTCTCAACCCACGTCCGCAACCCGATATTCCACCGCATCTCATCCTCCTCCAGCTGTCTGCGCCGCTTGCGCCGCCGCTCCCGCGCAGTCACCACCCGCGACGAATCGGACGAGTCACCGTCCAGCTCCCCAGGGCTATCTGGCTCATCCTGCGGCTCTAATTCGGACCCGGAGCTGTCGTATTCGCGGAGCCGCCATTCGAGCCATTGCTGCTCGGGGGCTTCGGGCGAGGCCGATGCTGGCGCGCCAGAAGTGGCCGACGAGGGCTCAAAGGCCCAGTCGTTCCGAACGACCTCAAAGACGTGCCGTTTTGCTTCTCGGATGGCTGCGTCGCGTGCCTCTGTCGACATGGTAGGAGGCTTTGTGTGAGGAGAGGGGTAGACTAGGTGAGGGGAGGGGCTGCGGAGGGTCGTATGGGCTGATCGACAAGGTATCTTAGAAACGGGTCCGAGCAGGCCCCTTGCTGTGACCCACGTGGAACCCGTAGAGCACGAGATTAGAGACGAGGGGTTCCTGGAGTGGGAGAGGTGTGTTGGTGTGGCGGAGTTGCAGCGAGTGAAGGGGGCGGGAGAGGAGAATTCGACGATGTCATGGCGACAAAACAAAGTCCAAAACTTTGTGCGTGATGGCGCCAGCAGATCAGCAGTCAATAGTCGATACAACTATCACTGCACTTTCAAATTGTATTTAAGAGAGAGGGCACGCAGATTCTGATGAATATATACTCTTTTTTAGGCAGAATACTAGTACAATTCCTATCTATCTATACCATGTCGCTAATAGTACACAAGTCGTCACATAAATCCCGAGTCCATACCATGTATTTCTCCTAATCCAAACGAGGTCACCCAATGCTTAGTTCCAAATCTAAAATGTTCAAGTACGGACACGTGCAGCATCCGTTTCAGCCTGCTCCGTACCGAGAGGCATGAATCCCCATCCGGCGCTCTTCTTGCGACGGCCTTTACGATCACCGTACTGCTCGTCGAACTTCCTGATGGCCGACAACGAGGACATATCTTCGCTGATCGAGGCGCTGATCTCTTCCATTCCCCGCTCAAAGTGCGCCCGAGTCAATATGCGGCGCGCGGGATACTGGTACGGCTCGGGCCCCTGATGTTTGGCCGCGAGGTCATTCTCTTCTCGGACGCAGGCCAGAGCGGCCGCAACGCAGAGATTCTTCAGATCGGAGCCGGAATAGAGAGGAGTTCGATGAGCCAATTCTGCTAGGTCGACCGACTGATCGAGGGTCTCGTCCTTGAGGTGGATCTTCAGAATGGCCAACCGATCCTGCTCCGTCGGAAGGTCCACAAGAAGTCTCCTTGGGAGACGTCGAAGGACGGCGTCGTCGAGGTCGAATGGTCGGTTGGTTGCAACCATGATAAATGCAGACATGTCGTTCATTCCGTCCCACTCTCGGAGGAACTGATTGATGAGCTCCCGATGCGAGGTGCGACTACTGGCGCCCGTCCGGGAACAAAAAATGGCATCTGCCTCGTCAATGAAGACCACACAAGGGCTGAGTTTCTTCGCCAGAGTGAAAATGGCCTTCACGTTCTTCTCGCCCTCGCCGACATACATATCGTACACCTCGGAACCGCTGACCTCCAGAACAGTCGCACCACTCTCCCGAGCAACGGCCTTTGCAAGCAGGGTTTTACCGGTACCTGGCGGGCCGTAGAGCAACAATCCCGGAATTTTGTCCGTAGCCAACACTCCATATGTGAAAGCTTCCGGCCGGATGAGGGACAGTGAGGTCAGCGTCTTCAGAGCATCGATAGTCTCTGGTGGGACATGGACATCGGCAAATGTTGTCCGGATATTGTTGGCATCGACAACGCCATTCAGCAACTTCTTCTCGTGGGAGTTGCAGGTTTTACGCAGAGAGTTCAATAAACGCTCCCTGTCGGTACCTGCCTCAAGGGTAGATTTTGGCGCCCTCTCTCGTAGCCAGTCATTCTTGGTTTGGTCTGTCTTGAGCATCATCTCAATACCACGCTGGATGTGTTCAAAGCCCAAAGGCTCGTTGGGGCCGACGCTTCCAAGGGCAAGGGTTGTCGCCCAGTGGATCTGGCTGTAAGGCCAGTAGCGCTCATCTAAACCGGACTCTTTCACTAGGGATGGAGATAGTGGCCAAGACCGATTTTCAAAAATGGAGTCTTTCACTGCAGAAGAGCTCTCATTCAGCCGGGTACGAAGCATATCCTGCATGTGGCGAATGTTGATGCCCAGCGTACGCATCTTGCGGTCCTCTGTAAAAGTCTTTTCCACCACTTTTGACTCCATTCCCGGTGTAATGACCAGCATTTGTGAGAAATGGTCGTCAAAGGCATTTTGCATGAGTCTCGCCGAGTCCGAATCGGGGCTGACTTCCTGCGCCGAGGTGCCAATGAACAGCAGTCGAGTACCGGCCTTTCTCCGATCCATGATAGCTTTTTGTAATAGAGTAATAAACTTAGCACCTTCACGTGTCGCCTGGATTTCCCCATAGTCCTGCACCTGCACGATGACGTCGCGAACGGCGGCAGCCTGAGCCTCCGACGGCGATTCTGTCTCAGATACCGGCTTGGACCGCTTGCTGGGTGAGCTAATTAGCTCGTGAACAAGTCGAAGCCGCCTATCCTCGACTCTATCACTCGGGCTCTGTGCCGTGGCTGTACCATCCAGAGGCCCGTTGAATGAGGTCATTAATGATTTGAGCCCAAGAATACTCGGCAATGGAATATCACCGTTATTACTCGCGCTCGAGATCGTGATAAATTTCGCTCCCTTTAAGCCGGGTCGGAAATTCCTCGGCGGCACCGGAGCGTCGATAAAGTCGGTATCGTCTGCTTCACTCTCGTTGAGGTTGTCTCCCAAATCCTGCCACGATTCCGCAATAGACGGCCGGTAGACCTCGTAGCCTAGCGACCTGATAGGCGACGTCGCACCGCTGTCCACCATGTCTTGCTCACTGCATAGTTGAGCAATGTCCTGAGCATCCAGCGTCACAACATCGGCGCCTAGCTCCTGGGCTAATCGCTTCACCACCGCATCCAAAAATAAGATGCCATCCGCACCCGGGTATTGTAGGACGAGGTGCGACTTTTGCGCCGAAGGTTCTTGCGCGTATTTGGGTGGTGGAAGCCGTAGGCCTGCTTTTGCAGACGCGCGGAGTTCTTCCCATAGCGCTTCGCTTAGAACATACCGATGGCCTGTGTCGCTTTGTGCCTCAGATGGTAATGGGTTGCCTCCATCACCACCCTGGGACTGGACATGCGCTTCCGCTTTCTTTCCCTCCGTTCCTAACCGTCGTATTTCAACCTGTTGTCGGAACTGTGCAACGGCTTGTCCTTCACCACCATGCAAAACAGTATTCCGTTCCCGGAACCATTGCGGGACAGTTGCTACCGGAGCTATGAAATCTTTGCCTTGTCTCCGGTTCCTTAACGCCCTCCGTACACCTGACCCATAGGGACCCGGATCTTTCTTCACCACTCGTTCTGTTGATGCTACCGGACTTGTCGAGGGAGCATCTTCGGAGGGGGTATGCTCCGAGTTTAGTGCCGGAATATCATGAGCGACGCTTTCCGGAGGTGAGTTCCGAGAGTCGCTGGGATCAGACGGTGCGCTCGACAGCCATTTTGGCGTCAGATGAAAGCGACGTGCAGACGAGGCGAGAGTTGGGGGGTAGCGGCGATGGGCGACGAAGCGGCAGGGTCGGGCGAGGGACGAAAGGAGCCTGCCCTGTACCATTGACGAATACATCCGGGGCAAATGCTGCCACCGGAACTAGGGTATGAGGGTTAAGCTGAGTTGAATCGCAAACGTCTGCATCAACCAAGTCGTGAGCAATGAACATTGTCACAGTTGCTCCGATGCTGATCCATTTTTGCCGACGGAGAGCGTAGTCACGTGATATGGCTTGTACGGGTTTGTTTGATGGCTGACAAAGATGAACAAGCTGAACAACGCTTTGCGGCTTGGATTTTAGACATTGTGTGGTTTTGCAGGAGATATGCTAGCAGCTCAATTGGCCTACCAGCCCAGAATCATATGTACAACCTGGGTTGAGCATATCCAGAGCCACAAGCATAACCTAGACTACAGTAAAAATCAAGGGTAATAATGGGCTGACGTATGATCGACACTACATGGTTTTCATGCGTGGTGACCGTACATCAGTGGAAAGCGGAAGATGGACAAGATTTACTATTACTAGATCCAACAATGATATTGAAATCAAGAATGACATTGATGACTATGGATTATCTGTATAGCGACTGTTCTATGTGACGGCAAGATGATTGAATCCGGGAAGACAATGTAACAGTATGGTTCGACTCAATTCATCGACATTCGATAACCGGCACTACACTGATCCGAAGTTAGCAGGTATTTCGGACTATATGGCATGCAAACACAGAGCAATTGAGATAGTTCTCAGACAAAATATACTGGCAAGTAGCAGACCAACCGGGAAAGGGAGGTCCGAAATGTCTCGTCAAGGGCGACTCGGAGAGTAAAGAAGTAAAAAAGGTTTTGTCATCTTCGAAGATGTATTTCATGATCAACAGGGAGAAATGGAAATAGTAGACTAACCTTGTCAAATATCCCATGAGCGTAGCTTCAGAGGTGACCTGATCTATTAGCAGTGGTATGATCATGCATCAGGATGTAGAACCAATGCATTGTGATTCGGCATCCTTCTGCACACCATACAATGATCCAAGCATTTCTACATAGATCATCCAGTTCTCATATTCACAGATTGAAGAGTTGACAGTTTTATTGTCAACAGCGTTGAGAAGATGAAACGAAAGAATCTTTCTGTGGGAGAGAAGAAGGCAGAATAAAAAGAAAAGAAACAGCGGGAACAAGCAACAATCTTTTTCCGATACTCACGTGATACCTACCCCATCCGGACTAGCGGCTTCTCTGATTCGCGCTGGCCGACGGTCGCCGTCCAGCAAAAACGAAAAGCCTCAAAGGGACGGGGGACTCTCTCTCTCGCCTTATGAGTGTCTGTCTTCTTCTGATTTTTACCCTCTGGTCGATCCCCCCCTAACCTTGTCCACCTTAACTGGTGGCAGCTTTTTTCTTGAAAGTTGTACGTGGTTTGTATTGTTCGTGTTTTTTGAATTTATCCGATCAGTCAGTCCACCAGCGTTTGTTTTCTGATCAAGAAACGAGCGATCATCGAACCTGGCGATCGCGACGGGGTGCCCGTCTGCCTTTCTCTCGCTCTCACTCTCTCGTTGGCCCCTAGCCCCTCCACATCTCCGTCCGGCCTCCTAAACCCATCTCATCGTTATTCCCTATTCCTTATTCCTTATTTCCAACTCTGCTGGCCTGGCCCTCGTTACTCGACAACTGACCCAATTTTGGTTTTCGATAATATAGGAGTCGAGTGGCCTGGTGGCTAGAGATTACCAGGGCCCATTTTGATCAATCCATGCGCCAACAACGCTTGTCTAATTCTCAACGATAACGACGCAGGTTCGGTCGCCCGACTGCTGCGTCTTGGCCTCCGCCCCGACGCTAAAAGCGGCCTGTCGTTCCTCCACGTCAAAGAGCGCGCTCTTTTTTGACTTTGACAGACGTCCGCTCTTCAATCTAAATTGTCGATATTCTTACTTTATTATTTTATCCCCACCAGTCCTGTCCCGTCCTCAGTGTCACCATCTCTCCCTTTCACCGATTTTAGGAGTCCCGATCTCGGCGACTTCGCTGCATAGCGATGATGATGGCGCAGCCATTTCCTGCCCATCAAGGCATGCCGCAACATCCTGGCCTGCCGCCAGGTCATCCAATGGCCCCAGGACAACATCCTAACGCTCATCCTGGTGCCGGGATGGTGCAAGCGGTGCACCCGGGCGTGTCGGCGCCAGGAGGGCCTCAAGTCACTCAAGGAGGACCGATGATGGGAATGCCTCCAGGCACTGGAACAACTGGCCCTGGTGGTCCTGTCCAGGCTCATGCTCTTTCTCATTTGGGGCCTGCGCAGGCGCATCTCTTCCAACAACCGCAATTTGCTCAAACATGTACGTCTCCGTCCCTTTGTGCCACATTATCAATTTGGAGGAGGTCAACGGTTCATGCTGACTCGTTTTCAACTAGTTGCCAATAACCCTCAATTGCTACAACAACACCAACACCAACAACAGATCCTTCGACAGCGCATGATGTTCCAGCAGCAGCAGGCAGCTCAGCAACAGCAGCATGCAGGTCTCCCTGTGTCATTACCCAATGGCACACAGGGTTTAAACGCTGCTCAATTAGCCGCCATGCAAGCGAATTCGGGAATGCGACCGGTAAATCTACAAATGCACCTTCAACAAATGCCTCATGGCCCTCAGAACATTCAGCAACAGCAGCAGCAGCTCTTTGCTATGCAGCAGGCTCAACAAGCGCAACAGGCACACCAGGCGCAGCAAGCCCAACAAGCCCAGCAAGCTCAACAAGCCGCAGCGGCCGCCGCTGCAGCCGCGGCGCAACCGGGTCAGCATACACCGCAGCAGCGTCATGCGGCACATCCCCAGAATATGCATGATGCTCAAAGTGTAACACCTCAGCCGCAACCCCCACCACATCAAGGAAGCAGCACGCCTCAGTCGAACCCTCCTCAACCTCCCTCCAGTCAACCTCAGCAGCAGCCAGGTGCTGCCCCTCAACCCCATCCGACACCAAACCCGGCGCCGCAACAGTTGCCGCAGGCTCAGCAACCCGGCCAGCAGCCCCAGCAGCAACAGCAACCACCGCACCAGCAGCCCCAGCACCAACAATCACAACAGGGGCAACCGCAAGGCCAGCAGCAACAAATGACGCCCCAGGAGGCTCAAATGAAGGCCCAGCAGACTCAGAATCAAGCCGCCATGATGATGCAGCAGAGGATGGGCATGAAAGGCACTTCGATTCTGGCCTTGCTCACTTTTGCGGAGCATTTGAGTAACTTTAGCGTACGTCGAACCTTGTCGCAACATTCGAATGCTTGTAGAGATTGTGCTAACTTGATGACAGAGCCGCGGCGAAGCTCAGGATTTGCTGTATTGGCAAGCATTTGTCGATAAATTCTATTCTCCGGTTGGCGTTCTTCGACAAGGGGTGTACAATCCCCAAGCGGGTTCGAAACAATTCGAGATCTCGACGCCGGCCCTAGCACGGTATTATCTGACTCAATTTACAAGTGGAATCCGTCAGATTCAGATGCTGGTTGAAGGTGCGCGCGAGAGAGATTCGCCCAATGGTGGTCGCATTGTGGAGAGTCGCAGAACGTCGTTTATCTACTGGTTCACCAATGATTCTCAGGTTCGTCTACTGTTCGTCTTGTTGTGAGATGTCTTGCTAACTTCCCGAAAGCTATTCACCAACGGGACACTTATCGCTCACTTCGATCACAATAACAAGATTGAGATGCTTGACATTGTTGTGATGAATCATACCGAGTATCTTCCACGGAGTCAGCTACAGGCGCTGGAATTGTCAGAGCAGAAACAGAGCCCGAAAGTCTCCAAGAATATGGGCAAACGGGCTCAGCAGAAGCAGGCCCAGCAAGCCGCACCGTCTTTGCCCGAGTCTATGGTGACGGCCAATGGTGTGCCAACAGCGGTCATGAGTTTCTTAGAAGTGGCGGAGACCATCTCGCATATGCAGATGCTGTTCCAATTCTCCCAGCAAAACCCGCAATTTTCGCCTCCTGAAGCACTACGGAATCTGGTGAACACGCTGCAGAGCCAAAATCCCAATCCGGGGTTCATGCCAAGCCCCATGAACCCGGCAATGCAGCAAGGCCAGAATCTACGAGGACCCCAAATGAACGGGCCTAATCAGTTCGCATCTCCCGCAATGGCTCATCTTGGGTTGCCCGCTCAAGGCTCTCCTCACCTCTCGGCCCACCCGAGTCCGGCCCAGAGCCATCTGGCCGGCCCTCCTGGCATGGTACAACAAGGACAGATGCAGCCCAACGTTGGCCAGGCCACTAGTGCTAGTGCCAGCCCGCAAGTGACCAACAAGCGTCGACGGGCCAGTACCGTCAAGGTGGAGAACGACGATACTGGTGGTCCGGAAGTCAATGGAACTGCCAGCCAAGGTGCGGCCAAAGTCAAAGCCAGTCCTCGGGTCGGCGGGAAAAGACAGAAGGGTACTGCGTAATATTAGAGATGGTTTCCGTTTCCGCCTGGGTTCATTCATCTCCTTTCTTGTCCTTTTATTGATTCCTTACCGTTCCATTTCAGTCTCAAGAAGCGGGGAACTGGCGTACCATAGGATACCTGTTTGAGGCTTTTCTTGCTCTTCTTTTGCTTACGAATCTGGGTGCGTTTCATCTTCATCTCGTCGCTTGAATATATCGGATGGTGCGTTTTTTTCTTTTTGTTACATGTTCGAATCCTCTTTCCCGCTCCTGCATTGCATGCGATTCCGCTGGCGACCACTCGGTACCGGTTGTCTTTATCACACCAGCGAGATGGATGATCATGTCCATCTCTTGTCCTGAGTCGCGAGTGGGATGCCCACGGCAATTTTTCACGTTGAATATGAGGTCTCCTGATACAAACCGATATCAGCCTAATGTACTTTATCTACTTGGTCGTTTTCCATCCGAGGCTTTTGGTATGGATTTGTTAAATCTGGACTTGGATCGCACATTCTATGAGCTTTTTGCTTTCCTCAACGGTTCTGAGGAATGATATCTTTTGGGTCTTTGAGCTCGATTCCCTAGCGTTGATGATAATTGACATTGAATGCTAGTCCGCTTGCTTCTGATATCCGTGCTATACAGTCCATCTTTTGATCTGGCGTCAGGTGCTTGCTTGCTCCATTGAAGATTCCGCTTCTTGCTTATCGTTTGCTTGCTATAGCTGTGTGACTCTAAAACGGGATGCGAACGAATAGCAATCACTCTTCCTTCTGACTTGCTTGCGCTTGTAGGGGTCCACACCTTTCAACTCGTCACTCGACTCAGTAGATAGACTAACTTTTGACTCAAACCGTAGCCCTGTAGCTTTTCTTTCAGTGATCGACGACAAGATTTAAGGGACCAATTCACTTCTTATCGATGATATGTGCCACGTCTTCAAACAAGTGCAGACAGACGGCAGTTGCTATCATAATCGGACATAAATTCTATATGATCTTATCACTATGAATCAAGCCTTATCAAGAGTTCAAACAAACTAAATAACATGTCTCATGTACTGTCATCGGAGTCCGCCGTCTTGGCCAAGTCCCCCAATACAGCTCTATCTGGGGCTGCCCCTCACCCCGACATAAGGAACCCCTCCATGGAGCCACCACATTTCTCGCCCTTTCTACATTGAACTTCCCCAGCTCACTACAGAGTATTTTCAACCAACAAAAAGCGCCATGTCACACTCCCACTCCCACGACCACGGCATGAGCCATTCCCACGATGACCCCTTCAACGGCCACGGCCACTCCCACGAGATCCTCGACGGGCCGGGCTCATACCTGCAGCGCGAGATGCCATTGATTGAAGGCCGCGACTGGAAGGACCGCGCCTTTACCATTGGTATTGGGGGGTATGTTTTTTTTTTTTCTTTTCATTTTTATCTCCGGTTTACGCTACGTTATATACTAACGGCCCATTGCCATTCAGACCAGTCGGATCCGGCAAGACGGCGCTGATGCTCGCGCTGTGCCATGCCCTGCGAGATGAATATAATATTGCCGCTGTGACGAATGATATTTTCACGCGGTAAGTCCCCAACGACCCTATACTGCCATGCACAGGACTGATTTTGTTTGGACACAGCGAAGACGCCGAGTTCCTCACGCGGCACAAAGCCCTCTCGCCCAGCCGCATCCGCGCCATCGAGACAGGCGGATGTCCGCACGCCGCCGTCCGCGAGGACATCAGCGCGAACCTACTCGCCCTGCAGACGCTCCAGAAGCAGTTCCAGACGGATCTGCTGCTCATTGAGTCTGGGGGGGATAACCTCGCTGCGAACTACTCGCGCGAGCTGGCGGATTTCATCATCTATGTGATTGATGTAGCGGGGGGTGATAAGGTGCCCCGTAAGGGCGGGCCGGGGATTACGGGCTCGGATCTGCTGGTTGTGAATAAGATTGATCTTGCTGAGGCGGTGGGGGCGGATTTGAAGGTTATGGAGCGGGATGCGGCGAAGATGAGGGAGGGGGGGCCGACGGTTTTCGCGGTGGTCAAGCATGGGAAGGGGGTGGATCATATTGTGAATTTGATTCTCAGTGCGTGGAAGGCGAGCGGGGCGTATGAGGTTAGTCTGGAGAGGTGGAAGAATGGGGCGCCGAAGAATTCGGGGAGTGTGGACGAATGAACAGAGACATCAATCTACGATTGAGCGGGATTTATATGTGATATGCATCTGTGAATGTACATTCAATGACTGACGACGATGACTACAAACGACTGTCACTTTTTGCCCCGTACCAAACCTTACCAACGCCCGGAAAATGCAGGAACAAGCTGTGAACCGATGGTCCATGAGAAACTGGGAACTGGGTATCTATCACCTCTCACGGAGATGAGCAAGGAAGCAATCAACATGCAGCAAATATCCAAGACTTGACGCCAATCAAATCTCCTTCTTGGCGAACCGCGCCAACGCAGGACCCAGGTCCTGCCGCTCGGCGCGGAGCTTCTCCTTTTGCCGCGCAGCGTGCTCCTTGCGCAGCATCTCCGCCTTGACGCGCTTGTCGTCGATGACATTGCGCCGGCCCTTCTTGCGGAGGTACTTGCGCAGGGCGCTGTTGCGGCCGCGGCCGCGGTTCTTGAGCTTCTCGATCGGGTCCTCGGGCCGGCGGTCGAGATCCTTCTCCTCGCGGTTCTTCTGGTCGCGGATCGTGTCCAGCTTGCCGACGAAGTTGGCGTCCAGGGAGATCATCTCGGGCTGCAGCTTGTTGAGCAGCGCGCGCACCTCGGCCTCCTGGCGCTGTTTCGTGTTCTCGTACGGGTTGACCTCCAGCGCGTCGAAGTTGGGCTCTCCGGCGCCGGGGACCAGGATGCTCGCGAATCCCTTGTCGTGCGCGACTCCCAGGACGTCTTCGTATGGGCACCAGCGCAGGTTCTCGATGCGGTGGCCGTCCCCGCCCCAGGCCATGTACGGGCTCTTCACTTTGCCCTGGTCCGCTTGCGCAGCGTCGAAGAGGCCGCGCCATACGCTTACCTGCGTGCCCCAGCCGACTGCTGTCAGACCGCGGTCACTGATCGAGACCGATGCTCCGGGCTGGTAGCACGAGTAGGAGTGCACCTCCCGGAACATACGGATATCCCACACGCACATCTTCTGGTCCTGGCCTGTTGAAACCATGTATCGTCCTTGTTTGTCCACCGCTAGCGAGCGAACGGGGCCGCGGTGCACGAGTGCTTTGACGAGGTTGGTTTGGGAGTTTGGAGACCACAGCGTAACCGTTCCATTCTGATGCCCGACGTGCATGATGGCGTTCCATGGGTTTTGGCAAAGCGATGTCGGGGCGCCGAGTCGTGTGGGCAGTTCTGCGACCATCTGGCCGGTCGATGTGTCGGTGTATTTGAGATGACCGCTCATTTGCTGTGTAGACATGTGTTAGCAATTTCAGCAATTTCCAGGTATCAGGTCCAAAAAGGTCAATCTTACAGCGCCAACGAGAAGGAAGTGGTATGGGAGAAAATCGAGAAAGACCGGTTCGATATACTTGTTGAGACAGTGTAGCTCAACACCGGCGTGGTCGTAGATGTAGACGTGCTTCCTCTGCGCAACCGCAAAGTACTGATTGTTATGCAACCACCGAGCATCGCGAACTGTCTCTCCCAGTTGCAGCTCACAGCCCAATCTGCCATTCCGCCAGTCCATTGTCGCAACGTGCCCTTTCCGACCAGCCAGAAGCAGCTCCCGACCGTTCCTTGTGTAATCTGCCCGGTATGGACCGAGATCTTCCAACTTCAACTCGAATCCCTTCTTCGCCGTCTCGATAGCGACATTGTCGCGGATCTCATCCTGTCGCACCTTGTATGTCCGTTCCAGCTCCCCTTCAGGCTCCAGGAATCCCGCCTCATGCTCGAGCAGAATTTCCGCATCTTTCGCCTTGAGAGCGGCTTCCTTGAACTTTGCCTCCACAGCCTTCAGATTGCTGCGTAGCTTCCTATCCCTCACGCTCTGTACATTGATGGGCTTGCCACGTCCGTAGGTTTTTTGCGCTTCGACTACCCGTTTGCTCTTTTCGCGCTTGCCAGTCGGCGCGACGGCCATCGTCGGTGCGGATTCAGACATTTGCTTCGTTCCTCCACTATTTCAGGTAATCTAGAAAACTCGAAGGAGAAATTGGCAAAAATTCACCTGATTCGAGAAGTATTCCTGTCTGAAAAGATGATCGGAGGTAAGGTTATCTGCGGGTCTTGAAGGAAAATTCATGCCAAGATTTCACGCTCGCTTGCCCACACCTTAACTAATGGATAATTTTTTTTTTCCCTGGCAGAAAAGACCCGCTCTCCGAGATCTTGTCTTGTCTATCGTACAGCGGCTTATCGTGGTAGATAGAGTCTTTTGAGATTTTCGTCAGGGATCTCTTTTGAACATATTAAAACTCTGTCTATTTCTAAAGCAAACTGGACTCTCTTCCTTTTCGATTCAAAGGGTCCAGCGGTGCCAACATGGCGCCCACCCAGACGGTGCATCATCACCGCTCAACTACCAAAACATCCCACAAGGCATTCAAGTCCAAGCATGCTTCGAAGAGTGCTCTGAAGGACATCAACAAGGGTATGAATGCATTAATCTGCGTTAATATTACTACTCTGGAACATCGCTAATTGTGATCTGTGAACAGGCAAGGTCGAGCGGGGTACTCGCAAGACCCCTCACCAGCAACTCATGTCGAAGCTCGATCGTCGGAACCAGGCTCGTCAAAAACAGCAGCTCAAGCATCAGGAGAAGGCGCAGGCCAACAGTATCTTCACTGGAGCGAACGGTGCCCCCCGCCATGTCGCAGTCGTGCCGCTTTCCGTCGATGTCGATGTCGCTGCAATCCTTCGGTCTTTGAATGAAAGTGTGGACGTTTCAGCCGATGTTTCCGCGGATACGATCTCTCGTGTGCGCATTGATCGCTTCAGACAGAGCCTGCAGTATATTCCCGCGAAATATGACTTGATGGGCGCTTTGGATGTGTGCCGCATGGCGGATTTCGTTGTGCTTGCGTTATCGTCGGAGGTGGAGGTGGAGGAGCACGGAGAGCAGCTGTTGAGATCCATCGAGGGCCAGGGTATTTCCAATGTTGTGGCTGTCGTTCAGGTATGTCGGGATTCTTCGGTCTTGGATTGTCGGGCTACTAGGACTAACCGTGGGTTTATTTTCTAGGGTCTCGACAAGATCAATCCTCCCAAGAAACGTCCGCAGGTGGCGTCTTCCCTTAAATCATTCATCAACCACTTCTTTCCTTCTGTCGAGAAGGTCCTGTCTGTCGACTCGAGACAGGAATGTTCCAACGTCGTCCGGTCCCTGTGTACCGCAACACCGAAGGGTATCCGCTGGCGGGATGAGCGGAGCTGGATACTGGTGGAGGAGATGAAATGGCCCGAGGCCACAACAGAAGTCGTCGACGATGTTGTTTTGACCGGCGTTGTTCGCGGAAAGGGACTAAAGGCCGACCGTCTCGTCCATATCCCTGGATGGGGCGACTTCCAGATCGATTCGATCACTGCAGCACCACTCCCGAGTGCCCGAGCGAAGCGCGATGATGCCATGAATGTTGATGAGAATGAGGCCCCACAGGTGCTGGATGTTCCCACTGCTGACCGCGACGACCTCGCCACTGTGGCTCCCGAGGAGATCGAGATGGAGGAGGATGATATCTCTGTCGCCGACACCGAGCGCAAGGGTGTCCTCCTAGACGACCATCATTACTTCTCCGATGACGACTCCCATCTGCCCGCGCGCCCTAAGAGACTGCCAAAGGGAACGTCAGAATACCAATCGGCGTGGTTCATCGATGATGTCTCCGACTCTGGCTCCGACATTGAGGAAGAAGAGGAGCAGGACGAGGCTATGGCTATGGATACCGCTGGAAACCCCGAGGACGGCGTATTCCCGGATCGTCAGGATGCTATGACAGAAGCTGGACCTTCTGAGTACCCTCAGTCCGAGATGTTCCTTGACCCTTCGCCGGAAGACGAAGCTCAGCAACTGGAGGAGTATCGGGCCAGTCGCCGCAAGGAAGCGTCGGAGGACCTGGAGTTCCCAGACGAAATCGAACTTCATCCTAATGTGCTTGCGAGAGAGCGGCTGGCTCGCTTTAGAGGTCTGAAGAATTTCAAGACTAGCCCTTGGGAGACTACAGAGGACCGTCCGCATGAACCAGAGGACTGGCGCCGGCTGCTGCAGATCGTGGATTACAAAGGCTCCAAGAACAGAACTCTCCGTGAAGCTCTGGTTGGCGGTGTGAACCCTGGCATAAGGGTTGATGTCCACTTGCGCGGAGTGCCATCCTCGCTCCGTAACCGCCGGCAGCCCCTGTCGCTCTTCTCACTCCTCCGTCACGAGCACAAGCATACCGTAGTCAACGTGGACATGCACTTGAACGCTAGCGTTGAGGAGCCCCTCAAGTCCAAGGAGGAACTCGTCGTTCAATGCGGCCCCCGCCGTCTGATCGTCAAGCCGATCTTCTCTGCTGGCGACAACACCCGGAATAACGTGCACAAGTTCGATAGATTCCTGCACCCCGGCCGCAGCGCGATTGCTACCTGGATTGGACCTCTCACATGGGGCGCCGTTCCTATCCTCGTTTTCAAGAGCAAGCAAAACCAGGATCCCGAGGTTCTCGACTCGGCCGATGCCGACGCAGAGGCCCCGATCGATATCGACAACCTGGAGCTCATCGGCAAGGGCACCGTCGTCGCCCCTGACCAGTCCCGCGTTGTCGCGAAGCGAGCCATCCTCACGGGTCATCCGTTCAAGATCCACAAGCGAGTCGTCACCGTTCGCTACATGTTCTTCAACGCCGAGGACATCAACTGGTTCAAGGCCCTGCAGCTGTGGACCAAGAGAGGGCGCAGCGGTTACATCAAGGAGAGTCTCGGTACGCACGGTTACTTCAAGGCTACTTTCGATGGCAAGATCAATCCTCAGGATTCGATCGGCATCAGTCTGTACAAGAGAGTCTTTCCCAGGAAGGCGCGGGCTCTGGAGGAAGTTGTTGCATAGATTGGTGCTGGCGAGGAGGGTTTTATTTGATCAAGTTTACATGAAGGATGACATGATACCACAAAAGTTACATTGCATCGTTGGATTTTTCGCAAGGGCTAGCAGAGCATTTCCACGTATATAGACGAAGCATTAGATCCTACTTGCAGATTCAGAGCGTTAATCTGGCTTCGCTCCGACTATTTTGTTTTCCAATGGCAAAGTAGATAATGAGTATTCAAGGTTAAAACCACCAAGCAAGTGACAGATGCAAGCAAAACCACAGGATTATTGTTATCTCCTCGATATATAGAATGGAATTAACACCGGTACAGAGCACGCATGGATTCGGATCATCACAACATCATCTAGCATAATCGACAAATATCTGGACAGTCCAACCAGGGACACAATAAATTCAACCCTTGTTCAGCTATCGACACTATAACGAGAATCACGCGAGGCAAGGTTAAGAGAAATCTTCCTCCGCCTCTTCGATATTGCTCTTAATGCGCAGCAAGAGAGTAGTCTTCCACTTGTCCAGCTTGCTGAGCTGGTCATACTGGAACAACTTATCGGAGAAGGCTTCCTGGTCACTGGCCTCGATGGCCTGCACCAGATCAACGAGCAGCTGGTGCTCTCGCGTCGAGGCAAATGTAGGATCGGTGTCGCGGTAACTCTCGAGGGCACGGTTCGCGGCGACAATGTCCTGCAAGACGGTAAGCAGAAGAATAAAAGCTGGTGCCGTCGAATCGAGACATACCTTGCTTGCCAAGTGGCAGATACCAGCCTTCAGGAAGTAGTCCTTGACCGACCACTTCATGAGATTATTGGTGATGGACGACCGGCCGATCCTCTCGTAGTTCTCAATGGCCTTGTAGTAGTCTCCCTCGAGAGCAGCCAGATCTGCAACTTTCAAGTAGTGCTTGTTCGCGAGCCTGTACGCAGTCACGAGTCAGTACGACCGATCTCCTGCATCTGTACGACAGAAAAGAAGCCACATACGCTTCCGCATTGTCACCGTCAAACCACTCCGCCGCTTTCTCATAGGCTTCCAGCGCCTTCTTCGTATCGCCCAGTTCAACCTCGTACACCTCAGCCAGATGCTGCTGCTGTGTGGCGGCCCGGCGCAGATTCCCCTTTAATACGTAGTGTTGAATCGCCGCCGAGAGCACGCGAGCGGCGTCCTCGGGGTCGGATTTGCGGTACACCTTGAAGGCTTCTTGCAGCGTGTTTGCTGCGTCGTCTGGCTCATTGAGGTTCTGCTTCTGGATTGCGGCGGCCTTTTCGAATGCCAGCCCGGCTTCCTTGTCTGATCACCAAGAAGGGAAGATGTTAGTGACACGACTGGGACTCGAGGAAGAGTGAGGCGGGGCAGATGCGCGTACTCAGCTTCTGCACTCTGAAAGCATTTGCGGCCTGCGTATACAAGTCCGCAGCGTTCTCGTACTTTTCTGTCCGTCCCCCGAAGAAGCTTAGTCCGCTTGAGGCGCCTTGCAGCGCTTTGTCTGCCTAGAGACACGATAATGTCAGCGATCGTCACTTGGGACCTTGAAAGTGGGGAACGCAGGTTACCTTCTGAAGCAGGACTCGGGGATCCTGAGCCATGGTAAGTGGTAGTCACACTGTGAGAAGCTATATCAAACGGAAAAAAAAGGGTATTTCGGGCACTTGAAACTGAATAGATATGGTGGGAAATGGTCAAGTGGGGAATAGATGGATCTCATGAAGCTGAGCTTGGGGTAATCAAGATGCGGCATGCCCGCCTAACGTAGGCGGTGGGCATTTTTTGGATCTTCATGCGTTGCTTTGTTTTCGCTGACATCAACGCTCTTCCAATCAACAAGGCTCAGTCTGCGATCGCCTCGAATATTACCAATATCCTTCAATTTGTTTATTTTTTCAGCAATCGACATTAGTCTGTGCAGTTACCTGCAACTTGAAATAGCCAAATGCTGCTCCGCCCGAGTTCTCGGATCGTTCCTGGTCTGCTTCCAAGACGTGCTCTGAGGTTTGGAGCTTACGGTACTCGGCCTTATTCCTCTTCAAAGTCAGACGAGGTGGACATCGATGCTCTTCTGGCGAGACCTAGCTGGTCCGTCAAGTCGCTACTCCCCAGCGAATCCGCCATAGAGTCCACCACGGTCACTCCAAAGCAGCTACATCATCTGCTACGTCTATCGGCTCTACCACAACCCGCCAGCAAAGAAGAAGAGGATGCGATGCTTAGGACTCTCGAGTCCCAGATTCACTTCGTAAAGGAGATCCAGAGCGTCGATGCGACCGGGGTCGAGCCTCTCCAGGCTATTCGAGATGAGACTCCGGAGGCGATCAGGGAGAACACGATCGGACTAGAACAATTGAAAGAGGCCATGTCCAGAGAACGAGTGGTAGGACGGAGCAGAAGGATACATCGCGTTGAGAGCGCCAGAAATGACCGTCCGGACGGAGATGCTTGGGATGGGAATGCGCTTGGCTACGCCTCCAAGACTAAGGGGAAGTTCTTTGTCGTCGAGTCAGGCAATAAATCTGGCAATTGATTCGGAATGCCTCTTTCCCAAAAGCCATTTCAATATTACGGCACAATGGCCTGCTTCATCTCCCGTGCGACGGGCTGCACCCCTGCTATGAGAGACCGTACGATACTACTGTGCTGAGTCAGCATCGGATGACTTCATTAGATCTCGACAGTCAACAGCATTTCTCCACTTAACCATCTACGAGCTAAGACGGCACGGGAACTGGTTAATTTTGTTCAAGTCATTTCACTTCAGCGCGTTTTTTTATCAATGTGGAAATCTTTCAAAGAAAAGCATGCCAGCAAGTTTGGGGGAGGCTCGACTGAAGCGGCGGCCTCAGACCGTGGCCAAGATCTGACCACGATATTGGATAGATCCCAACGCGGGGAATTGACAGTGCTTGTCGCGCTAATCGCACAGCGGATGCGGGATGGAATTGAACAAAACTTCTCCAATGCCACGCCTTCGTCAGGCCAGTTGGCCAACTACGAAGAAAAAGGGACAGGCTCTCTGCCTCAATCTACAGATGCACAAGACCAGTCATCCTCCAGCAGCGCAGCGAAAGGCTCAAGAACCGACCCTGAATTCAAAGACCCCGAGACTGCGACATGTGCTCTATCCAATTATGACGACTGGAGAGACTCTGTCCTTCTTCGAATTGGTGAGGTCGTCAACAGGGATCCAGAGCATGGTGAAGTCCAGGCGAACCAGAACCCGCCCTCGGAACAGCAATCCCAGCAGATCCGCTCAGAGGAGGATGACCGTTCCATTGGTAAACTACGTGAGGTCTTCCCACCGGTGGAGACCAGCCTCTCTCAACTGCCAGAAGCAAAGAAACTCTTAATTCTCCACTCATTGCTACTCCTAGTCCTGAGTCTTGAACACTATAACGCCTGGTCTCGGGTCCTGATGCTGTACGTGACGTCTAGCTTAGGGCTGGACGTGAAATTACTAAACGAAGACGAAGTCAAAGTGGCGAGGGGTTTGCTTGACACTGCTCTGGCGCTGTCGTCTAACGCCCCAACGCAGGATGAGAGTCGAAGTCGCGATTCATCCAGAAAATGGAAGGTTGGTATCGCGTCAGTTGCGGGTGCTGCCCTGATCGGGATCACCGGTGGACTGGCTGCGCCCCTTGTGGCAGCTGGGCTCGGAACTGTCATGGGCGGCCTTGGGCTTGGAGCCACCGCCGCGGCAGGGTATCTCGGAGCTCTCGCTGGAAGTGGTGTTGTCGTCGGCGGACTTTTCGGTGCTTATGGTGGGCGGATGACTGGTCGTATGGTTGACAAGTACGCGCGGGAGGTGGATGATTTTGCCTTTTTGCCCATTCGTGGTTCTCGGCATCGATCCGAAGACGAAAGAGAAGCTGCGCAGCAGGATCATCGACTGCGGGTTACTATTGGCGTGACCGGGTGGCTGACAGAGGAGGACAATTTCGTGATCCCGTGGCGAGTGATCGGAGCGGAATCGGAGGTGTTTGGTCTCCGTTGGGAAACCGAGCCCCTGATGAATCTGGGAAATGCGCTTGACCTGTTGGTGACCAGCGCCGCATGGACTGCCGGTGAACAAGTCCTGAAAAAGACATTCCTCTCCCAACTCTTGACCGCTGTCGCGCTGCCGCTTGGCCTTCTCAAGGTCGCACGTGTGGTGGACAATCCGTTTAGCGTAGCGAAGGCTCGGGCGGACAAGGCTGGGGAGGTTCTCGCGGATGCTCTTATCAGTAAAGTGCAGGGCGAGCGACCAGCCACCCTCATCGGATACTCCTTAGGGTCTCGAGTGATTTTCGCTTGCCTTCAGAGCTTGGCGAAACGGCGCGCGTTCGGCTTGGTGGAATCCGCAATTCTGATGGGAGCTCCCACCCCGTCGAATACAGAGCAATGGTGTCGCATCCGCAGTGTCGTGAGTGGACGCCTTGTCAACGTGTTCTCTGAAAACGACTCCGTGCTGGCTCTCTTGTACCGAACCAGCAGCCTCCAGCTTGGGGTTGCAGGCTTGCAGCCTGTTGAAGGCGTGTCAGGAGTTGAGAATCTGGACGTCAGCGACCTGATCAGCGGCCATCTCCGTTACCAGTTTCTCGTTGGCAGGATCTTGAGCGTCGTTGGACTTGAGAGCATTGATGCTCGCGAGGTAGCACGGGAGGAGGCCGCATTAGAAGCCAAGGATCGGAGGCAGGAGCAGGAAAGGGCTCATAACGAACGACAGGCTAGATTCATGGGCGAAGGTCGGTCGCCAAGCCAGCAGCTGGAAAGCCAGGAGGATCTGCAGGGCGAAGAGGACAGACTACAGAAAGAGATGGGAAGAGCACGAACGCGGCACTCTTAGATAATACATCTCAAAGCGAATGGAATAATAGCTATGTTGATCTATCCTTGTTTTTGGTTTATATTATAGATGGACGTCTAAAATCATTATCCCACGATGCTCGAAGCAATGGGAAATGACACATGAGGGACACGCCAATCAGGTCAGTCAGCAGTTGCAGTCTACCCCTGATAAACTCACGGACAGCAGCTAATATCCGACAGATCCGAGACAATTCATTTGAATTTGAGGCTAAAACATGACCAACTAAGCTTCCAACCAACCCCGCCAGTCACTGGGGCCGCAAAGCTTGGTCTAGTGAAAGTAGCCGATCACTAGACCAGGCAACCGTGCATCAAATGGCCTGTATGCGAACATGATCCCTGGTTTACGGAAGCCAGTCTGTCTCTAAGCGAGGCCACTGATTCCAACGGTCTCTCTCTAGTGCTTGTCTCCCTGCAACCAGGCATGGTATGATTTGTCGGCCTTTAGTGCCATTTCCTGAGTCAAGCAGGACAAGGTCAATGTTACATTCGAATAGATTGAGCCGGCTTACCAGTAACATATTAATAAAAAGCAGCTGCCTGGCCCTCTGCCCTCTTTTCCTTTCTTTACTTTGGGCCTGACGTTGGTTACGTGTCTATTTGTGTCTCTCCTGCTGCCTCGGCTTATCTTTCGAATCTACTATACAAGTCGATCCGGCTACCATCGCTCGTTCTTATCAGAAATGAGGTACTCTCTCGTAGCAGGGGTTTCCCTGCTCTTTGGATGCGCTATTGCTACTGTCGCAAACATTCAAATCAAAGCAAGTTCTTGATGTATTCGGCGCAAGAGGAAAGCTAACCTGAGCATGATAGGGCTCCAAGTTCTTCTACGCGAATAATGGAAGCGAGTTGTGAGTATTGTCCCTCACTCACAGTGCGATGACTCATTCTTCTTAGTTACATTCGAGGTGTAGCATACCAAGGTATGTTACCGACCAACTTGCCCATCCAGGCTGCAACTAAATGAGATAGAGGACTACAGCGGTGGAGGAGCAGGAGGAACAGGCCAGTCCGACGCGAACTACGTCGACCCCCTGGCCGACGGCTCCAAATGCGAGCGCGATATCCCGTACCTTCTGCAGCTGCGGACCAATGTGATCCGGACGTATGCCGTCAACCCGTCCTTAAACCATGATGCGTGCATGCAGAAGTTGTCCGACGCCGGGATCTATGTCATCACGGATCTGGCGTCGCCAGACGTATCCATCACGTCCAACTCTCCCGTCTGGACAGTCGACCAATACGCCCGCTACACCAGCGTTATCGATGCTTTCCAAAAGTACGATAATGTGATTGGCTTTTTCGCCGGCAACGAGGTGGTGAATCAGGCGAATCAATCCGCCGGCGCTGCATTCGTCAAGGCCGCCGCGCGAGACATGAAGGCCTACATCAAGACCAAGGGATACCGGCAATCGCTGGCGATTGGATACGCGACCACCGACAACCCGGAGATCCGACTCCCGCTGTCCGACTACCTCAACTGCGGCGACCAGGCCGACGCGGTCGACTTCTTCGGCTACAACATCTACGAATGGTGCGGTGACAAGACCTTCCAGACCTCGGGCTACGAGAACCGCACCGAGGAGTACAAGGACTACTCCATCCCCGTCTTCTTCTCCGAGTACGGCTGCAACACAGAGAAACCGCGCAAGTTCACCGACGTGCCCGTGCTCTTCGGCCCGCAGATGGACAATGTCTGGAGCGGCGGCATCGTCTACATGTACTTCGAGACAACCAACGACTACGGCCTGGTCTCGGTCTCCGGCTCCGCCGTCACCCCAGAACCAGACTTCACCTACCTCTCGTCCGAGATGCAAAGCGCCACCCCGACGGGTGTCAACAGCGCCAGCTACTCGCCCACCAACTCGCCGCGCGCCTGTCCCACCGTCGACGACACCTGGCTCGCCAAGTCCAGCCCCCTGCCCCCGATCCCCAACGCACAGCTCTGTAATTGCATGGTATCCAGCCTGTCCTGCGTAGTCAAGGACTCCGTCGACGCCGACAAGTACGGCGAGCTCTTCGGGCAGGTCTGCGGGTACGGCGGCGGGATCTGCGACGGGATCGCGCACAACGCCACGACGGGCTCGTATGGCGCGTACAGCGTCTGCACGAGCAAGGACCAGCTGTCGTATGTGTTCGATCGGTACTATAAGAGCCAGAAGAAGGCTGCCTCGGCGTGTGACTTTGCCGGCGCGGCGTCGGTGCAGTCGCCCAAGGGTGAGTCGGCGGATTGTAAGCCGCTGGTTAGCCAGGCTGGTTCCGCGGGGACGGGGACAGTCACGTCGCAGCCGACGGGGGGAAGTGGTGCTACCGGGGGTGGCGGTGCTGCGGCGAGTACGTCCACGTCTAAGGGTGCGGCTGCGGGTGCTGTGAGTCCTGCTGCCGTCCGGGTTGGCGGCTGGCCGTTGGTTGTGTATGGGGTTGTTGCTGCGATGGCCGGTATTTTGATGATTTCTCTTTAGTAGATTATGTACGGTTAGTAGTGGAAGGAATGACGGTCATGGTCAATCAAAATCTATGCGGATAGACTAAAGCTGTCCGGACGATGTACTCCTAGTCTAGAATACATATCCTTGTCATAGTAGTTGATATCTCCGCCTGTGTCCTTTGAAAAGTCTCCCAAAGGTAGCCATGAACCCGGTCTGTATCCCAATGCGCTAGGTTGCAGGGACCAATTCCTTCCATCGCAGCCAACAATGCTAGCGAAACTGTGGATAGTAATAAGCACCAGCTTCTCATCCTCCACCCTCGGAAAGAAGTATTGCAAGAGCATGCAGAACGCACCTCCCATCCTTCAGCTTCTGCTGCATAACAACCGTTGCGATGGATATGAAATACGAACGCCCCTGGTTCTCAGGCCCCCTTATGTTTCATTCAAGAGGGACGTGTATTCCGTCCTCGATCGTGAAAACCTGACTGCCACTGTCGCCTGGACCAGAGAATGGAAGCCAGACACTCGTTGCACCCATTATCTCCATCCCTTTCTGAAGATCGTTGTCATCATCGCCATCATACCATCCCTGAGGTTGGAAGCCCCGCTGGAACGAGTATCTCCCCACAGCGTATTAATCCACAGAGCGGGAAACGCTGTACCGAGAGTCCGTCGCTGCTAGTATAGAGCTGATACTAGCTATTATTCTGTCTTTAGTGGGAAGTAAAAAGACAAGTATAGCGGAAGTGGAGAGAAAGATGAAAGCTGTAGTGTTTTGATGTAGCACTACCTTCTGCAGAGTTTCGCAATATCTGTATATGATGCTCTTTGGGACCTTTCTGAGCTGCAAAACTAGGATGCTGCATCCTGGTTCCTCCGCCTTTGTGGAAGAACCATAGCTTCGGTTTCAATAAGGGTTTGGAAAGACTACTTTCGGATGGTGTTGCAGATCGCAAAATAACCGTTTCTGAGTTTCTAACCTCAATTTCCTCGGAGCCCTGTCTTTCTCTCGTCCCAGTGCGCTGGGTTGGCGACGGCCGATTTGATCTGCACGTGAGGCCGACCTGCGCCACGCTTCTTGGATGCCCATGTGTCCATGTCATGGTAAGAGTCTGCCATCTGTCCGCATGCGTAGTCTAGCAGATCGTCAGGGCATTGATTGTGCTCGGGCCGTTAGCTTGTTAATCTTAGGGTTAAGCGTGATTGCCTCAGCAGTGATGTCTTGCAGGAGTTGCCTGGTAGTATCTTCTGTCATATATAGGCTGATGTGATATACCAAATGTGACCAGGTTAGCCACATCTGTAGCACTGTTTCTGAGCTGTTCCTTGGGACGGTTGCTGCAGACGTGGTTGCTGTCGGGCCGGAGAAGGGCGGGGGGAAATCTCCTGCAATAACACCGATATTTGATGAAGCTAAGAGGCGCTGGCTCATTTTCTCCTCCAGTCCTCAACCCGCCCTTTGATCGGAGATTGAGTCAACAAGGACCATTTGACAAGGAAGACCAAACGTGGGGGGCGCCGCCCACCAGCCAGGGATGTTTGTCTCTGATGAGACGAGGGTATGATTCGAAACACCCAACTTCAAATACAATCGTGGGCAAAGTGCATCCATGGGGCTTGATATAAAAGCCAGGTTCTCTGAAGGAGAGTGTGTACGGGGGTTGCAAATGAATCATAACCGCAGACAAGTTGAATTTCGCGAGTTATTCTGCAAGACTTCCAATAAGTTGGCTCTGAAGGCCCAATAACTCATCCATAGAAGGGAGGCGGCAATTTCTGCCGCAATCTGGGCGGTTTGATCATCTTCACAGGCTCGCGCCATCCGGATCAAAGTCTCTGACCACTACCTCAAGGAGTCTCCTCTCTGTCCGATTGAGTAGTCCCTGGTAAACCCATTCGCACTTGGCATCAATACACCATCTCTGATGTACATCGTGTAACTCAGTAGGCATTATTCTGACCCAGAGTGTCTTAGCCTCTGCAACCTTAACAGTGGGCTGCGCGTTCCAGAAGTTGATCTCGGCTAGCTGCAGCAATGGAGACCTAATGATCCCCATAGCAAGCCAGGTCAACATGGGCAGCCGGGATTCCCTCCCCAGGGGCGTCAAGATGGAACTCGCCATCCTCGGTCCAGCTGCACTGAAGCATTTTTGACCAATTGGGTCAGCCTTGCACGATGAGCTTTGCCCACCACTGTCCATAGACAGGGGTTAACGGGAGGTAAAACGTCCTCTTGTTTGCTTCTCTTGGAGCGGAGCTTGCTTATACTCATCGATCCACTGAAATAACATCCTCTGCAGTCAGTCCGATCCAATCTACTCCTCGTCGATACTCTTGTCCAGCTCGTGCGCCTAAAAAACATCCGGTTGAACAGGGATGTAGCTGTGAAAACCAGATACCGCAAGAGCGCTAAGCCAACATGATTCCCATGTGTCTCTGCAGCCGGCCCTCCTGTAAAAGGCTGCCTTGGCCTCTTCCAGGTCGCTTGGTCATTCTCTCTCGCAGTCCGCTTGCCCACCCAGCTACGTTGGGTCGAAATAGCTTTTAGTAGCTGTTCATATCGACATACCCCCCTTCGACTTTGTCCGGTGTTCTATAGACAAAACCATCGCTTTCATTAAAGTAATGTTTCAGGAGGAGGTCCCAGACGCCAGTTACGGTGCCCTCATAGTCCTGAGCACTCGCGGCCGGTACTCATCGTGGAAGGTCAACACGGTATCATACTTGGACGCCAGGGAAAATCAACAGGTGCACAGCACAGCACTTCGAGTCTTTGGGCCATTCCACCACGTTGTTCTCGCGGGGTCGGTATCAATAGGGCCCAGATGGCGGCCTCCCTGGCTTCTTTCCGATTGGAGAGGGTTGGCTCTTCGAACTGATACCCGCCGATATGAGTTTGGAGCAGCCCGCCAGACGGGGGCACTTCCCTCTACGTTCTGCAAGAAACCCTTACGGGTCAGATGCTCATGTTGGCTGAGAAAATGGTAACTTGGTATATGAAAGTGGTAAATGGCTGTTCCCCAATTAGCTGTCTATCAATATACAAGAGATATCTGAGCTTACCTTGCTGTAATGAAGATGGTAGAAAATGATTGTCAGAATTGTTTCTTAGGAGATCTACTGATCCTCCATTCAAGTGACCCACCGCTTGATGGAATTCCCTGTGAATGTCTCAAACTCGTGGCCTTCTTCACTGACGGGTATGCTTCCAAATGCGCGATGGATATGACTGGGTGGATACGCCAAGTGTCTGGTATATCCAGCTTGTAGGCCAATGGGCCTACGCGTTGCACGATGTCAAATGGACCCGCGTACTGGTCGCTGTATTTTGCAGATAAAGCTTTGGGGATATCATATCCTTTGTGTAGCCGTAGCAAGACCTTATCGCCTGGGTGGAATAGCATAGGTTGATGTGATTTGTCGTGCTGTCTTTTCATGGCTAGGGCTGCCATTTTGAGTGCTTCCGCCGCGTCGACACGAGCCTCAATAACGCCTTGGAATCATCATCGTCGTCGGAAGCTTCATCGTAATCAATTTGGGCTGGCAGAATGGTGGGCTTTGCAGTCTCAGGGTAACCTTAGCGCGGAGCTTTCGTATTGCCGCCTCTATTGCCGCCATTTTCCTTGGGGTGATGTCCTTCGCTGCGCCATTCCGGAACTTTTGCGCGTAGGTGATGGTCGACCACGCGGCCGAGCCATCCGGATATGGTCGTTTCGACTCGCTTTGCTTGTCGAGGCGCTCGCCCTTGGCCATCGATATAATCATGATGTTGCCCCGAGGGGAAACGGCCGAGCAGGCTAGCTTCCCTCGACTCCGGAGAGAAGCGAAGAATTCAAAGCCTTCAGGCTTTAACTGGCAAAGCCTCTTGTAGGTACTGGCATCATGAGCGTAACTGTACAGTGTCAGTGATTCCAACCCCCACGGTGATGGAAGAAGAGGTCGTACCTTTGAGAACGTGCATGGGACCAGCATTTCGCAACGGTGGGCTCGCTGTCCCATGTCACCTCATACAAGGTCATATTATGGGATTCCTTGATCAATCGATGGCAATTGACCCAATGCCGGGCCACGCCATCGTCACCCCTGTAGAGAATCGACTGCGCCCCCAGTTCTTGTGAAGCAGTCGCCAGCACGTTCGCATATAAAGGGGGCGGAATCGCAATAGGTTTGGTCTTCGGTTCTCCATCTCTGCCGAAGGACCATTCGAGATTACGAACGCCATCTAGCAGGGTCACACACGATTTCTCCTGAGCGGTCAAAGCGAGATGGTGTTTTCGCGGCGACCTCTGCGACAACGCCTCGTCGGTCAGGGATATGCATTATGTCCTCTGCAAGCGAATCAAAAACGGAATGATAGCGAATCAATTGGCACAAGCGAATACGCTAAAGCCTGGTAAAATGTTCGAAAGCTATTTTCAGCTGCCGTGAGAAAGAATTAGCTTGACGGTAGCTAGAGGATAAAGGCTAGGTGGCACTCACGCTGGTATAATTGAAATCGGGAGCTTCGATATATCTACCGTCTCGCATCGCAAGAAGGCGAAAGGCAAGGAAGCACTGCCGAAGGGATGGACTGGTTGCTTGTTCATCTATTGGGAGGAACAACTCAAAAAGGAAATCACCCGTTCGATGAACAAACACCGTGGCACGATATGACAAGAGAAAGCCGTGTTTTATTTGTTAGTGTGCATGTACTAAATTAATTGCCCTAGACCGTCGGCAAGTGAGCAAGTGAGCAAGTGGTTGTAAGCGTTCGTAATACTGAAATGAGGCTGTATGATAGCCATGTTTGCTGGACCTTCATTCACCGGGTACTTTTCGAGCTCGACTGTCCAATATGTTTTGAGCATCCCACGACGAGGACGGTCAATTATGGCAGAGCAAGCAGGACGACGTCTGGTACACCAGAATCTGTCTGGGCAGTGGTTTGGAAGTTCCCACAGGCAAGATATAGCTCTGTCACTGACAGGGCCTTGGCCACTGCGTCGCAGATATGTTTATGGAGTCTGCCAGCAAGTCCCAGCTACTTCCAACCAAGAAGTGTTCATTGTCATCTGAGTCATCTGTCCATAGCAGTAGAGCCTTTGAGGATGATGGCGATGGTGATGGATGGATTGATGAAGTGATCCCAAGAGGGAAGACATGACACCAGTTGTGGACTTGTGGTCCCAGAAAGTGAAAAAGAGCGTCCTTGCTTCAACATTCACTTGATCACAGGTAGATCAAGAGTGTGAATATAAATCGAAGAGAAGATGCTAAACCAACCAGGTCAAAAAGACTGGTGAGATAAAAACATATAATAGCATTTATATGTTGGTGCTCACCCACTCTAGCATCTGTCCCCTTGCCACTTTAATGCTTATATTCTGGTGGCCTTTAGGTGAATAATCAGGTGCTTGAATATTCTGCACTTAAGGTAAAGAAGTCACTTTTTGGCAAATAGGCATAAAACCCATGATGTGTCCATCTTATTCCATCTCATTTCCTTCCTCCAGGTTAATCGGACGATATGCTACGAAGAGATCCATTAGCGAAGTTTGACGACTGCGTGATCAATCTTAAAAGATTTGATAATGAAGATATCAAAAGAGCGGTTCTTCCACAAACATCCAAAAAAATGAATGAAGTCTGAAACTTTTCGATAAGTAAGTCCCCTGAAGCTACAGAGGCTCGCCGCTCATCCTCTCCAGATATGTAAAGGGGCACCCCGACACCCTCTCTACCCCAGATATCTGAACATATAAAGCCTTTTTGGTATATTATGCAAGTCACATAACATTGTATTAAGGGAAAGCCTACACCAGAGCCCATTGAAGGTTTTTGCTAGGATTTTAAGACAGGTCTGGCTTGCATGAGGGGCTTTAGTGTCCTAGAGAGCGTGTCTACTATAAAGGAGGTATACATTCTTATGCCCCATCTAGCTCTACACCTAACAAATGTCAAAGTGGATCAGATTAGCTCTAAAGAATGAAGTTTCTCTGACAGAAGATGCTGAGATAGAGTTGCATTCGGACCGAGTTCGGGCGAGTCCAACTATGGTTGGAACTGAACCGCTGCGATTTCGAGTCCAAATTTCAGAAATCAGAACCAAACCTGACCCATTCCGATTTGGTTTGAGTTTAACCGCAAAAGCTTGCCGCTGCTGCCTCTAAAGGCAAGGCGCATATCCACGCGATGGTGTAGTCGTTAGGTGTGAGGGAAACCATCGTTGTCACAACAGGAACCGGGTAGAAATATAGCCTAGATCAGTTGGACACTCACATCGGAGGTGTAGAGGTAATCTAACGGCGTACAGGGACTTAATGAAGAAACTCTCAGGTTGGGAAAGGAAGAGGGGTAATCAGCTTCGTGTCCTGCAAGGCTGACTCACGTGAAGCTCTGGTCGTCTACCTGTGATTCTTCTGTAGAAATAATGAAATATCTATGATCATTGATCCCTTATAGGCAGTATACGTCAAAATCTATACTACCAGTCTTGTATTAGTCAAGTCACTAAATCTTCGTCTATCATGAAGGAAGGAATGGGCGGTGGCGGTAGTCCTGTATACTGAACTGTCATCTATCTCAGTGCTCATCTGGCCAGTGGAATTGCTGTCGCTATCCCCTAGCTGCGTGTGTTTCCCGTGGCGTCCAGGTATGTTAGCCACGTTTGGCGACCAGAATTTCCCTGTGAAGAATATGGCATGACGTCTTCCCTCAATCTTCACTGCCCAGGGTCACCTTTGGGTGTAAACGGACGCAAAGCAAATCTGAATTTAGCCGGGAACTCGGAGAAAGACAGATCCCAAAATCGTGGAGCTGTGTCGTATCGTCCAATTCAGTCCCATTGTCGAGTAGATATTCCTGCATTTGCGGGCACCAGTACTCTTGCATGAATTGCATGAGTGGTAGGTTGACGCTCTGGTACTGCTTCATGAATCTCGCTACGATCTGATCACACTCCGCAATGAGTTCCTCTTCCTCATCATGAATCCTGTCCGCTTCATCTGGATCAAATGGCTTCAACAAACATTGGCTTGGACGTAGCATATACGCCTTCCTGCAACACGTGTGTGTAAGGTCCAAATCTGTAAATGTCGCGAGCCGTATCACTGTCTCTGCCGTCTCGGGTGTTCTAGGTGCTATTTTCAGAAGTTCGCGAAGAAACATATGTATTCGTCCTTTTTGCCATATCAAAAGTGAGAGTAGCTCTTTGAGGCCGACAGATAAGGGAGTGCACCCCCTCCTTGGCGAACAGGGACAGTTACAGCCATCGTACAATCTGCTAGTAAAGGCTTGGTATAAAAAAACAGCTGCTTCAAAGCTGAAAGAAGACGATAGTGCGGTGTCATGGGAACACCGCCAGAGTTGCTCTTCGAGTACCCGTATGACCCGAAAGGTTCTAAGGTGGATGGCGGATATCGAGGTGCCAGGTACACATTTGGTCATCTCAGCACCCTTGGACACCAGCCAGCCTGCCCGTTGAAGTAGCGCGTCGGCAGTCACGTAGAAAGGGTTGATCATCAAGGGAGTATATCCAGCGGAATTAAACGTATCGACATCCACGAAACCAGCATTGTACAGCCGATCCATAAGCTGTCGGTCCAATTGCCACTGATGAAATATGGTGCCATACTCTGGTCCAACATCCCGTGCGTGCGATCCTCGGGGGTCTATGCTTTGATTAACTGGAATTCCGGCGTCTCGGAGAGCATCAAAAACCATCGGGGCATTCGCATCAGGAAGCACATCCCCGGAGATACCCATTGTGTGTCTTAGGCTCATTGGCAATGCCATTAGTGCTAAATCACGGAGTGTTTGGCGTCGTTGAATTAACTCCTCGACCAGGACATCTACTATCTCCGGGGTCGAGCGGGTGACCGCATAACTGATATGATCCGGCAGGAGCGCGGCCCCTGCGCGAAGAAAGACCAGCAGAGAGGCTGGACAGTCAGAGGGTATCACCCACCGGAGAGGGTTACAACACCCTACATCCCACGGATCCAGTATGCCTCCTTTGCCCGCTCTAGTTATATCTGCACCTGCATCCAGGAGGATTTTGATACCGGCAGGCCAGCCTGCGGCGAGCTGCAATGCCGTGTAGTCACCGATAATGCAATCACCAGAGAGCTGGCCTGAGCCCACTAGGCTCGTCAATTCATGCTCTGCCTGCTGAAATATTACTAGAGCAGGATAGGACACAGAGACAGCTTGTGGAGTTAGCCCTCGCTCAACACGTGATATGCCCTCCACACGTACCTTCGGGGTGACGAAGAATTGTGTATCGGATTAGCGGTCTGTTCCACGGGTTCAGCGCGTTGTCTGTAATACAGCACCCAGCATTGGCCATATCGGAGATGAGGGCATGCCCCGATAATTGCTTCGGCAGGAGGTTTCTCAACACGCTGTCCAGAGCTGTCAGACTCCCGTCAGTCGGTACGCCCTCTCTAAGCAAGTAGCGGATCACTTCGCGCAGCTGCCTAACGTCGCTTCTTCGGAATACTTCGAAGAAATATCTATCGGCTACCCACTGGGTTTTGCTTTGGTGAGTGCGATATTAGCTGCAGTTGCAGGAGTACGTACATCTAGCATGGTTTGTCCTTCCAGATTTACATCTGTGGGTCTAGCCTTTCCTGATCTATACACCAATTCCAGCCATTGCAGAATTCCTCTGCCGTCTAGAATTGATGTATAATATAACTTTCCAAAATCTCGAAAGTATTTGTAGGTAATCATGGGGCTGATGGCGCAGCCCCCGGCACCTTTTGTGATGGTGAGCGACACAGTCAAACTGAACTGTAGTAGTTTGTGGCACATCTGAAAGCTCTTGTTGAAAATCATGCGATCCCCTTTTTTCCTACGTTGCACGTCCTGCGGAATCCCTATCTCTGATTAGGCTTAGGGTAAGCACTAACGGACTCACTGTTCAATCTCCACTGCTGATCTTCAGTCTAAGAGTAACGCTGTCATTCGTTCACTACTACTAAGCTTCCTTAGGTTATGGACTTGTGGAATCAATATATCTTTCCGGGCAAGGTCTTTATACATCACAGACATAAATAAGGGAAATCTGGCACTAAATACTAAGCAGAAGAGATTATTCCCTATAAGACAGACACTGCATAAGCTGGATACACATCAGGACCATAATTTAAAACAGGGTAGAACAAAAGGAAAGCACTAACTGAGAAGAACCCCAAGCTAATAAGAGGTACGATCCAGTGGATATCAGGCGCGCACTCCAGCCAAACTAGAATAGACAGATGGGGATAAAACAACCACTGATGATGGCTAGAGGAAGACATGCTTCAGGTAGTACATTACCATTCTCATTAAATTAGGGCTCAAGGTATTTATACATCCACCAGTAGTAGGGTGGGATGGTGATAAGAGTAGCAATGAGGATACCAGGAAAAACAAGGCCTTGTTGGCCGAGGTTGAAGTGATAGATTCCCTTAAAAATGATGGGAAAGGACTCAAACTAGACATAGAGGAGGCCGTAGATGAGTGCAATATAGAGATTAAGGAGAAAGACCATCAGCTTCATGAAGTTGAGAGTAAACGGTCTGACCAGGGTAATCATAATAATCTCGCGTCCCATAGTCCTTCACTTTCGATCTCTGGTCCGAACTTTAGGTTCTCTCATCCAGTGAGTTTACACAGTTATTGTGTGTGTTAATAGAGGGATATTTACTGATAATATCTCAGGGAGTAAGAATAGTAACATGAGAAGTGAGAATCCTAATAACCACATCAATTCCTAGATAGTCCATCACCGTCTTTTGCCTGTGCTGTGAATCCTTTGACTAGCAGTCCCAGGACAAGACCATATATAGTACTAATGCCCCAGATGCTGATTGCATAGGCATATTTTACTAGCTTAAATATATCAGAAATGGTGCACCACCCTGCTTATGTTAGCTCACTGTCCCTCTTGTTATAAGGCTCCATACCATAGCAGGAGCAGGCGACCCAAAGAATTCTGTTAGAAATCGAAAAGCGAGCAGCGTCCCTAGGTTTCCCGCCAAGGCCTCGGGACCTGTAACACTGTGAATATAGCCAAGGTGAAGATGTAGACTGGATTCCATCCTATCTGAGGAACTTCACTCATATGTGACTAAATCAGCGGACTAAGTCTGTATCCTGCAACAGACGATGTCAAGCCCAACATTGCCATCACAGGACTGATTCCAAAATCCTTGGTCACTGTGACAATCCCAAGAGTATAAATAGCACTTCCGATATAAACACTAAAGGGTAAGAGACAGATTTTGAAGGTGACAAAGACCTTCTTTATGCTATTGGAACACGGAGCCGATGCCAACGCCCAGGGTGGACGCTATGGCAATGCACTGCAGGCTGCCTCATCCAGAGGACATGAAAAGATTATGCAGATGCTCTAAACAGTAATTCTACCTGCGAAGCAGACACCTTGTGATTTTCCTTCTAAGAGGTTAAAGTGCTGGAAAGGACACGTCAGCAGAACAGGGGTCGAGCAGGGTCACTGGGTGAGCAGTACGGAGTATTGAGGTGAGCTTCAGGTGAACCGAGTGAAGAGGGTGAAGACAGGGCGGCAAGGATACTAAACAATGAATTAAAGAAACAAAAAACATACAACAGTCGGGATTCGCTGGTGGTCACCCACCCAACTACTAACCGGCCGGCGTGTGGCTTAAGTACGGCTGAGCGGACGGGAAGCCCTGTTTTCCACACCCTGTGGTCGTATGTGCTAGACATAGGTTATGACCGGTATATATCGAGACAAGTCATTAAAACCGATGTGGTCATACTCAAGAAAGACAAGAAAGAGAGAAAGACGGGGAAAGGAGAATGGTAACTGACTCCAGTCGCAGTGTGCGTCCTCTTTCGCTTGCCAACAGGATCTAACTTGGATGTGCGTTCAGTGTCATTGAACCGGTCAAGTCTGAGAAAGTCCAGCTCTATGCTGAAATAGTTACGCAGGACATAGTCACCACCCTTGGAGGGGTACCCGAACATATTCACCCCAGGGCCGGAACCATAGGCTACCCAGAAGCGACCTTCAGGATCATGTGTTGTTGTTAGCATGATCTGGCTGCCGAGTCTGTGACATGTAGTTGAAGACTGCGGGTTCTTACCGAGTAAACTATGCTGAAACTAGGCTGGCTGACTGACCCAATTCCGCCGCCAAAACCTGACAATCATAGATGCAGGTAGATACCAAGTGAACAACACTGTTATACTAAGCTAGCTACACTGCTTTTCTTGGATGCTTCTCCCACAAGAAACATGCTGTTATAAGACCCAGAGCTGTGAGTGCAGTCAGGAATACATTCTGTAAATTATAGCCCTCAGCAAACGCCTTTTTCACTGCCGCCTGCTGCGATGGAGTCAAGTCTTGGATAGCAGATAGTGAGTTATAGATTGCCTGTGCTTGCTCTGGCGAGACAATTGACTGGATGCGAGGCTTTACATGATTGTTGAGGATTGTTGCACTATTCTTAATCAATAGACGTCTGAAATGGGAAAGGGAAAGGAAATTACCAGATTGCAAGTGATATTGTCCCTCCTAGCACGCGGATCTGCGTTATGGCACCCATCACGACCGCTTAATGGAGTTAGTAAAGCAGTGGCAGTGGTTATTTTATTTAGTTGAAACTTACCTATATGCTTCTCCTCTGCCACTGCACGAGCAAATGTGAGGATTGTAGTTAGTCCTAGTCCAAAACCTATCCCCATGATCACTTCAAAGCCATATTGCGATGGAGGAACCTTGGTCTGATCAGTGGGGTATGAGCAGGATAACCCAACACCAATAAACTGTAGGATTGATGCGCCGAGGATAAGGTAAAAGGGTGGGATTTTCAAATTACTGGTTAAGTAGCCAGATAAGGCTGTTGCAAAGGGGGATGTGAGTAGTAATGGTAGCAAGGCAAGCCCAGCCCTAAGTGGAGGCAGGCTGCTCACTGCCTGTGCTCTTTGTGGTATATTAACAACAATAGCCACAAATGGGAAGCCAATAAAAAAGGCTGTACTAATCAAAGTTAATAGGAGGGCACTAAGGTCTCATAGCAACTTACAGCAGCATCACTGTCAGCAGCCTATCCTTAAGAATGCTAGGAGGAAACACTGGCTCCTGGACAGATCCTTTCCTTTCAAGTAAAACCTCCCAGCTTGCGAGAATAATCACAGCAATGATCGCCAGCACTAGTGGGGTGATGATGGCAGTGCTGTCCCATGGGTACCGACTTCCTCCTTCCTCTAGAGCAAAGACAAGTAGAACAGAAGAGGTAAGCAACAAAAACATGCCCCATATATCAACTCGTACAAACCCTGACTTGGACAGCTTGGTCCCCAGGCGTTTGCGCAATGTAAGCTTTGAAGTCATCTCAGATGCTGGTAGACACCACACGATCAGGACAAGGGCCACGAGACCCCCTGGGACACTGGGATTGGTTAACCTCATTCAATGAAAGCCCAACACTTGCAGTCTGCTTACTTAAAAAGAAATACCCATCTCCATGAAGAATGCGTGTTGATGACGCCACCAAGGATGGGACCCAGGACACTGGCGACAATGAAAACAGTTGATACAATGCCCATATACTTGCCATATTTCTCAGGAGGGACCATATCTGGCGCAATCACCATGACCATAGAGTAGATCCCTGATGCACCAATACCCTGGAATGCACGGAATATAATCCTAAGCCATACATGAGCATTGGCAGGATGGCCTGGTGGACCGAGTTCTATAACTCACAGTTCAATAATCGACGTAGAGAGGCCACAGAGAAGGGAAGATAAAGAGAAAATAATTAGTGCAAGGACAAGCATTGTCTTCCTTCCAAAGATATCGCTGAATTTAGCAAAGATAGTGAGGAATCCTAGACCTGTTCATCAGCTATTCTTTATTAGTTTAATCCTCTCTAGTTACTGACCTGTGTAGGTTAATAGGTAAGCAGTGACAACCCAGTCCTTAATAAGGAAGCCATTCAAGGCGTTGGTGATGGAAACCAGCGAAGTACTAACAATGGTGGTCTCAATAGTAGAGAGAAAGAGGGCAATCCAAACACTACACAGTGAGTTTACTGCCTTGCTTGCCTCAGGAAGCGCCTAACCAAACATACCCAATTGTTAATAGCCATAGTTTCCAGCCTGTCAAATACTTCCGGGGCGACTTGTTTTCTTGCTCCCCTTCCGCCCCTTCTGTGCTGGATTTGATTGCCACAGGACCAGTATTAACTTCTGTTGGCACCGACTTTTGTTGGCTTATCGACAGACGGCGGTCCATCTCAAACAAGGCAGGGGACGCCTTGTCGAGTGTCTGCTCGGTGGACGCCATAACAGCACCTCGAAAAGGACGATGTTGCGGAAGACGATGCTACAGGCAAGGGATGTAAAGAGGAAAAGTTCGACGTGGGGTTGCAATCTATTGAGACAATTACTAGCCACATTATGGTCAGGGATTAGACAGTAATATTGTAAGCCGTTTCGGCTCGATACCTTTCAATTCATCATTACACCCCTATGATTTACAGCATGGCTGCAACCTAAAAACCAAGCAACTAAAGGCTGGCTCACGAGTGGACGGAGGTTGTGCCGCGCTGATTTCTTACAGTGAACGACATTAATGTATGGTACACCCTTGATACACCTATTGACCATCTTGTTGGGATCAATACCACATTGCTGCATAGAGGATGAAATTAGCCCTAGAGGAATCCGCTCATCATGGTATGAAATCTTACTGAGTGGCAATTCATCCTAAAGTCACCACTTCGTTGATCTTGGCTAGCTGCAGCAATGGAGACCTAATGATCCCATACCAAGCCAGGTCAACATGGGCAGCCAGGATTCCCTTCCCCTATCAACCCTGCAGAGACACCAAGATGGAATGGATGACTTTAATCTGAGCCTTCCCACTCCTGGAGGACTGTAATGTTAGTCCGGTTGCTTCAAGGTCATCTCTTTCTCCCGAGACCATTGCCTGGCTGATTTCCTCAATGTCCAGTGTGCTACTAATATCTGACTCATTATCGATCTCCAAATTTTCGTGGTGTTCCAGGGACTCAGGAGTCAGAACTTCCAGAAACTCTGCTGCTCTCCAATGACTTGTTGCTCTTGGAACATGTATCGTATTCAATTGAGCCACTGGGATCTGCAGAAATGGTTTAAGCATCCTTGGGCCCTTCTTGCTGCATCTCACCATAGAGATCCCTCATCTCTTGCAGTTTCTCTGGGGGAAAGACATGTGAGTTATTTCTTGTCTTTTTCCTCATTAATATCTTGGTAGTTGGCATGGTGAAAATGGAGCTTCTCATCCTCAGTCCAGCTGCACTGGAACATCTCGGCCAATCGAGTCTGCCTTGCACGACGAGTTTTGCGCACCACTGTCCATAGACAGCGGTTAACAGGAGGCAAAACTTCCTCTTCCTTGCTCTCGTTGGAGCGGAGCTTGCTTATAGTCATCAACCCACTGAAGATGACATCCTCTGCTGTCAGTCTACTCCCAGTTCGTTGAGTCTTCTGGATCACCTGTGCCATCGGAGTAGACCCAGGGAACTGGTTGTGTCTGGGCGAGTTAAGATGGAGGGCTTCCCGGGCGATCGATTATTGCATGGCTTCAACCCAACCATCTGCAGTTCCTCTATCAAGAGGAGCATGAAAGTCGTACACCCTTGCCTCTTTCATGGCGATGTCCTCAGGGTCCTTTCCGCATGAGACTTCCAATGGCGAAATAGTCCGTTTGCGGCGATAGTGGCCCGGCTCGTATGCCTTCAATTCCTCTGGCAGATCTTCAACTATCGCGTCTGAATAGAAGTATCCAAGGAGAATGCGACAACGTCGGACCGACTGGAACCGGAGTATAGGATGGCTATATAGCCACACATATCAAACGTCCGGTTGAACACGGATGTAGCTGTGAGGAACCAGATTTGTCATACTCCCTTGCGGTCCGCGTGTCCTCGAAATAGCTATTAGTAGCTGCTCATATCAACATACCACCCTTTGACTTTGTCCTGTGTTCTATGGACAAAACCATGACTTTGATTGAAATAATGGTTCAGGAGGAGGTCCCAGACGCCAGTTACGGCGCCCTTATAGTCCTGAACACTTGCGGCCCGGTGCTCATTGTGGAAGGTCAATAAGGTACCATATTTTGATGCCATGGAAATCAGGAAGGGCACAGCACACAGTTGATCAAAGAAATGCTTCTCGTCGGATGGGTTTGCTTTGCGATGATCTTTTGGATCCGTACTGACAACGACTGCTTCTTTTGTGAACGGGTAAGGAGACCCTCCGACGGAGACGAAACAAAGACGTCCGGAGTTGTGGCCTTTTCGACGACGTCATTCTTCTTCGACGGGGTATGGGCAGCAGGCTGGTCGACTGATTCAAGGGGCCAGGCTCGGACAGGATCGCCATTCATGACAGCCAAAAGGCCGCCCCGTTGAAGGAACATCCTATTCGAATACCATTATCAATAAAAAGGGAACCGAATGTGGATATTCAAGGAAGAAACACTTACGAGTCATGTTTTGCGTCCCAGCCGCGTCCTTTGCCAAGATAAAACGAACACTGCGAGCCTTTGGAGTTCCATAAGCAGTTTGCGCATCCTGGCCTTCCACCTGAACAGGACCTGGTGTAGGGCGGTCGAAGAAAGTCGCTGCCTGATGGATAGCGTTCGAGGTGTGCGATAGATATCACGGGGTGGATCCGCCAGGTCTCCGGTAGATCAAGCTTGTAGGCTAAAGGGCCGCCACGCTGCAGGACGCTGAATGGGCCAGCGTATTGATCGCTGGACTTCGGGGATACCGCTTTGGGCACACTGTAGCCCTTGTGTAGACGCAGAAAAAACTTATCTCCTGACTGGAAGATAATTGGGGGGTGTCCTTTGTCTTATTGGCGCTTCATGGTCAAACCTGCTAGCTTCAATGCCTCTGCGGCTTCGACCCCAGGTTGAAGGCTCATTTTGGCTGGTGTAAGTGGTTTCTGGCAAAGTGGTAAATGGCTGTTCCCTGATTAGCTGGCTGTTAATATACAAGATATCTGTGAGCTTACATTGTCTGTATGGAGATGGTAGAGAATGATAGTCAGAAATATTTCTCAGATGATCTATTGATCCTCCATTGAAGTGAGCCACCACTCAGTGGCACTTCATGTGAATAGTCGTAAACCGCGTGCCTTTATTGCAGACCACGCAGACCAACCATCGGACATGGTCGTTTTGAATTGCTTTGCTTGACAGGCCTTTCAACCGGAGCCGAAGGCGTCTCTCTTAACTGTGTTATTGTCATCGTCCGTCTCCGCGGCCTGGATTGGCGGCCCCTTTCTTGGGGAACAATCTTTGTGGAATGTGCTAACAGGATACGTGTATCTTATCCATATTGGTGTGAAAGCAGCGCCAAGATGACAAACAGTTGGCCTGAGACGCTGGATGTCCCAAGACTGTGTACATCTCTGGACGGTCTGGGCTCATAGTACTTTCGCCGCAGGCCGGCTTGAGCTCAAAGTCAAGCATGGTCACGGCCTGCGTCTCCGGCGAGTATAGCACATTATGCTTTCCAGAATTACCCAATGCTTCTGAGCACTTTAATTGCTTTGCGGATGGCGGAGCGTATGTGCTCCTTGTGGTCTGCCGAGAGAATGTCCCATTGTTTTGCCAAGGCGCTCGCCCTCGGCTTTCGATATAATCATGATGTGGTCTCGAGGGAAGACGAACGAGCATGTTATCTTCCCTCAACTCATGTGTCTCTTACATCGTCACAGCTGCTGAAGTCCTCCCTCCAGGTGGCGTTGTCGTTCTCTCTGGCTGTGTCCGGGAACAGTGCAGAAGAGAGGTGAGAACACATCAGGCCAGATAGACGACAGAGAGTCCGTACTAGCCTAAAACTGTTCCTGATCTCCCCCCGTCCATCGTTCAGCTGCAGAAGGGTTATTGGAGACTCGTTCAAGATGGGAACATCTTCTGCTGTGTCTGAACCACCAGTATGTCTTCCGTGTCATTGGTGGTCCTCATTGGCTCTGTAGGTTTGTGGCTCCTCCAGGACATTCAGTATGCGGCAAGAGAAGTTCCTCTTCGTGGCACCAGCCGGTACTGGGCCTAGAGACGACAGGACCAATCCAAGGGGAGTCTGCCATCAAGACTCATTCTCGATAACTGGGGCAGGTGTAACGTGTTGAGAGTCTGACGCGGTGGGCCTCCAGAATGGTAGTTGATTATGGTCATGTTTATCGATCTCAAATCTGGCTCCTTTGAGCGTTCTCTCTCTTCCCACGCCGGATTTCTAATGCGTCCCAAAAGGATGGCTCTCGTAATTGCAACCTGAGCTCCCCGTAGTTCTGGCATTGCCTGTAGAAACCGAATGAGTATCCTTGCTGCAGCTCTAAGTGCGGCTCTGCGTGGAACAAGCCCTAGAGCGTATATCACTTCCCAGATCGTCCTCGCGTCCTTGGCGTCCTGTTTTCTGTTTCCCGGACAGGAACGCATGCTGCAGCAGTGGATCTTGTAGACAAGAAGATCCAAGGGGCGACAAACGGCAGATGGCTCAGTCCACATCGAAGTCTATGTCGTCCAACGTCATTGCATGCGCAGGTAGGTATGGCGGCTGTCGTCAACCACACGGTGGGCACCAGACTGCCGAGGACATTGTCGATCCATTATAGCAAGTATGCCGATGCTGATCGAAGTCTCATTGCTGTGCGGTGTGGGCAGTTTCGTTGTCTGGAACAATGTATTCCGATCAGCAGTTAGTCTTTCTCTGGATATGTTCTGGTTTAAAAAGGATGGCAAATCACTCCAATTGTTACTAGTGATCGTTCATCTGCACAAACGCCCAGCACTTGGCCCTTGGCCCGTAGCGGAGAACCGCCCAGAACGGGACTCGCCAGAGGCGAGCTAGCGGGCTGCGGACTGGCGGCGGGAGGCTGGCTGGTCCGGGGCGACATGGTACTCAGCGGGAGACTGAACAAGGACCCCAAAGGGGGAGAGGTGGCGGCACCGGAGTGGGAACTGGTGGACTCATCGTCCTCCGAAGAGGAACCAGACGACACAACGACAGGCAAACGACGGCGGGCATTCAACGCGACGAGCAGATCATCGGATGACTTACCTGGTTAGCAACCATGACTCGACGCTGACGAGCTGAGAACTCGAAGGAAACACTTACGGAAGAAGAGGGAGCAGGAGAAACGCCTGTAGAGAATGACGGCGGATTGCTGAACAGAATTCATAATCGGCTTGGTCTTTGGCTCACCGTCCCTACCGAAGGACCACTCAAGGTTACGAACAACATCAAGGAGAGTGACGCACGACTTCTCTTGTGCAGTCAGTGCAAGGTGATGCTTGGCCGCAACCACTCCGCGGCGATCAGGAATGTGCATCGTATCGTCCGGGAACGAATCGAAGAAGGAATGGTAACGAATTAACTGACGACGACGAATGCGAGAAGTAGCCGACAACGGTTCCAATAAACTTACGACTTGTTGCGAACAATGACCATAGGCGCAGTGTTGCATCTTGATATACGGCAGTATTCGACGAGGTTTTCTGCCTGCAATGGTGATGTGCTATCCATGAGGTGATAACTTGGTGATATCGATTGCAGCGCGTTGGCGAATGAACCCGGAGAAAGCTCATATGACAAGAGCAAGCTTAGCAAGCCTAACCAATGGCTTTACCTGAGCTCCGGAACTCCCCCAGATTGGTGCTTGAGCCATCCACCGTCCTCTGCAGTTTCCTGCATCTGGACAGGAGTGTCCGGGAATGATGAGCTCTGCAGCCCAGGGCCTGATATCCTGGTCTCCTGAACTGGTTGGTAATTCTGCGCAGTTTTGGATTCGATGCCTTTGAACAGTGTCGGCGAATTCACCCCAGATTGATCAAGACCTGAAGACCTCAGCGGCTCCTTGCAAGGTTGTTCATCATCAGCACAGTTTTCATTTAAGTTCTCTTGCATTCGGATCCTTTCTGCCCTTTGCATATCTGAAATTCCGCTTATCTTCCAGGATTGCCCGAATCTCCTTTTCAGACTTGGATCTTATGACCCAGTGCGTTGTCATTGTGTAAGACACAGTGGATGTAGGCGTGAATCTGATGCCGTCTTGCATTATTCAGAAACCGCAGGGTCGGCTGCTCTCTATGAATTCAGCCCACCGCTGCGATGGAAGATAGGCGGCTATTGATGTATTGATCAGCCTTCGTCCAATGCCAGAGGTGTGAAGTTTCAAGCAAGCTTACCAACTCCTGTGGGATGTCGTCCACCTGGGTCAGCCACTGGGATTGCTGGTGAAGTATATTGGCTGCGCTCTCTCCTCGAACCGGTCTGGTAATTGGGAGACTAATCGGTGACACGTAGTATATCAACATCCTGGAGGGTGAGTTTGTGAGCAGAGTTGGCAAATAAAGGCAAGAATACCAACTCACCCTGGTCATCCGGTAAGTGGCCGCCTTTGTTAAGAACTCCTGGGCTTCACTGATAGGGCCACTAAATAGCAGTCTCGTCTCGCCCATCACGCCTGGATCATCCCAGCCAAGCTGGCCTAGGGATGCGGCTGCTATGTGGGTTTTTGGCATCAGAAAGACCGACGGTCTCAATTGCAGAATCTTTTGCAGTCTCGAAAAAGTGCTGGAGCGTCTTCTTATCAACCGTTTTGCCCGCCTTGATGCCTTTGGCTTCCACACCAGTCTTCAGCTTACTGCAGATAGTTAGTATGCTCTCAGCGTGCAGCGCAGACTCAACATAATGGAAACCCAGCCTTGAGGTAAGGAGAACCAACTTTCTCAGCTTTTTCCTATTCCATACGTACTTGTTCGGATCGATCCGACTCTTGATGAAGAGTCCGCGCTTGTGAGCCAGCGAGAATTCTCAGACTCGTCGGCTTCGAGGTCATTGAATTTTAACTCAACACCTTCCGCTGGAGTGGGGGGGTATCAGCGCCAATCCTGTTGATGAGTCAATGCGGATTGTACGCGGTTCTCGGTTCTTCCTGTAACTGCTTGCCGGAGCTTTGGTGATCACCCAGAAATCATAGTAATTGTCTCATGCAATAGCAGGAACGAGAGCAGATGTTGCCCACAGCCGCAAAGGTGCAACGGAGCGGTGGTAGAGACTTTTTGGATGACAGAGATGAATATGGACGAACCAAGTCCTCCCCTTTAGGGTCATGGCCACTAATAGTGACTCGCCATCATCAGGATCCTCGGACTTACATCTCCCCCAACATCAGCGGGAACGACCACTAAAGGCAGTGGCCGCTGCCCTCTCCAGGCGGGAGGTCCACAACATCCATGCTGTCCAGCCGCCGTTCGAGAATCCTTGACAATTGAACTGTTGAAGGCGAACGAACCGTTGAATTCTTGAATGAGCGAGATCCTGTGTCAAGTACAATATGAGCCTCCTTCCGGTCATAAGGAAATGCGATCCATATTCTGAAAGATTTGCCGCTGGAGAGTATCTCGACAAGGTGTTTTTCCACAACATTGATGGCATATCGGGTGTGTATCACATTCCTATCGATTTGGCGAGGGCAACCAGTATTGTTTTGGTGTAATGCGGTATGATCCTTATATTATTTAGTGTTAGGAGATATAGGGGATCGCGTTGTAAGATGTTGTCCGATTGTCATTGTCCCCTTGCTGAAGAAGTAACCGATATCGGCTGGCGGCCAGTGGCCGTTGCCGCAGACTCTCGCAAGGAGATCGTCTCCTCGGATGTGCGTCGGGTTCTGACGCCAAATCTAGGGAAGCGCATAGAAGGTGTCGGATAGCATCTCGCATAAGCGTGGAGCTGCTCGAGCTTCTTGGACGAAAGTCCTTAATGCTGGTAGGTCTGCTACTTGGAGTCAGGCCCAAAAGGAAGCGGATACAGCCCGCGTCTCACTTGCCTGGCCAAGTTCCAGCAAAAGAGATTCCCTTCCATCTGGAGACGGTAGAAAAGGGGCATCTGCTCGTAACCAGGAACCATGGTATATCACTATGGCCGAACGTCGTCTGCCTGGGATATTTGGACCGGAGTGTCGTCCACATCCATTTGGGTCGAGTGGGTAGACCGATCTGTATCTTGATCCAGAGCTTGCCTGCCGCCTCGCCGAGTTGATCTGCCTCTGGCCATGGTCTGTTTCATAGCAGATCGACGAAAATTCTCAAGAGGCAACACAGTTAGCCCAATACTGGTATAGCCCGGAGAACGCAGACCCTACTCACCCAGCGAAGAACTGGAGTGCACGACTCCAGAACCCCACAGGAGCAGCCGCAGCCATGGGAGAGCCTGGCGCAGAGACGAACGGGGGGGTCGGGGCCGACGCAGGAGGGGCACCACGCGGCAGAGCACCGTCGCCCAAGCGGCCCGGGCCTTTCTCCCCTGCTGGCACATGCCTGTTCAATAGTTAGTGATTGCGTAGACGTCGAAATAGGTGGGTGACCTTCATGCACTCGTTTCTCTCATGACACTCAGACTGCATGATCTTCAAGTCGTCGTTGTTGCTAGTATTATCAACAGAGCCATCTCCTTGTTCATTAGAAACAACTCATTTGAGCTCTTCCACGACGCGAATGCATGGCTGCCTTGGTAGCATCTTCCCACCAGGTCTCTCGTAAGTCGAATAAAACCCGGAGACACACGGGCCATCATCCATATAACGCGCGAGTTGGCCCGACAACAAAGGCAAGCATATACAAGCGGTAAAGTTTCTTTGTCCTAGTCTGTATCTTAACAGGTGCTCTGATTGTGCCGGCAATGTAGAAAGATGAGCAACTGGGAGGGGTTTGGAAATCAGGATACACATACCTAGTCCTTTACAGCGCTCGGATCTGCCCGCTGCGCAAACTACAGTCTATATGACGCAGTTAGCCCAATACTGGTACTGCCAGAAGAACGCAGACCCTACTTACCCAGAAAAGAACTGGACAGCGGCGGCCCAAATACCTGCAGGAGCAGGCGCTGCCATCGGAGACCCCGGCGCAGACACGAAAGGGGCGGCAGCGGCAGCAGGGGCGGACCCGCGCGGCAGGGGACCGCCGCCCGCGGCGACCCGAGCCCGAAAGGCCCGAGCCGCGCAGGCGACGGCCCCCAGGGCGACACCAGCAGCACGGGGATGCGCGACCTCCAAAGCCACCTGGGCGGCGACGACGGCACGGGCCTCGGGGAGGGCAGCCGCAGGGAACTTCAAAAGAAGAGCAAAAATCAGTATCTGCGACGAAAACAGAGCACAAGGGAAACGCACGGATTGGCAGGGCTGGTGGAGGGCCCGACAACGGAGGCACTTCGCCCCATTCTGCCGATAGCCGTTGCAAAACGGCAACGGCGCCCCCCCCACCCCGTCCGGGCGCCTGTAGGCACCGGTAGCAATGCTCCTCGACAGGAGCGCGGCCCGGACCGAGGAGGGGGGGCGAGAGACGACGCAGGTGGGCAAGGCGTTTGAATGTGTAACTGTAGGGTATAGTGTGTGCCACCTCTAGACTGCATGGGACTCATTAGCTGACCATTCAATGTGCAGGTGTTGCTGTGCTTCGTAAAGTGCTTTGATATTGACAAAGAAGCATATGTAGAAGACGTATGCTTACTCAGGCATGAAGGATGTGTGCTCACTCCGGCATGTTGCTAATCGCTGATACTGGAGTGCAGGTGGTTGCATAACTTAGGGTTTGATCTCAAGGTCCCCGACAGATGCATTCTGGCGAACTTTTTTTTTTTTTTTTTTTTTTTTTTTTTTTTTTTTTGTTCTCCCCTTTCCCTCACGACGGAACAAGCCCAAGATGTCTTCTTTGGGCGCCGTCCGGGTTCGTTGAAAGCTAAGGATCAAACCTCGTATTGCTTGCGGGTTCCGTCGTGAGGGAAAGGGAGGACATGCGACGTTGAGTAACTATGACAGAAAGTGTTAGTATAGGGTTTGGTATCAGTCTGTTCCTCATTCGAGCTTCTGCGCAAGGTTTTATCATCGCCAGGAAAGAGACTACTCACGAAGATGACTCGGAGAATAGCCCGAGCAGAGGAAGCAAATGTATCCTTTGCAAGGACAAGTCCCATGGAGCGATGAAGTGCGACAATCCAGACGCTCCGTTTGCGCTGTCGGAAGTCTTGCGCGTCCAAACCCAAGACCATCAGGAATAAGATGAAGTATTAGGGGTACAGAGACAAAGGGAGCAGGAAGGCGGAAGTGAGATGGAAGAATAGTGTCCAGGGAGTATACCCGTTGCGCGGTATGTGGGCGCTTGGAGACACCGGTAGCAGTAGGACGTATTCAATGAGAAAAGGATGGCTCCACAACCCCTTTACGGCACCCCTCGGATACTTTGGTAGAATACCAGAGAGTCATTATTTTGAAATCGTGCGTCAATCGTCAGTGTCGAGATCGTGTGGAATTCCGTGATGAGATAGGGGTTCTGAAAGTTATTAGCATCATACTAAAGGAGAGTTTCGGTAGCCTTACCGGTTCGTCTTCCTGTCCTTCTGCGGCCTGTAAATCGGAGGTTGACAGTGTATAATTAGTCGAAAAATTCGCTGTCGGTGCTAGCTGGTCTGTTGCGTAGAAGCTGTGCACCCCTGAAGCTCCTCCATGTGAACTTGTCTGGGTCCTCGCTGTTTGCCAGGAGCTCGAATTCGAGAACGATAGGCCGGAGGCTCAATAGCTGGCGATCCGATCTGCAGCCATCCATCAAGATCTAGAAGGCCGCTGACTGATACCACAGCGAAAACGAAAGACACAAACCAGGACTCATAGCCAGTCATGGTGGCTCTGATTGAAAGGCCACCGGCTCGTTCAGTCAGCAATGTCACCGCAACTGAAGACTCAACAAGTGCTCAACAATAACATACTGATAGTCGGAGGGGTCCCAAGAACCCTTCATACCAGAATGGTAAGAACAGAGCCCGGTCTTTGAACGCCTGTTTACCGGCCATCTCGGCTCTCCAGGAAGTCCATTAAATGTAATCATTCGAGTCACGGAAAATCTCTTGCTTCCAGCGACCATTTTCTCAGAAGGCCAAAAAGAGAAGAGAAAAAGCTCCAAGAGTCTGAGACTTTGTAGGGCGCATACCTCAGCGCCCAGAATGTTGCCGAAATAGTATTCTGGTAAGGGCGCTGCGAGCTCTGAGATAGCAGTTTCACTCTATATCACAGTTAGACATGGACTAGCAAGGTCTGAAGTCGCAAACCCACCCATAGAAGAGCCAAACGAAACCCATAATAACGCCGAAAAGCGCAGCAAGGCCCCGGCCCCGGCCAGCGGGGCCGGGGCTTTTGGGGTTTCTTAACATCCGAGCCGTGGCGCTTTAGCTCTTGTTGTTCAGCGATGTTGTCTTCTCGCACTTTAACTCCAGGTGTTTGGGTTCTCAACGGTGACAACGGAACAGAGGTATTTGTTGGCGTTCTTCAGTGCCACTGCGGAAGCATGGTCGAGGTACTCGATGATCATGAGGCGTATCTGTTGCTTGACGGAGGACCATAAGAGATCTTTTGGGAGTCATGATGGCAGTAGCTTCGACACTCTGTTGTCTCTCGAGTCCGTGGAACATCTCGACGAGCCACATCACCATCCCCCTGGCTGTCACCGCCAGGGGCACCCGCGTCATACGCCTCTGCGCCAGCGCTGCCGTGGCCCTTCTTCATTTCACTCAGGAGCTTCCCAAAACGGGTATTGTGGTCCTCGTGTAGCCTTGGTGGGTTTCCCAGGTCAATGGTCATTATACGCAGCGGAGGGATGTCGTCTCCGATTAGTCCAGTCGAGCGAACGTAGTATCGTGTCCGACGTCTGATTCTAGAAGGCAAGCTTAACGGAGCCTAACAAAGAACAAGAAGTTAGTAATCCAGAACGCTAACGCAAGCCGTATGAGAAGTAGATTGCTTGCTGTGTCTTAAGAGGGTGTGAATATCAGTGTCACCATCAGGGTTAGCAATATCGTACAGTAGAATGCAGGAGACCAACATGTGTTGTGAACCGAGGTTTTGCTCTCACCAGTCAAATTCTACCTTTCTCATCCAGTTACCATGGCATTCATGTGCCAGATTGGGTCTATCCTTCTGTGTAAACTCGATGATGAGGGCGACATTGACATATGGATGGCCCCCAATCATATTCTCCATAAAGCGTTTGTGAGACTCTGACCAGCCAGCTTCGATAACTGCGAGTGGCGCACGGAAGTCATAGTCTTGGGGAGGCAAGGGAGAAGTTGAGTAGGCAAATTCGTTCCTGGCGTCGTCCGATGTAGACGTAAAAGTCTGCGAAAAAATCTAGCAAATACCTGCAGGAGACGTATAAGCGAAAGAATCTATGGGGAAACGATCATCCATAAAGAGGCTTATGAAGGTCTCAGACGAACTCGTGTCCAAGAAGTAGAGGAGTCCAGGGGTACAATCTGCGCATACCTAGTTGCAATCAACAACACTGATTCTTTCAAAATGGTTCGTTTGAGATCTGCGACGCGGAAATGGTGTCTGTATGCATGGCCCCAGTTGAACCTCGCAATCTTGATCACACCAGCTGCTACATCTCAAGACAGTAGTTTCATTGTTCGCTAGGCCTTTCCCAATGCCCCGAGCAGGTTCAATGTCTGCAAAGGACCAGGTGTCGACGTTTTTGAACTGGGACTTTCTCAGTTGGACCTTTGCGATAACTGGCGCGGCCAGTCTGGACGCAGATATCCTTGACATGTTTTCGAGGCCGCAACGACGCATGCACTCGACGGATTCGTTGCCGGGTAACCGCACATATCAAATGCACGGTTGTACAGCGGCGTAGCCGTGAGGAACCAAACGTTGTGCACTTCCAGCCTGGCAACCGCTTGATGGAATCTGGCCCGGATGGTTTTGACCGCGTGGTGTCCTGACACGCCTGGTGCAGATCCTTGCAACGGGGGCACTTAGCACCCGAAGCAGAGTATCCTGTGCAAAATGGGAGCACGCCGGAAGCCCGGTAAGCCGGGGACTGGAGACACTTATAACATTGCTCGAAAGCAGCGACGCGAGCAGAGGCGGCATTGCGGCAGGAGGCAGAGCGTGTGGTGACCATGTTTCTATACGCAAAGTCGGCAATCGTCCATTCTCTGTGATGTAGCAGGCCGCATAGTTTATCAGACCAACAGGTTGCTCGCAAACCGGAAGGAAATGTCAAAGGGAATGCTTACCTCCCTGGCAATGCCTCTGCCTTGCCTCTCTCTTCGCAGGTTTCTCAGATTGACCGTCATGAGGTACTGGAAGACAACTGACGGTTCAAACTGTGGTAGCAGTAATGAGCAAGCAAGAAAAGATAATTAGGAAGTTGTGGTAGAAGTGGAATAATTAGCAAGGAGGTCGTGGCAAAGCAAATGAAGAAGAGAGATAGGGTGAAAGATGGAACTTGATTGAAAAAGTGGGCGCAGGCTTGTAATAGTGAATGAGATACATGGAAAAGTAATGATTACAGTGAATAGACGCCCCGGTGGGAAGTGAATTGGTCCATTAGTGAAGGTACACAGTTCGAAGGACAATATGATAAGAACGAAAAAAGTATATAGTTGTGTGGCGATCGTTTGAGGAGAACTCTATGAAGATATTTATGTTGCCAGAGTTTGAGCAAGATAGAAAACTTGTTGCAAAGATAGTATGAAGGGAGAAGTCTACGCAATGCTGCAACTTCCCTTACCCAAACGAGAAGACATGAAGCTATCCGAAGCATGGCCACTTGCAACAAGGAGCTTATACTCCTAGAGTAATTGCTACCTACAAACAACTACCATTCCGAAGAAAATTTGGGTGAAGTTATTCCTGAGTTGTCCTGTCTCATTGTCAGTAGCCGTTCATCACATGTATGACTTCATCCACAGTATAGACAGCTGTCCAGTTGCACTGAGAGCGCTAGAATATCCAAATAAACATGTCATATATGCTATCCAAGAGTGTTTGGATTGATCTTTTTGTTTTTGTTATACGGGATCAATGGGATTGGGTGAGGGATGCGCCCTTTGGACGACATTTGATCCACCGATACCAAAATTCACCTCCCCTGCACCATGGATGTTTGCAACTTCATTTTTTCTTCATCAAGACAGTTAATTGAAGGTTTAACAAGATGCATCAATCCAGCAGTGCAGACAGCTACGAAATAGCGCCAATACACCAGGACCAACCCACCAATCCATTGGCAGAGCCAGACGGAGATATGCAAACGGAGGGCAGAGTCAGTTGGGCCTATCCAGAAGGAGGCTGGGAAGCCTGGACTTGTCTCCTGGGCTCATCTCTGATGATGTTTCCATCGTTTGGTTTTCAGACTGCAGGTATCCATCTCCATTTTCATTCTAACGGAGCACGGCTACTGACACACGACAGTCGGATCGGTCCAGGACTACATCAGCACCAACCAGCTGGCAGAGTACACCGTCCGTGATGTGGGCTGGATCACCGCTATTCTTGTTTTCCTGACTCTATTCCTTGGAGTCCAAGTCGGGCCTCTGTTTGATCGATATGGACCGCGGATTCTGTTGGTGGGTGGATCCCTCGCCAACATTGCCTCCTATCTTCTGCTGGCACAATGCAGAGAGTACTGGCACTTTGTCCTCTGTCTCAGCGTATTAGGAGGCATCTCATCTGCTGTCATTACAACCGTCTCCATCGCCGTGCTGAGCCACTGGTTTAATCGTCGCCGGGCGCTTGCCTCGGGAATCTGCATGGGCGGTTCCTCCGCCGGAGGGGCCATCATCCCGCTGCTGCTGCGCAAACTCTTCCCGCAACTGGGATGGACCTGGGCTATCCGGGCGATTGCATTCATGGCGATCGCCTGCTACACGGCTGGTATTATCCTGGTCAAAGGACGACTTCCAACCGGTCATCGCAGCCGCGCAATCGTTGACTTTGGCGCTTTCAGATCTCCACGACTGTGCTTCCTCGCGGTCGCGGTCTTTTCGTTTGAGTTTATCATCTTTGGCTGCGCAGCGCTGTTACCCACTTACGTCCGTTATGCTGGTTTCCCTCTTGACGTGCAATTCTACTCCCTCACCCTACTCAACAGCATGAGCTTTTTGGGGAGGGTGCTTCCCGGTTTAGCAGCCGATCAACTCGGCCGGTTCAACATTCTCCTGGCGCTGGTCGTCATGACGCTTTTGGTGATGAGTTCCGTGTGGCTCCCGTTTGGCTCTCGCGGCCAAGCTACATTGTACGCTGTTGTCGCCATTTTTGGCTTTGGGTCTGGGGGATGGCTGTCCCTGGCGCCTGTATGTGCGGGCCAGCTGTGTCGGACTGAGGAATATGGGAGGTTCTACGGGACCATCTACAGCGTTGCTGCGTTTGGGGTGTTGTTGACTGTTCCTGTCGGAGGAGAGCTGCTGCAGTCGACTACTCCGCAGGTGCTGATCGGTTTCTACTCGGCTGTTCTCATGGTGGGACTGGTGAGTGTAGTCATGGCTCGATGGGCCTTGTTGGATTGGAGGTGGAAGTGGAGGGTCAAGCTGTAGTGATGCATGACTCGTCGTGTTGACTAAATAGAGTGAAAGTCATGTTTGACCGCTTGGAATTCATCCGCAGTCCTTGAACTCGGATATCGTCGGTCCACTTCATCTTTCAGCAGCCTGCGGACACGATTAACTACTGAAATACATATTGCATCCGTGTTTGTAGATTTCTGTCCGTCGCTACCGGTTACATTTATGAGAAAGACATACAGTTGGATCTGTCTCATGAGCCCTTGGAGGTTGGGTAACATTATCCTGTGTTCATCTGGTTATATATACCTGCCGCTAGTCATTCAACTTCCCCAACCATAAAACAATATGGACTAGAGCTCCAGATGGGAGAGCATGCATGCTTGGCCTAGAGCGTGGAACATCAACTGATGTCCTCAATTAAGAAGTAACGATGTCTGTCATGTATATGACATATGAATGTATTGATGAGAAGGAAGAATGTTGACTGGTGGCCTTCCGAAACAGGATAATTTAGCGAGACATATCATCGTTCAAGTATATCAAGACTATCTAGCTACGTCAGATCGTTATTTGCCTCATTCTGCAGCTAAGGTAGACAAGGTTCATAAATTCAGTGGCTCAGCGATTCTAGGCCCCAACATGACTCATTAATAATTGGTGGACGAGGTCCGTCCGCTTGCTGCTTATAACACTACGCACTAGTACTACTACTAGTATATATAGACTGTCCGATCTCCACCTGTTCAATCATTCAATCATCCAACAAGTTGAGAACCAAGATGACAGTCACATATCTCTGCGGGTGTAGCTACTACACCCACCCTCAAGCAAAGCCAGTCTACCTCCCCCGTATTGGCATCAAAGCCCATGCAAGTATCCTCTCATCCGTCTCCAGAACGGTGCTCACTCAAACGTACACAAACCCATCCAAGAACCCCCTGGAAGAAGTCTCATACACCTTCCCGCTCTACGATGGCGTCAGCGTAGTAAGTTTCGACTGCCTGATCGGCGACCGCACCCTGCACAGCCGGGTCAAGCCAAGCAAGCAAGCCAAGGCGGAATATGACGATGCCGTCTCAAAGGGCGAGTCTGCAGCGCTGATGGCCCATTCGCTGAGTGCCTCGGATGTATTCTCCATTCGACTTGGGAACGTCGGGCCTGGAGAGAAGGTCGTCGTGGAAATTACCCTTATCGGAGAGCTGAAGCAGGATGCGCAGAGTGATGCGGTGCGGTATACGCTGCCTAATTCTATTGCGCCGCGGTATGGCTATCGGGCGGAGGATATGAGCATGCCGCTGGAGGCAGATGTGGAGGGTATTTCTATTACTGTGGATGTGCAGATGGAGAGTACGGCTGTTATCCGGGAGATTCAGTCGACGAGTCATTCGCTGAGCGTGGCGCTGGGACGGGTGTCGGTGTCGGTGTCCGGTACGTCTGACAAGGCGTTCAATCCGGCGCAGGCGTCTGCAAGTGTCAATCTTAAGGAAGATCGGACGGCTCTGACGCGCGACTTTGTCCTCCTTGTCAAGGCGGATGGACTCGACACGCCCCGTGCGATGGTGGAGACGCACCCGACTATCCCAAACCAACGGGCGATTATGACGACTCTTGTCCCGAAGTTCGGCCTTGAGCCGATTAAGCCGGAGATTATCTTTGTGATCGATCGCAGTGGGAGTATGATGGACAAAATCGACACTCTCAAGTCAGCCCTCAGAGTCTTCCTCAAGAGTCTCCCGGTAGGAGTGTGTTTCAATATCTGCTCGTTTGGCAGCGCGCACTCCTTCCTTTGGATACAGAGCCTTTTCTACACTGCCGAGAGCCTTCAGGAAGCTCTGAGCTTTGTCGACGGCGTCCGTGCAGATATGGGCGGAACGGAGATGCAGGAGGCCGTCGAGGCTACGGTCCACAGTCGGATGAAGGACAAGGAATTGGAGGTCCTGATACTGACGGATGGACAAATCTGGAACCAACAGACACTCTTCAAATTCATTCGTGAGACGGCAGCTGACAACAGTGCACGGTTCTTCTCACTTGGAATCGGCAATGGGGCGTCGCATTCGCTCGTCGAGGGGATTGCGCGGGCTGGGAATGGCTTCTCGCAGTTGGTGGTGAACTACGAAGAGCTGGACAGGAAGGTAGTGCGCATGCTCAAGGGAGCGCTGACGCCACATATTTCCGACTACAAGCTGGAGATCGAACATGATGACACTGGCGAGGATTTTGAGGTCGTTCTCCCGGAGCGGCCGAAGACCATGGCTGTCGATGAGACGGAAACGAAGCAGCATCCGATTTCCCTCTTTGATGCAAACTACAAGGAGGACGAGCAGAAGACGGACAGCGAACCCCTGCCGATCCTTACACCTCCCCAGACCATCCAAGCACCATACAAAATCCCTCCTCTCTACCCTTTCATTCGGACCACAGCATACCTCCTAGGTTCAGCAAACATGCAGAATCCCAAAGCCCTCATTTTCCGAGCCACATCCAAGCAAGGTCCGCTTGTCCTGCGCATTCCCATCGACGACATTGGCACGGGAGAGACAATCCACCAACTTGCCGTTCGAAAAGCCATGATCGAGCTCGAGGAAGGACACGGCTGGCTCGCCGCCGCAACCGGCAACGGAAACTCATTCAATAATCTCCATCCCGCCTCAAAAGAACGCATCATCGCTCGCGAATGCGAGAAACTCGGAACCCAGTTCCAAGTAACAGGCAAGCACTGCTCGTTCATCGCCCTAGAGAAAGACAGCACCTCGGACCAGGAGAAAGAGAGGGATATTGCCGACCTGCCTACCTCCAAGGCTACTGGCGAAGGAAGTACCGTCCACCAGGTTAGCGCAGCAGTACCCGGTCCTGCTCGCGCCAAGTGCAGGAGGGTATCCTCAAAAGCGCATAGGAAGATAGTGCCACCGACACCACCGTCACAAGGGACCCGGTTCAGTGCACGTTTACGGGCAGGAGAAACATCAAGGTCGTCGAATTCAGAGCAGCGCTGGGCTAAGACTTCAACAGCAAGGGCAGTCCCAGAGTCGTTATTCGGTGCGCCTGGAGTTGCAAGATTCGTGGATATGAAGGCATCAGCACTGGCTCCGCCTTCGGCTCCAGGGATGGGACTTGGATTTGATGCACTGACGGAGCCGGCAATCTGTCCGCCCGCCCACGTCTCGGAGGATATGATGGAGATGGAAGGCGCAGACTCCGATGGCGCTGTTGGGTATACCCCGACGTCTCCTATCTTGTCTTCTACATTCGGCAATGAGACGACCGGAGCAGCTAGCAGAGTCCACAGGATTATTGCCTTGCAGTCGTTCGAGGGTTACTGGACATGGTCAGAGGAGCTGATGAACGCCTTAGGGCTGGATGAGCGAGATATTCGTGCTCGGCTGATGAAACTATTCCAGAAGGACAGTAGAGGCTCTAATCTGACGGTCATTGCGACCATGTTGGTCATGGCGTACCTCATCACCAAGTGTGCTGGTGATCGCTCGGTCTGGGAATTGGTGTACGACAAGGCTGAGGGGTGGAAGAGACAGCAACTCGTGGAGATGGGAGAGACGGGAGATGTCCTCAAAGCGAAGGAGAATAAGATCATTGCCTTAGTATGAGCTTAAATGTATGGTCGTCGCTGGCGTTAGGACTTTGGCTATAGTTCAATATTTGTTGGTGTACCAAATGACTATATCTTGATTGAAGGGCTCCAATCCTCGGGGTTCTGAGGTGATTGATGCTTTTGGCAACGCAGAATTTCGTTCAGGATTTTACTTTTGGCTGCAATTGGCCTCATTGAGTAGATAGGTTACGAGTATTACAGTACTTTGATCTTACTGTCTTAATTCGCTTGCTATACATGTCGCTCTTTGAACAACAATCCCCTCGCAGTGGTATCCCCCGGTTGCTGGACTCATTGCCGTCGACGGATGAAGAGAGGTATCCAGCTAGCTTAGCATCTGTAATGCAAGGAGGGGAAGGAGAGTACATACTGTATCCCTTTAGTAGACAGCTCGTCAAAGGGAATATCCGCTTTGAGTTGTTCATTTCTTACAGGGATGTATTTGCTGTCTCTGATCCATATTCACTATCTTTGTAATCCACTTGCTATAAAGAGGCATTATTTTACAGCATTCAATATTTTTCATTCACTACTTTCCATTCAATCATATGATGTCTGGCTCTATATAAAGACTGTTAGTTAACCCCTTCAGATACTTCCTTCTCCTACTCTCTCATCGCCTGCCTTCCCTCCATCTGGTATATAAAACCCGTTTGCTATATCCATACGTCCACAAGTAATCGATTTAACTTCTAACTATGTCTGAAGATTCTTCCAGTAAGACGGATTACCTCCACACGAATGTTCTCAGATATGGTACTGACTTCAGTGGTTCATTAGATAGATACTTATAAGCGGCTTGGCCTGTCTCATGATGCAGAATCTGGATATCTGGTTCCGCAAGAGAGGTACTCACTGATGGAATAACGAACTTGATTCCGGAAGGACACGCGGCCTCACTCACTCTCGCCGTTTTCATGGAGACGCCGGGGATGTACGTCACAACAGCTTGGGGCTCCTCGGGAGACATTCATATACCTCCCACCAGATGGGAGTTGACCTGACTGAAGACATAATTGAGGCTGGAGCAAACAATACATTACGCCAACTTTCCCAGAGCATTTTCCAGGCCTTGTCGCAGCCCAAGCGCTGCAGACTTCCCCATCTGCTGTCCCTGCGTGCAGGCAGGCCCTACTGCCAAATACATGGCACTCCGCGATGGCTTAAATCTGGTTGTCGTCCCTAGGCGCCTCCTTCAAGTGTGGGTGAAGGAGTGGAAAGACACAGTTGAACCGCACCAACTGCTGAATATGACCCTGCTTCTCGGACACGGTACTCCGATCCAGGCATCAAGACAGTCAAGGCATTTCCGCACCGTAACTTACGATCGATCGCTGAGGCTGGAGAGTGGCTTCGTGCACGTGCGTACATGGAGAGCGCTAACCAGAGTCTACATACGCAGGAAATGCAAGCAGTTGCAGCAGCAGCTGAATTGATAATTGACTCCATAGAGATGGATTCTGTCAATCATCAGACTCACCGCAGGAAAAAGACAACTCCACTAGGAAACTCTGGCATCGGATCCTGAGGACAAGGAGAACCGCGTCCAGATGCCGCGAATCAAATCAGACGTTACGAACGTCCGTGCAGTAATTGATGCGGCGGAGCTTACCGATGCTAAGTCGAACACCGATATCCTCCTCACCCACGGGCTGAATCTTCACAGCGAATGCAGCCGTGTTATTCTCCTTGAGCCACCGCTCAACATGAACACCCTCTTTCAGGTGGTTGACCGCGTCCACCGGCTGGGGCAGCGCAGCCGGTAGAAGGTCTGGTCGATCTTTCAGGAGCACACTATCTCTCGTTGGGTGGAGCGTAATAACATGGTGAAGGCACTCTCTGAATTGGCAGCACAATTACATGATCTCCTTCGGCCCATGGTGACGGCAGCACGTTCCGACCCGTCTTCATGATGGGGCCGACCTGGCAGAGGTCGAGGTCATCCAGCGAGCTGCGGAGGATTGTCTCCGCCGCATGCTCAGCCAGCCAGCCAGTCAGCTAGGGGCGCAGGCCCTGTATGACCTCGTCCTGCCACAACAAGATATTGATCGAATGAGGGCGCGGATGACTCCGAAGGGCCGCAAGCGGGAGAGGGAGACGCAGGGTTCGCCTCGTGAGCAGCAAGCGCAGCAAGGCTGCTCCGACGAACATCATTGATGATAAGACCATTCCGCGCAAACTTTGGGTCAAACCATGAAAGGAGTCGTTCTGGTCAAGAACATCTCGCCCGTTCGCCAAGAACGTGACTCCATACGAGATGCGTTTCAAAAAGCGCCCCAAAGTTATAGCTCTGTGGATTCTAGGTTCTGTTGGCTATCTTACGATTGCCGACGAGGTCAGATCAAGGCAGGGCGTCACGAAGATTGATCCAGGACCTAGGCAGAGGGACGACACACTATCACAGAGACGGACTACCTGAACCCGGGGATTCAGGTAGGGTCATGTCCAGGAGGACGTTCAGACTGTGAATTGACGCAGTCATAGTTCCCAATTGCGATGAGGATCAATTCCTCGGCTTTCCTTTTCCCTGGAAACCCCCACTTGAAGGCCGCCGCTGTCGCTGGTGACTTGAATGACTTACCGCAAATTCTGCTTTATGACTTTGAATATCGCTGCTGTACCAATCAGTGGTCTTCTAGATCTTGATAAATGACTGCGGATTGATCGGCAGTCTTCTCTCTTCTTTCTCCTCTATGAAGTTTGAACTCAAACTCCAATATCAGCAATTAGCAACATAGCAAAGTAAGCACAGCTTCTCCATATTCTTCTTTCTTAATTATTAGAACGCCTGTTCTCGTGATCTCATGCTAATGTTACGCAGGACAGCAACTCATACCCAATGACAGACACCAGCAGTCGTATGGTCATCAACAAGCTACAAACAGTCGTCTCTTTGTCTACGTGTGAAGCTGAATACATTACACTGATCCAACTATGGTGAGATACTTCCTTCGCGACCAAACACAAGAGTCTCTGGGAGCTCTACTGGAGCGAGCTTGCGATGTCGATTGGCCATCGAAAAGCGATGTCGGTATCACCAAAGAGATCAGAAATGAACACCAAAATGCCGTTCTACTCCAGACGCGTGGGATCGCGGCAACGGAGTGTTGCACTGCTTGTTCGAAAGCTCCAGGCAGGTTTATCCGTGGTAGGAGGAATAGCAAACTGCCGTGGAGGTTCTGCAAGAATGCGCATGCCTCCTTGCCCATTTCTGATGCACCACCAACATTGACAACACGGTGGAGAATCGGATGACATTTCCAAAGCAGCCGAGGTGCCAACTATCAATCAATTGAAGCAAGGACATCTCTGTTCAGGCAGTGAGATCACTCAGATGCCGTTCTTGGCTTGAAAATTGTTGCCACCACTGGACGAAGCTAACGCCCTTGCGATACCAAGGCGATTGAAGATATACGGCCGACAAGTCCCGGCTCCTTGAAGGAGCAAGTGACCTGCGCTGTATGGGATCGACTGCTTTCTGTGGCCCATCTTGAACGCTATCCTCACCCTGATCCTTCGAACAAAAGCAGGCTGAACGGCCCCTGTTGTCGCCGAAGGAATACCGCTAGGACAAACCATACGACCTCGAAAGACTCCTGGATAGATTGGGGACGGAGGATCAAAAGGGGTAGGGGTAAAGACCGAACATCTTGTCAAATGACTTGGTTAAGGGGACGAATACAATCTAACCCCAGATCTGTGCCCAAAGAATATGGAGTTGCTCTTCATAGCGCCAACCACTTAGCTCTGGTGAAGAGATCACGCTTGAGACGCATGATCCAATCCGGAGACTCATCCGCTCCCAGATACTTGGCTCCTTGAACTGTAGTGGACCCTGAATCATTACTTGCCTAAGGGGCGGCGGAGAACCAGAGGGCCCGGAGGATGAGTCGGATGGAGACTCGGATGAGGGACTTGACTACAGTGTATTTCGCACAGGCCTGTGTTGCCATCCCTGGGTCCCTGACCAATATCGCGAGCGACCAGCCCAACCGACAGCAGCAATGGAGCGGCCTAGGCGCCAGCGAAAGGCTGCGCAGTACAAGTTCTGATCTATCTATGCATCCTCTACTTTTGGCCAGGGCCGAAATTGCTTCATCATGTCTGGCGGCTTGCACAGCTTTTCCGTTATTTTTGCCGTCTTAATCGGCCACTGCCAGGGTTCGCCATTCATCAGCAACTGCATGTATCATGCTCTGTGTTCTGGTACTCTGGGCTTTCTATAATTAACTAGCATTAGGATGATTATTATTTAGATAGGTGGGTGGTGGTTTTACTTGCCCCCTCGATGCACAGGGACAAATGAGATTAATGTCACTACCAATCAAATGGTAGCTTGGGGCTTACAAAGGACAAGAAAGACTAGGCTATATTCTGCAGGACCTCCCTCTTATCCCATCTCACTCTATGTTGAAACATGCTAGTTAGACAAGAGGTATACACTTATTGGAAGAGCGAGGTACTGAGTAACAATCCATTCGTTATATTGCCATGAAGTAAGCTACTATAATCCAATTGTACGTTCGGATTGATTAGCTTAGCAACTACCATACACAAGTCCATCATCAGAGAATCGGTCCAGACATAATTGCTGCGCTTAGCAGTTAGAGTTGGTCTGCGTGAGGAGACCAAGCTTCCAAGGAAGCAAGTTGTAATCCCCACCTGCAGACGGGCTCAATCCCTGATACAGATACCGCAGCTTGCAAGGACTGATAGTCATAGTCTGATCAGTCTGAGTGCGAATAATCTCCCCGTGACTGATACTCTTTGTCCAAGGTGTCCCGCTGAACGCAACGTTGTTCGAGCGCGCAAAGGGGTTCGCCTCGGTGTTGGCCAGGCCCCTCCACGATCCGGTCAGACTGTTGGCAGTCCAGGAGCGGAAGTACCGCTGTCCATCGCTGCCGATGGCTTCAACGAGAAGAAGATATTCCCCGTTTCCTGTGTGGTAGACGTTGGACGCCTCGAACAGGGCGTTCTTGTTGGAGTCGGACAGGGCAATCACTGTATTGCCCATGCCGTTGGGGAAGTTGGCCAAAGAGGTCTGCGAGCGGTACAGATGGCCGTTGTCGTCAGAGGAAAACAGGTAGCAGTTGCTTGAATCGCAGATAGTCCACATGTCGACCCAGTTGCCATTGCCCTTATTCTGGGCGATGATGCTGGGCATGCTACTGAAGAAATTCTTCGGTTTGCTCCACCCGGCTGGGTTGGCAATGTTTGGATTAGTCGAATAAGCTGCGTTGCCATTCTGGAAGACCAGGTACCAGAGGTTGTGTGGCTTGAAGAAGAAGACCTGCGGTGCGGCACGATAGCCCGAGCCGATCGGGGTCTGGTCAAGGTAGTGGAAAGTGGCCTTGTTGGCCTGGCTGAAGTCCTTGAAGTTGAAGTAGACGAGGTTGTAGCCGGATTTCGTGGCCGTGCTGGCGAAGACGTGGTACGTCCCGTCCACTTCGACAATGGAGGGATCCTTGATAGCTGCGATGTTGCGGCCATCGTTCTTGGGATCGACCAGAGGCCCGCTGGAGCTCCATTTGAAGCTGCTGGGCAGGGCTGCCGCCGCAAGGGTGGAGATGAGAAGGAGGAGGAATAGCTTCATGGTGTTGAAAGGGTGTGTGCATTCCGTAGAACCATTCTGCAGGCCGCGATGGCTCTTTATATGTTCCCCTCTGTCTCATGTCTGAAGAAGTCCCAGTCCCTCCAACCAGCAATGGAAAAAGTGCCCGAGGACTCCGGCTAAACACACGATAAAACACAACATCGCCTGACGAAGATCGTACTTTCCGGTACGGTGACTCTAAATCTTGGCAACCAACAAGGATGTGCGGAATATTACCGAGACGGGCTCGTGTGCCTTTAAATCCGAGACAAAACAGGAAAACGGAGGACTGCAGCGCGGCACTTTCAACTTTCCATTTGCCGTCAATCATTTATTTCCCTTCATCCTGGCGCGGATTGACATCCCCATTACCCAAAATGACATCCAGTATGCGGAGAATCGACCATCTTGGCACTTGCTCCGGACCCTGAGCCCCACCGAGGGGATTCAGCCTGAATCCGTGACGAGCTTGTGTCTCGGGATGTCTTAGATGCGGGGAGACAGGGGCTGGCTCAGATGAGTCCAGGCACTGACAACTCCGTGATGGAAGAGTAGTCAGCGGATTTGACGTCTGTGAGGGTATTATCGAGATCGAAAGCAAGGTAGACTGTCATACTGCACCTGCCGTCTCCAACTTCAATCTGCATTCTGTCTTCGTGACGATCGAAGATATTGTCCTACGACCAACCGTCATGACGGCACGGCTTTATTAAGCCAGCCTAAAATTACAGGGGAGGACTGCCGTTGTGGAAGGGCAAAGCTTAGGTCTTGAGTAAGTGGTTCTGACCTCCTTATGCTTCTTCATTCTGCGAGCGGGATACTCGAAATGACAAGGAAGATTCGACCTGCGGTTGGCTTGCAAAGAGGGCTTTCCTACAATATTATCTATTGGGAGACGCGGAGAGTGCATGCGTTCTTCTCCTACTATGTTCACCCCTGATATACTCCAAGCTGCGCAGTGAAGTATCTAGGCTGTTTTATACTGTTAATATCTTGACCGCAATTATAAAGCCACACTTGTTAAGCTCTTGTACTACAGAAGAACCAAGGATTGAATCAATGATCTCCTTTGCATCCTGTACAAATACCATAAACGCACCTACCAAGGAGCTCAACTCGAAAACAATGCATTCGGACTCTAGCCAGTACTACTAAACAACGTCACCCGCTTGCAACTTCACCTCCGACAACCATCGAAAAGCAGATAAACCAAAAAATATCAAAAGAAACGAAAGACCAATAACAGAAAAGCCACTCACATGTCGTCCACCCATTCTCCCCCGTCAAGATCCCAGGCCGAACCATCTACACAGATAGTCAGCGGCGCTTTCTCTGCTCCCTCCAAGCCTGATAGTCCAGGAAGCTCCATCCCCAAGGGCACATTTTATCCTCCGTAACCAAATACAGTCCCTCACCGCTCAGCTCGCCCTTGTCCCAGTCCATGATCAAATGCTGGACCTGCAACCGAACAGCCATGGTGATCTGATCGACATTCAGGCCCGCAGCGGGCAAGGCAAAGACCACGTTGCCGCGCTTGATGGCGCCGGCGGCTCGGAGAACGTCGAAGGATGGGTAAACCTTGACGTCGCTGTGGTGGAGTTTGTGGTGCAGCGACTCGAGCAGGATGGGGGTCAGTTTCTTGGGTGAGGTTTTGATTTCGAACAGGACGTGAGCGAATTCGCGGGTGTCGGTTGGTTCGGTTTTTCCATTCTCGGAGGTTTGGATAGCAGGATCGGTGGACTGAGCGGTTTGCTCGGTGGGATGAGCGGAATAAGGAGGAGACATTTTGACTGAGGATGCGTACCTTTCTTGAAGAGTTGGATGTGAAATGCAGAGGTCAAAGTTTGATTTGAGAGTTGATGGGAGAAGCAGAGGTGAGAGGATTGGTTTGGATAAGAAGACTTGGGCAGGATATCGGACTGAATTTATACACAAGAGTAAGACGTCTCGATGCAGTATCTGGACGGATAGTTCCACTATCTTGAAGAATATCAAAACATGCCGTCCTAGATTGAGAGACATCGTAGAAGAGCTGAGATTGCTCCTTTACAACGTGTCAAGTGTCAAATGAGGCTGAATGGGAAGAAATCTCATCTGTCTCAGAAATGATACCGTACAACCTATTGACATTGTCGGAGAGACAAAGCACAAAGCGCATTATATATGTATGTGATGTTGTCTCATATCGCTTGTCATCCAACTCGCAGCTTGATCCTTTTAGACAAAGGATACCGGACACAAAGCCGCCACACCTTTATGCTCATTACTTTATGCACAGGCTCCAGTATTGTCCATTGATCTTCATAGGACATTCAAAGGGCATAGATGAGACTCGTCATCTTTGCCGTGATTGATACGTCCTTTGACCAGGTGTCTCTGATTTGAAGACATATCCCTTCGATATTCCGTACAACATCAAAAGCAATCCCGAGTCGTTATCTACTCATCCCACAATTAGCGATACCATCAGACACAAATCAGTAAACAGGAGTCTAGATTCCTGCCCCAGAACTGAGTTCCTGGAATTGTCTGAGGCAAATCCCGCCTTCATTGAAGCCATCCTCACTGTAGATATTCAATGTGGAGTATACGAACGGCTCAAACGCTGCCTGCCAGTGACAGCAGACGGCTGTACATGCAACTAGGGAAGCACCTGCATTTTAAGATACCCTGCTACCTCAGCTAGAAGCTCAAGTGGGAGTGAGGCTGCCATATCTGTCGCAATGGAGAGTGGTTTATAGCAGGCTGGTTAACAGTCAACCACTCTTGAGTTGGAGGTTGTACGTCCTACGGCGTGTAGAAAGTAGTAGAGACTGAAGATTCTGGGGATGAAAAAGCACACAGGGGAGAACCAACTAGGTTTAGCGCATGAACATGAGACATAAACTGGAGCCACAGCCTGAGCTAAACGAAGGTAGTTAAAAGCAACGCACCGGAAGAAGGATGTGTACCTCAAATGTACTCACTCTTCTTCAGAAATTAGGTGTTTCTGGGAGATTTCTCGGCTCTGAGGCTGAGTCCACCTAGTAATGATACTGTGGCTTATTTTATTAGAGTTAGAGAAAAGAAACATGTGCAACAGTGCAGAGTGTGGAGGGAGATAGTAGGGGGTACTGATCATTCGTGTCTACTGGATTTGTATGGCATCCACCATACGACTCTGATGTAGGTAGGAGCAAATGGTCATCTTCGGCGTCGATTTCACAGGTCCTCATATTCTAGGTGTAATGTGCAAAAGTATAGCTAACCGCAGGTGTGAGACTTTATATCATGTTGGTCGCAAGGCGGGACAAACTCCTCACCAAGTCTTGCAGGCGAATGTCCTTTTTACAAGGGTCATGAGGCCAGAAACTCGTATTTCAGGCAGCAAGAAAACCAGCCAAGATGATAGAAGTTTATATGATATTCTGGAATAATTCAGATGGATTTCCGAGCTTTTATTGCAAGATCACAACAAAGTCAAAATTACTAGATCCTATATGCTTCAATTAAAGCTTGTGAGATATATCTCCGAGCGCGCCGACCAGCTCCGAAAGAGAAAGCACGACGGGAGAAACTCGCTGTATAGGTAGAATATCAGTGAGATAAAGGTAATTACCTCGTGTGACACAAGATGGAGAGATTAGTTGACAGTATATCTACATATTCCACGAGGTTGCAGGGGGAAGACGAAGGTGCGGCGGAGGTCTTCCGCATCCCCCGAGGAATACCATTTCCGGACATCTCAACATCAACGCCAAGAGAATCGTCAGAGTCGTGGCGAACTTCAAGTCGTTTCAAATGACGGGAGTCTTCCCAATTCCTCGTTCATCACATGTAAGAGCGATAATCGTCGGATGAGGCTGGCTGAACTAGCGCACAATGAGGATCCTTACAGACTATTGGAAGTAACAGCATAGGCGAGTTCATAAAGCGCTCCTCATTTGTCACAATAACTGATGATAAAGTACAGTGGCCACGCATTCAACTTAATCCGAGGGCGACGAGAGCCCTGATTTGCCAGAGGCTGCTGGTCTGCATAATCTATCACATCCTGCAGGGATCGTCCTCGCTAATGTGCGACTCCTATATAGCTGATCAACGATGAATGTGGTTGGTTCTAGGAGTGGTCACGCAGCATAAGACGTGCATGAGCTGGAACCATCTCCTCTTCATTTTCAGTCAGTCAAATCAAGGGAGTAAGGAAGGGTAATAAATACGGCAGTGGTTCTATCTTGCCGCAGGTTCTTTTTTGTTTCCGCACGTCCCAGTACCGAGACAGTGGTCAAGTCAATTGCAACGATACGCCCAACTCTCCAGTTGTTTGCAGGATGGACAAAAAGGCAAAAGAGGATCTCAGTCTATCAATGACGCCCTCAACCTCGGCCGTAATTGAAGACTTTGTCGCTTCCTACGAGAAGCACCGCGACTTCTACTGTCACACAGCAATTGCTGTTAGAAGGATCTGCGAGGCCGCCCTCGAAAAACATCACATACCATGTCTGGTCAGCCATCGAGCAAAAGAAGCGGCAAGTCTACGCAAAAAGCTGTATGCACGACAACTTCTCCGAGGCCATGCCTACTCAAGCAGAGAAGAGATCAAAAACGACATATCCGACCTCGCTGGCGTACGCATTGCTCTCTACTATCCTCGGCACGGAGAGGAGGTCAAGCGCATTCTCGATGACGAATTTACGGTCGTGGAAGAAAAGACCATCAACCGTATGGGCATCGACGAGGCAATCCGCGGCGGCTACGATCGGTGGTTCCCGGGCTACTGCGCAAAGCACTATCGAGTGCACCTCAAGAATGGAACGGTCAATCAGGAAGGCGTCCCCACCCACAACACAAAGGTCGAGATCCAGGTCGTCTCTGTGCTGCGGCATGTCTGGGCCGAAGTCGAACACGACGTGGTCTACAAGGGGAAGCTCAGGGCGAGCAGAGACGACCACCGCATCCTGGACGGGTTAAGCGGGGCCGTCTTTCTGGGCGAATGCTTCCTCGACCAACTGTATCAAACCCAGGTGGCCAGGGCTACCACCGACGACAGAGGTTTTGAGAACGTCTATGCGCTCGGCTCGTTTCTGTGGAATTGGACCGCCTCCCTCGGCCATTGCCAGGTGGAATACCCTGTAGAGGTCGAGTTTCTGAAAGATCTGCTCGGTATTCTGGGACTCAACAACCCAAGGACGCTGCGCGATATTCTCAGCCAGATCGACCTGTCCACTCGAGAAGGGAGCGAGTGGCATTCGTTCCGGGCGGCGTTTCACCCCGCTCGGTCCAGTCTTACGATGTTCATAATGGACCGGATCCTTACAATGCCGGTCGGAGTCAGCAGGCTTGAGAATACGCCGGTGGACGATCCTGGGATCGATCATGTGAAACGCGAGCTGGGCCTTATTTCCAGTTCCCTGATCTGGCTCGATCGGGTGTATCCGCTCTCGTCTCAATTATTTGGAGCCCTCTTCGCAAGTGACTCATGGGACTGTTATCTGCCTGGAATCCGGTGGCTTGATTCGCGCAAAGCCCAGGATTATTGGAGGGGTAATGCGGTGCTCACCAACGAGGAAAGGCAGAGGATCAACGCAGTTTTCCAGTGCTTTTCGCGGAACCGGGAAAAGCCTATTCAGCTTGCGTTTGCGCTTGCCAGGTTGGGTGTTCTGAAGAGATACGCTGCTGACTGGTTGGCGTTGCATCGCGTCATCTCGCCGTTGCTGATTGTAATAAAGGCTCGATATTAGTACACCTTCCCATGGAGACTGGAAGATATCGTGTGATGTAGATGTCTGCTGCCTAATTCGACGCATCATTCTGATTTAGGAACATCATGTATGGTAACCTTGATTTGCTGTGTACAGTGGAGCAATGGAAATATTCCCAGCACTGTGCATAAGCGAAATTACACTCCTGCAACCGAGTACTCAAGCAGGCATGTTTTTTTGTTAAACGGAGTGGACAAGTCCAATGCGCAGTATCCATGCAGATAGTCCTACAAACCTTGCCATGACGATGTCAATAGTCCGCAGCAGCTACGGCTGCCTAACGACACCACCTTCAGCGAGCATAATACCGCAAGCACTCCTAGCCTAGACAGCCATATGAGATATCACCCCATCTTGCGAAAACCTGCCAGCTCAACGGTCGACTTGCGGGAGACCGTGCCAATAGTCCTTGATTGGTGAAATGGTACCAGGGCAAAGGCACGCTAAGCCCTAGCTGCATGGCGGGTTCCGGGCCGTGCGTTAGTGGCCCGCGCTTTGGCAGCCGGACAGCCGGTAGCCAATCGTTCAGTGAAGAATTAGGCCCGCAGCTGTGGAAGGGGGAGTAACCGTTCTCTCGGGATTTGGTTCATATTCTTTTAATGGGTTTGAGGGTGATATGCTGGTGGTTTTGCCAGGGTACGATGTATTCAGCCTTTGGTGATTAGAAGACGGATTTGCAATGCGGTTTACTCCAATTTGTGTAAGGTATTGGTAGTCCTTGACGGAGTACCACTCAATCAGGTCGTTCGCAATTCGACGATATATACGATGATATATACTCAACATCTCTCTACTACCACTCGCAACGCTTCTAATAACTCTTCAGTAGCATTAGAGTACATTGCGGGATTTGATAACCGTCGCAGAATCTCGGACTGAAACAACGGTCAACAACCCATCCCACTGCTAACGCTTCACATCCCTGTCGGTCTTCAATGAGTCACTTTTCAAACAAAGAAAAAGCCTACGCCAAGAATTGGCGTACATTTGGGAGGCTTGCAAGCTCAGACGCGACATGTCAACTCAAAATCTACCACAGTGTCGGGTTCGCCCGTAGCCCCGTCAGAAGCCACATCGTTGAACTATTGGCCGTTATCGTGCTAAGGAGTCGCATTACAGAGTTGCAGCTTTCATTGGTTAGATGCGTTCTGAGGAGACTCCTGCCTGAATAGGAGTTGTAGGTACTTCGTTAGGATTTGGCCAGGCGATGGCCAGGATGTGAGACCTAAGACTGGTATTTGGGTGTTGTTTCTCGTCATAGCCATTGCTTTGTTAGAGAGACCATGGGCTTGTTTTGTTATTGTGTCCTCCGGTCATAATAATAGATATCAACCACTTCGAGGACCGGAATACCCATCTGCTCTCAACCTTATTGTACACATTCAATGCCCGGTACGCTTTAGATAGCCTCACTACCGAACAGTATTTCATCACGCTAATCGAGCAAAGAACTCACAGATCTCCATTGTCTCCGCATCATTGAGACACTCCACGGAAGCGAGGATAGCCTCGATTCCGAAGAAAAGGCGCTCGTCCTTAGAGTCTCCCGGCTCGTCGAAAGCGAAGGATGGTTTGGCTCCGAGCGAGACATGATCGTTGTATCTTTCATCCGGTTTCTGCATGCTCTTGCTGTTGGCGAGGAGATGGTTGAGGCAACCTGGTGTCAGTATATAAGGATGGAGTTTTATGCATGTTTGTGTGAGATGTCCTGATACCAAAAGACCCGAGTCTGGAGATTGCTAACTTGGGATTGTACAGTAGATGCAAGGGAGAAGAAGGGCATGTAGTAAGACAGGATACAGGCTCTTCATGACAGTTAGGAACTCGAGAGTGGGAGACAAGCGATGGTCACTACCAGCATTTTGACTGTGAATACTACCATACAAGCATATACGAGTTGTGCCTTCTCATGAACCTGAACCGAGGAGAGCATTTGCTTATCAGCTCTCCTTGACGCATAGCTGACTGCTGCAAGCTTCGTATTATCATATTTCTATCTTATACTTATACTTACTATTCGGATCTTTATCCGAGGGTGCAACCTGTCAACCAAGATGATGGTTTGAGTCATGCCCGATCCGTAGATGCCCGAATCATCCGAGGTTATCCGACCAATACATAACGTCCTCATCATCACTCTTCTCATCTAACAACAACGATAACATTATGGCTTCATTAAGTCAACATAATCGAAATGAGTGTCCACTCACTGCAGACCCAGAAATAGTCACTTCCCACCCACCGACCATGGAAGTAGAAGAACCATTGCAAGATGAAACGCCCACAAAAATGTAGGTCGTCTCGGCCAATCTATAGCCCCTTCTAACAATTCAGGAAATCTACCCTGGTGGTGATAGCCGCCTTCATGAGCATCTTCACCGGCTGCGGCCTCAACTTCGCCTTCGGCGTGTATCAAGAGCTCTACGAATCCATGGCCCAACTCCCCAGTCGCACCCCATTCACCGGCGTCACTCCCGCCCAAATTGACCTCATCGGGACACTGGCCGTCTCCATGATGTCCCTCGGAGCACCATTCGCCTCGGGCTGGTGCAAATCCTACTCCCCCCGCAGGATCACCCTAGCCGGGACGATCATCTTCGCCACGGCCAACGTCCTCGCATCATTCAGCCAGCACCTCTGGCAATTCATCCTCGCCCAGGGCGTCCTCCTAGGCTGCGGCACATGTCTCACCTACATCACCGCCGTAACCGTCGCCCCAGGCTGGTTCACCACGCACCGCGGCCTCGCCATCGGGGTCATCTCCTCCGGCACCGGCGTCGGCGGCGTCGTCTGGGCACCTGCGCTGCGGGCCCTGAACGCCCAGATCGGGTTCAGGAATACCCTCCGTCTCACGGGTGGTGTCTCCTCGGTGCTCCTGGGCGCTGCCTCGCTCGTCCTAGACTGGGACCCGCGCACCAAGCGCCAGATCGAAACCGAGCGGGAGACATCCTCCTCGTCCCGACTCCGCGTCACGCTTGTCGACTGGCGCGTTGCGCGTACTAGGAAGTTCATCGCGCAGTGTCTCTCCGCGGGGCTGCAGGGCGCAGCGTACTACGCGCCCGTATACTTCATGTCGACGTATGCGCGCACGCTGGGCTACTCTGCGGCCACGGGGGCGATGTTCATCTCTATTTCGAATGCGTCGTCGGCGGTAGGGAAGGTGGTTATCGGGCATGTGGCGGACCGTGCGGGGCGGATTAATGTCTTCCTGATTACGACGCTGATGAGCGCGATCGCGACGTTGGGGCTGTGGTTACCGTCGACGATATCCGGGGGTAAGGCCCTGTTCGTCGCGTTTGCGATGTTCTATGGTGTGTTTGCCGGGGCGTATGTGAGTTTGTTTCCGGCGACACTGGTGGAGTTGTTTGGGGTGGAGCACTTTGCTAGTGTTAATGGGTTTCTGTATATGGTGCGCGGGTTTGCGGCGTTGGTTGGGACGCCAGTGGCTGGGGCGTTGATCCGCAGTGCTGGCTCGCATGTTGATGAGGAAGTCATGAGCAAGCTGTTTTTTAATACGAGTATCTTGGTCGGTGTTTTACTCGTCGGTGCTACGGTGGGGGTGATCTGGGTGCGAATCGAGGCTGCTGTCAGTATGGTGGATCGTAGGGCTGGGTTGAGCAGAGGGTTCAAATGGAGGATTTGATCTAATTTCCACTTCTTTGTATATATAATTGACACTATCGGCAATCAATGCACTCCCCTCACTTCAGCATCCCAGAACTCTCGGCATCGTATAAACCCTGTCAGTCTCGCACTAGATACTACGAACGAATACGAGCTTAGTTCGACTAGCCACGAGCTACATATATAAACCCATCCCACAACAATATCATTCTCTCGTATTACCCGGCGAAGCAACAAAATGCGCCTCTTCAACGCAACAACCCATCAACTAACCGACTTCCTCGGCGAGGTTCCCCCCTACGCCATCCTCTCCCACCGCTGGCAGGACGAGGAGGTCATCTTCCAAGACATCCTTTCAGGCACGGCACGCACAAAAAAAGGGTACGAGAAAATCACGCAATGCTGCGCACAGGCCCTCCGCGATAATCTGGGGTATATCTGGGTCGACACGTTCTGCATCGACAAGACCAGTAGCGCTGAGTTATCTGAAGCGCTGAACTCGATGTATGAGTGGTATCAGAAGGCGGAGGTGTGCTATGCTTATCTGTGTGATGTTGCTGATACTTCGGTTGAAGTGACGTCTGGAGGAAGCGAAGATTTTCGTGGCAGTGTATGGTTCACGCGCGGCTGGACACTGCAAGAACTGCTTGCGCCTGCGCGGGTGGAATTCTTTAACTCGAGGTGGCACCCTCTAGGCTCCAAGGCTGAACTGAAGAGCACCATCGCTGGGATTACCGGAATCCAGGAGGCGGTGCTGGACGGGACGCTCCGACCACAAGAGCTGAGCATCGCGCAGCGTATGTCCTGGGCGTCGCAGCGTGTGACGACCAAAGTCGAGGATATGGCGTATAGCCTACTCGGCCTATTCGAGATCAACATGCCAATGTTGTACGGGGAGGGCAAGCGGGCGTTTATCCGGCTGCAGGAGGAGATTATGAGGCAGTCGGATGACCAGACGCTGTTTGCGTGGAAGAGTTCGACTTCGTTGCCGAATGCTGATAATACCTACCATGGGCTGCTGGCGCAGTCGCCGGCGGACTTTAGAGACAGCGGCGAGTTCGTGCAGCCGGAGCAGAGGTTCAATCGGAGTCCGTTCGCCGTGACTAATATGGGGATTAGTATTGAGTTGGCTGTTGTGCACTGGACTATGGACATGTACCTCGCGGCGCTGGACTGCGAGATGCAGAGTAAGAAGAAACGAGTTGGGATCTTCCTCTCGCCGTTGCCAGAGGACAACCAATATGCGAGGGTGATGTGTGCTGGAGACGACCTGCGGACGTTTCCAGCAGACATGAAGTCCGAATACCGCAAGGTCTACGTGAGACAGAGAATCGCAGGGACAAGAAGGCCCACGGAGCGCATGTACGGATTCTGGCTCCGTCAGTTTCCCCCGGTTTGGAAGGGCCCTCACTCCCAGTTCGAGGTGACGGCGTACCACCCCTGGGACGAAACGGAGCGCAAGCTCTGCATCCCTCCGGGGAAACGGGGGACCGCGGGAATTATCAGATACTCCATGCGAGAGGACCACGTCGTGAACCTGCGCGTCGGATTCGACGCCATGCTCAACCCCGTTGTCCAGTTTGGTGGCTCTCTCATGACAGACGCTCGATTCAAAGCCCGCGATCCAAATGCCTTTGAAGTGCAGATGGCAGACGACTGGATGGACGAACGGAGGGAGCGCGTTTTTATCGGAAACAGGAACCACGGACTCAACCTGAACGACGGGACAATCCGGATACTAGTCCTGGAAGAGGTCGTTAAGGGACAGCGGATGTGGGTTGTCTATATCGCAAAGCCGGAAAACGGAGCCTGGCACAAAGACTGCGTCTGCGACGGATGCCTGCTTACGGTGTTTGGGACTCGATATCGATGCAAGTTATGTCCTGGATTTGACTACTGTTCCGACTGCTTCCAGAACGCGAAGCACACGCATCCGGGCCATAAATTTCAAGAGGACAAGCCTGTTTGGCATGCTGGAGTGTACTGTGACTGGTGTGCGGAGGTGAGTATGCTTCTTTCCTTCTATGCTGCTTTGGCTGACTCCACAGGGGATATATGGAACGCGGTATAAATGCAATGACTGTGCAGACTTTGATCTCTGCTGTTACTGTATGAAAGAATCGGAGAAGATTCATCCCAGACATCGGTTCTCTGAAATTGAACGTCCTGGAGGTCAGCCTCGAGAGATCGTGTCTATCCGAGGACAGAACACAGTGTCGATCAGTCAGCTTCAGCGCATTACGAATGACGCCGGCGCATATAGCCGGCCATCTCCTAGGAGATCCTCGCAATGAGAGCGTACCTCCCAGATGTATCTACATTCTTGGCAAGGATGCTGGGAGGAACAGTGAGAGCCAAGGTCGACTTCGTTTGGATGCAAGAGTAGACGGATCAAGGACTGGTGTGTCATAGTAATAGATGAGGAAAGAATACAAGGGGGTCCATCAGTTGAGGGCGCCTCAGCTGCCGATCTTCTATAAAATCTATAGTGCATGGCTCAAGCAAAGCAGTTATCATTTAAACCAATCTCTAGCAACAGCAAGCGGGAACTGTTAAACCTCCATAGCATAACCTAAGACATCTGTCTTGAGGTCCAGGCAACACTAATCATCCGCAACCTCAGTCTCACTCCATGGACACTCCACATCCTCACCCCACAAATCCTTATACAACTGGCGAGGCGCAGTCCAGTCATGCTCCCAATCACCATCCGAGCTGTCAACGCCGTCAGCTTACTCCAACAGACCATCATCTGCGACACTCACCTCAAGCTAACACAGTTCGGAGCCAGCATAGCCGCCCTGAGCAAGATACACGCGACCACCTCATCATATGGCTTATGAACCGTCTTGATGAATGAAAATCCAGCGTTGCCGTGTCGGTCCAAACAGAGAGGCTCGTGTCCGTCGTCTCCCACTCCGTTGAGGTGTATTCCCTGCTTTACGTCGATGATTGGTGGGCCGGCGTCGAAATCGGGACCGCCAATAGGTACGCTGGAGTTGTCGATGATTTTTTGAGCGTCCTCGACGAGCTGCGGCCAGGTGGCTCGCCATTCGCGGCTGGAGGTGTTATCGATGGTGTAGTAGTGAGTGTAACTGTTGCTTGTTAGTAGATGATGTGTATGATTGTTTGTTCACATACCCCATCTTAGATGTATCTCGCCTGCAGTACTGTTGGTTGTCAGGGGTGGAGTGATGGACGCTGATGGTGAAAGAAGCTGTGGTGAGGTGCGAGTGTAAATGACTGCATGATGATCCTGATATTCTGCAGGTGCTGTTTGTGACTCTGGCATACAAGGAAGGAGTGTCCTTCACTGCACCAACATTTATTGACTATTCACTCTCATCATAACAGCAATGATGACAAGGACATGAGAACACGCTTGTACAAGTTGAAAATATCAACTCATTCCTACAGCGCAATTGCAACGTCCAGTCAAGGATGCGCTTGTAGGGAGTTGACTATCATAGGGGATGACTGCCCTCTGCTCTTTCCTGGGCGTACACTTAATATAAAAGCTTATAGTCAAGTAAGTTAGAATCCGAACAGTATTACAGAGCTTTGAGGAAAATGTATTGAGAGTTGTCCGTGGTCACGATACATTAGGGCAAAGGGAGAAGATTTCGACGAGTTGGCCCACCCACTCGTAGCAGTATAATCTTAATGTCTGCTCGATATCTTATGACAGCTATAATTCTTATCGAGTGCTTATATTGATATTAATGGGATAGGCTATGTAGTTTGTGTGTGCTGTCCTCAGGAGAATACCTTGTCCCATGATTATACTTGCAACATCTATAGTGACATACTATCTGGTCTGGTCAATCATCTCACTAGGATCGCCAGTAACCAATGTACTCACTACATCATCTAACATATAGATGCAAACCATGAGAATAAACATACAGACCATCAGAGGCTGAATGGATTAGTAGATGCGTGGGTTGGTCATTTCATCACGAGGTATTGCTTAACCCGGTAGATGTAAGCTGGCCGTCTATTTCTAGGTCGTGGCGGAATCAGACAACGCATCGCCTCAATCTTCATTATTCCCGAAAGCCAAACTGACAATTCAACCAAATGGCGAAGTAATCGCACCACTCAATATGACAGCTGCGGCTGAGATATGCGCGACCAATCGAGCGGCACGTGCAGCGACAGCCTGGAATACGAAGGCCAAGCAGAGATGTCTCAGCCCTGACGTACATAATGTCAGCTGTAGGGCAGTATTTCAGACAAATCTCCAGATTTGGTATGTTCGAATCAGGTGAAATGGTTTGAGTTTCGAGGCAGATGCTTCTGTTTGGGTGCCATCTGGCATGCATGAAACACCACCATAGAGAACATTGCCTAAGCGACATTCGATTCTGGATGGACTGGAGGCTCAGAGGCTGGAAGATGTGAGATCTGATTTTGTAGTCATGCAAGCCGAGATACTGTCTGCCTGAATGCACACTGTGGTGAGCTCATGATCCTAACCGTTGACCGAACTGCCGTTCTTTCCAAACATATAAAGGTCCTCCTGTCCGTAAACATCTATCTACATCAACGCATACCATCAGAACATCAATATCACACATTTCAAAACACAAACTACACCATGCACTTCCTCACATACATCACCCCCCTCCTCTCCCTCCTCCCTCTCATCAACGCCCTCCCCAGCCCCACCAGCTGCACAACCGTCACCCCAGACATCGCCCGCGTCTCCCAAGCGGACCCAGTAGCCTCCTACCTCCCCGGCTTCCGCATCTCCCAACAAGCCGGCGGCACCAACAAAGAAGACATGTTCGTCGAATTCAACGTCACCTCTGGCAGCTGGGGCTGCTCGCTCTCCTACTTCTTCCCCGCCGGCACGCCGGTCACCACATCTGGAGCCGCCGCGCCCGTCGAGATCTTCGCGGTGAACGGCCCACTCAGCCGGTCTCCTCACGGCATCGATGTGTCCTGGGCGTACTGTCCGGCACCCGGTGCGCTGGTCGGGAGTACGACATTTGAGTCGGATCCGAACGAGGCGAGGACGAGGTTCGTTAATAGTTTCTCGTGCACGGATAAGATGACGTATCGGTTGAGTATTGCCGGGTGGTATAAGCAGGCGACTAGTGTGGAGTTTGCGCAGGGGCCTGGGGTTGGACTGAGGATGAGTCATAATTGTTAATTCTGTGTTGAGAGTGAGGTTCGGAAGTAAGGCCAGTTGAATAGTGAGATCATGAGGTTCTTGGATATGTCATTCTTTCAATAGTTAGTCTACTTGTTAATGGCACCTGATAATGAAACAAAAACATATGCAAAATTCCTTCCAGTGTCTCTGGTAAATGTAAATCTCTTTGACAGCGAATTGTACAGTATCGAGTAATGTGCCTATGGTGAGGCATCTCCTGCGTAGATCCACAGGCCTCACCTTTTGAATATAGTAGGCAACTAAGAGTTAACAACGAGGCCTGGTCTCTTCCCTCCGCCTTGCTCTTAGCCTGATATCACTTTCTCTCCGTTGCACCTTTGATCACGACAAAGAACGCTGCGATAACCAAATGCTGCGCTTCCCTCGGTGATTTCAGAAGCATTCAGATATCAGCCAGTCGTCAGCTGGTAGGAATACTGGAGGGGAGAACCTCATATTCTCATCTCAATAAGCAGTCTTGCATGAAATTATCCCGGTATATTGAAATACAGAGTATAGGCTGGTGTATTCCGTTGAAGTACTGTCTTCCCGTCCCGAGAAATCAGACCAAAGCTGGCTACATCTTCCGACGACGAGTACGACAAAAGACCCTGGCCGAAAATGTTGGTGGCTAGAACGTATGGTACTGATGATTCAAACGATGGAGATGATGAGACTGATCGTATTTGATGATTTGATAATGAATGCTTAGATACAGACGCAGAAGAGAGGGAGAGTCAAAAGTCGTAAAATGTTAGATGGAGGGAAGGTGGTCCTTATAAAGAAGTAGATATTAGAGACTGCAGCACTGTGGTCAGTGTGGTGCTAAGCAGCAAGCTCTCTTAAGAGAGTTCTACCACTCCTGCAGGACTTGCTTAGCTTGCTCCCTGCTGTGTTAGAGGTGGGGTAGTTAGATTGCCCCTAGTGACATTCTATAGCCATGTTAGCTACTATGCATGAGTCTATACCCAAGCATCAGCTTAAGATCTATATTAAGGGGAAACATTAGGCACAAATGTAGGGGACGTACTGGGTCCGACTGCTGGAGCTCAGTGATTAACGCGTCTTAAGCATCCCTGTAGACTGAGCTCATCAGGCACACCCATGCTGCCTGGGATTTCTCTGGGGTTGGTCTGCCCGGTAGCTGTGGTTGTTGTCATCATCGTAGTCATCACAGCCAGTGTGGTCATTATTCCCATCAGTGCCATCAGTGCCCCGCTCTCGAGCAAAAACGCGCAAATCCTCTAGGTCTAAAGCGAACATATCGGTGGGGTTCCTTCCCGGAAGCATGTGTTGAAGCACCACATCCACTGGGGCTGGGACTGTCTCCACCGTCAGTGGCCAGGCTGCTGCCATCAGACTAGCCATCAGACTTGCTCCCACTGCCTTGCTCATCATTAATGCCAGACCCAACCTCTAAGCCCATTCGCATGGTTTTCCAGAGTGTGTTAGGCACTCCAATCCTGCAATATGGTCTTTGTGTGTGACAGTGGTGCCTTTGTCGAGTGTATTTATCATAGGTAGCTTGCTTTAGTAACCGGCTGTATTAACACTCCAAACACCTCCTCTTCCTAGGTAGGCTGTCACAGGCCCTTTCGGAACAAGGTCTCAGGGCGGAATGTACCTTCAGCTGCAAAGACGGTTGAGGAGACCCAGCGTTGCTTTACAAAGCTGTCAACACAATATACAGTGCAACTGATCTTGATGATTTACTAACCTGAAATCAGCAGCTGCTCATACAACCCACCGGCTGTAAGGTAGCCAAGCAAAGCTGTCCTACCACACGTACACTGTTGTCTGTTAGAGTCTCTAGTAACTCGGAGATAGAAATATTCCATCAACTTACCTAGTGGATGGATGCATCGTTTCCTGTCGGACTCCATCAAGGGGAATTCAAGTAAGCACAATCGTAGAGCTCTTTCGGCTGTGATACAAGCCACGACAGTATCGTCTGTCCCGTAGCCAGACACATGTGCCCAGTCTAGAGCTTTTCGTGTCGCGATTTCATCAAGCCTCAGTATGCAAAAGATTCCTCTGATGACCTTGCAGCTTGCGAGTGCTGCAAATGATTCTAGCACATTCCTTTCCAGAAGGCTGCTGCAAGAAATTACACGACAAAAGAGGCAGCTCTAGCTAGTAATATATTGTCAAGACAAGAGGAGTTGAAAAAGGTAGAAGGAGAATGAGGAAGGAGATTATATTGCTAAAGCATGTGAATGACCCAAAGACAACATATTCACTCAGCCATTGATTGTTCTTAAAGGGCCATTCAAATAATGAGGCTGAGACGTCAAAGTCAGAAAGTGAATAGGAAAACTAACCGATGTGAATGTGCCAATCAGCGGGTAGAAGCGTGGTCTCAAAAACCATGTTTCCATTCTGGGAAAACGTGGCGCTATTCCCGTTCGCTTAGCCAGCTTCCATCCAATAAAGGACCAGACCAATTCTTATACGGGATTATCGCCAAGCTTAGCAAATTAAGCAGCGTCAGGGTTTGCGGCTCAGCAGGAATACTTAATTTCAACATGGATACGCCAATCTGACCTTGGAGGAGAAATGCACCATGTGTCTTCAAGACAGTGCCCTCCCACTATGGCACATTTTCTGCGCCTTACTCTGCACATCCATCAGTGTGCTTTTCCAACCAGCAGGCCATGTCTCAATCGTCGATGACTTGAAAGTCAACGCCGCATTTCTATCACCCATCACAGGGGCGCTCTGGACTCTCCGCACTGTATTCGGGGTTCTCGGGTGCAGGGTATCCAACGTGGCAGACCTCCCGGCAGCTCTATGGATCGCATCGGAGAAGGAGTTCCAGGGTCATGGTGGGCCCTACGTGATGAGTGCACTCGGCAGAGGACCACGGAATATCTACATTACTGCCCGATGGGGGTTTTTCGTCCTCGTCACCATCCCGCTTTACTTCCGTCTGGTCTACTCCGTCCAGATCTGGTGGGCGACAACATGGGCAACCTGCCTGATAACCAAATTCCTCTTACTGGAACTCCTGACGGGATACTACAACCCACCGCGGACAAGGATAGTCGTACACACGACCTGGCCTGAAGTCCCGCTCATCACTCTGTCCAGCACATCCAACCCGAACCCCGTCCACGGGAAGGAGGTCATCGCAGAACAAGGCATCGACCCCAACGACGCAAAGACCCTTCTCCCCCTCTGCACCCGCATTGAGAGATTCTGCTCCATCGTAACTGAAAGCCCCGACGACGTAGAACGAAGCCGCATGACCCCAGCTAAAGACTTCTACCTCCGCAAAGCCATAAACCACGAATCGCTCGACCCCAGACTCTGCTGCGCACATATGCGGTGTCGTCTGTTTAAACTGTTTCATGTCCTACGCCACGCAATGCCGTATGTATCATTAACCCTCGAGGCTCTGGCGGTGCTTTACCTGGGCCACCAGAACCTACGCACAATCACCATCCTTGTCACAGGGTGGATCATGAGACCCCGCTGGGTGATGTTCGTCGTATCCCTGGGTACGAGGATTACCGTGGTGCTTCTCCTGCCGGTCTTTCTGGGGTCGGTGGTGATGGCCGTTCTGCGTGCGCGCCGCCCGGCTACGGGGGTGACGTTTACTCGCCGCGTTTTGGAGGTTATGTGTTTGGGTGTGCTGTCGGTTGTCTGTGCGGTGTATTTCTTGGCGTTTGGGTATCCGCCTGTTTCTCCGTTTGCTTTTGCGTGGGTGGGGGAGGTGATCTCTCTTCCGTTGATACTGGTAGTTGGGTTTAAGTTGGCCAGATGGCTTGTGCGAGGGCCGCGGCGGGGGGTCGATGCTTGGTCGACTGGGGAGGAATGGAGGACGATCGGCGACGAGAAGAAAGTTGCAGATGACCCGCCGCTGTTGGAGCATCTGTTTGTGTTTGCTTGGACGGTGGTGTTTCTGATTCCTGCGGTTGTTGGGTGGGTTGTGATGAAGACGGTGTTTTGTGCTGCGATTGCCTTACAGGAAGTGGATATTCAGAGGAGGTTTGAAGAGTATTATCAGCATCCAGGATTTTAGTAGTCCTATTTGCAGTCTGCCTCGAAGCTGATTATGTATATAAGCTATAGTTTCAACATGAGCATCAAACATCTCAGCGGCTTGTTCTTGCCCATCTTCTCCTCCACTCTGTCCAGTGTCTCTAGCATTGTAGTAAACAGCTTCTCTAACACTTCCAATGTATACGCCAGGCTCCCGACCTCCTTCATCTCGGCCAGAATACGTAACTTGTCGGCATGCGACAGCTGCGCTTTCCTGTCCTCTCCGTAGATGACCTTGAATAGCTCATCTGACTTCGGACTATGCTCAAGCAAGTGGAGGACCGGAAACGAGAACTTACCCTCGTCGAGATCATCGCAGAATCCTTTCTTTGCGGTGTACTATTCAAGTTAGACTTGGAGCATAAGTTAAGCCGAGAGACCCACCTCGTCGGACGCGAGATTCTGATAATCGTCGCGGATTTGATAATATCTCCCAATGAGGGTAATCAAATGTTCCAGATCAGGGTCAAGTCCAGAGCCTGACAGAGAGCACAGGCCACGTAGTAGCAGTCGAAAAAAGCCTCCAGTCTTATGATCGACCATGATGAAGTACTCATTGAGAGTCGGACGTGTCTTGTTGAACGTCCAGTTAAGATCTAGCGCCTGGCCGCGAGCAAGTGTTTTGATTTCATCTACAAAACCAAATTAGTATATAGTCGGCCACGGGACAAAAAGGATTTACCTAGTACTATTTTCAAACAATCGGGACCAAGATGCTCAAGAGTATAGCCCACGGCCTCCGCATGCAGAAACGTGGCGGTGTTGACGGTCTGACCGAGTCCGAATTTGAGATGTGCAGCGGGTTTACCCCGGCGAAGTGTTGAACCATCCTCAATATCATCCAATCTGTATCATTAGCGAGTTGGCTTCTTCTAGTTGGGTAGACATACAGTAGTGTTGAATTGAAAAGCATGACCATGACCTCTCCCAGGACTGAACAGATATCATCTGGTACACTGAACCACACTCGTAGGCAATTGTTGAATCTGGCCAAGGTGTTTTTGCCAGGAAGAGCCTTGATATAGTTGAACGGAGTCATACAAATCTGAAAAATTAGCTATCGGTAGCAGTTGAGGTGAAAAACTAACCTCATCGGCATCGGCAACCTGAAAAGGTGCACAAACATCGATTCCCAAGACGGTGCCGTTTGCTGCTTTGGGTCCCGGGAAATCTGCTTCATGATTCTCTCTATTCACCGTCTTTTTCTGGTTCCCATCGAGCGCTGCCGGAGGCGGATGTCCTTCTAGTTTAAGGACCGGGTCCCGTCGCGGTTGAAGCAACCGAGCTCGATCCTCGGCTGTGGTTGTAAACCCATCGTTCCTATACCTCGGGGTTTGGGCCTGCCAGTAATTTGCCCCGCCAATTGATAGAATGAAAAGGAGGAGATAGGAGCGAAGATCATCCGACTTGGATACCGACGCCTTCTCCCAGTGTCTGTATTGGTCCATCAAGTTCTTTTCTGCGGTAACTACCTCTCGCTTCAGAATATCTCCTGCTTCAAGCTCGGTATACCCATACTCAGCCATCAGCAGTGCCATTCCATTGTGGAATGCATCAAGGCTACCAGAGCGAAAATGGTCGTCGAACTCTCGATGAAAGCTGTAATAGTCGTTTGACAGCGATAGGCTCAAAATACCACAATCGACCATTTCCGACACGGCTTGCCGTTCATCTTCCCTCAGCCGCAGGCCCTGCATGTAAGCAATGAGTTCGTAAGCTTGTCTGATCCAGGTTAGCGATTACCTGAATCCGTAAGTTAAAGGCATCGCTCACCTGGCAACGGAACTCTCCATCCGAGCTTTCTTGTACTCTTCGAGCGACATGCCGGACTGGCTGCCGGTCGACTGCGCAGCAATCATCTCTACCGACGTTTTGAGGAGCAGTGACCTTATGTCTGGCGTGAAGTCGGGCAAATTATTCAAGAACACTTCAAACCGTTTGCTTATGTCATACTCGAGCGCAGCTGGTTGACCAAGTTTCCACATGGACAGGACGCTCAAGGTGGAATCAGTGAGGACGTCTTTTTTCTGCTCGGTGTCAGTACCTTTCCCTCGAAGAAAAGGCGAAGAATCTTACGCTTTGTGCATCAAGCGTATCAATGTCATCTATAGGTCATAAGAACACGGTACCTCAATAATAAAGGAGGCTTGAATACCGTCATAATGCAATACCAGTTCGCACATCTCAGCCATCAGGGGCACCCACGCAGGTGGCAATTCGGGCGCACCCAACGAGATCAGATGACCGGTAGAAGCGATACATCCTCGAGAAAAAAGAGTCTCTGGACTCTTGGTCGAGTTTTGAGCGACTTTTTTGATTACGTCGAGCGAGCTAGACGTGGCCGTTTCATGGAATCGCGATTTGCGGTAGGGTAGCGTGTTGAAGAACAACGGGGGAAGTTGTTCATTTGGGTCTGGAGGATCTGAGTAGAGATAGCTGTATGAAAGGTTAGGAAAGTCGGACATGCTGGCTAGGAATATCCGCGATGCTTAGTATGGTAGATGTTTGCCAGGTACTCCGTAGACTCGGGGGATTGGGATTCTTATCGAGTCTGTCCCCCCCGAAAAAGCAATTCGGCGTCCCCATTCTGGCGGGTAACGATTGGCTGCGCTGATGTGTTGCGCAGAATATGCACGCCCCTCCACGTTGCTCATTAGTTATTCAGAGGTGATGGTGTCAGAAGAATGATAGTCCAGAGGCCTTTTTAGCCGCTAGTGGTGGTATATTTCAATAGATGGTGATTGTGGCTTGCTTGCGAGGCTTCTACTGGGCTTTAGGGGCTTTCGGACGCAGATTAATCTGCAGGAGAAGGTTTAGTGCCTAGGAATGTCAACCTGTCAACTATTAAACCACTCAGCTAAGAACGTGTCTAGACGCCATTTGTAGCGCCATAGAAACAATAGTGCAACTGCAGTCAATAAGATACTAGGTACTAATTCAAAGTGGCCGGAGTCTAGTCCAGTGCCGTGGTTTAGAATGATACATAGATGATGATGAAAACATTGTATATACCTAATGAATAGGAAAGAAGACAGCTTCCTCATCCTCTGGCACTCAGACAACTGACTGTTGTAAGGCAGCAACCACAGAAATGGATAGAGTCCTTCTCTTTTCACTATGACGAGTCTACTTCCAGTGAATTAATGCCTGGGAATCAGGCAAGCCACAGGACCAACTTCATGACATAAGTATGAGAGGAATGATGACAGCCTTCGACGCGCAGAGCAGTCATGCTGACTCGAATTGAAAGTGACTCCTTCCAGCAGCATAATGTCATTCCTGTAAGTCTTTGCCTGAGTCATCCAATACCGAGCTAACCTAAACACTGATGTTTCCTCGCGCAACAGATCATGGTAATATCTTTCATGGCAGAGATGAAAGGTAGGGTGCTTCAGGCATACTTTGGTGACGACGAGCTGGTCATTTACAAGAGCAGACTTGTTTCTTTCGAAGGACTACGCAACGCCGAAATGTCCGCGGAGTTCTCTCTCGAGTACATAGGTAGCCAATTATTAGAACAGAAGAGCCAAGATAATTCCGAAAACAGTGAAGAATTCCTAGTATTGGACGGACTCAAGCACCCGTTGTCCTCAAGCTGAGGTTGGTCGGATAGGAATTTCCTATTCGGGTAAGGATGTCGGAGTAAAGTCGGACTGAGTTAACTGTGATCCGATATACTAGAGCACACTGATTCTTCACACCTCATCCATCAGAAAGGCACTTGGTTTCTCTTACTCTCTGATACTCATATCTGAACTCAGGATTCGATGTATCGACGGAATGGAAAACCCACGTCGTGTGAGCCCTGTCGTATCTCTAAAATCCGATGCGACCATGCACCGGTCTGTGGACGATGCAGGGCTCGTGGCATTCCAGAACAGGTAAACAGCGTCGTAATTTCGGAGGTAAAACTCATGCTCTACAGTGCTTCTATCATCCAGCCCCGATGACTCGTCCGAAAACGAAGTATCGGTACTACCACGGTGAAAAGGACGTTGGCCGACCTTCGAGGAGCGCATCGCCTGAAAAACAACCGAGAAGTCGAACAACTGTAGGAGAGCAACGACAGAGTTTCGACGAAGAGGGTACAAGTCCTGATCTGAGTCCGTCGGGATATGTCGGCTCTTCTAGCATTCTTTCTATATGTCCGAGATTCTCGCCTGTCATCTCTCGCAAACCAGCACATCCTCGAGACAAGGACCCTTGGCCATTTGATGCCGTGAAGCAACAATTCAGAAAGTTGTTGGCTTCTCCGGAACGTGTAGACCGACTCATTACTCAATATTATAATAGCGGTCGTTTTACCGTCATCCCGCGGCCTTTGGTTCTCGACCCGATCTCCGCGCTTCTTCGCGAGTTGATTGCGAGTCAGAATGAAGAAGCGATTTTGGATCATCATTTTCAAAATGCCAGACGAAATCTACACAAGAGATTCCCATCCCTGTCGGCTCATACCACAGTGCCTGACTTCCTTGGGTATTTCACTGCTGAGAATTTTCGACTAGAGTTTGTTGGCCTCATATTTGCTCTCGCTGGGGTCTCCGTTTTTTATAGCCAGCAAAGCCTCGCTGCAGAAATGTACACTGCCAGCAAGATCTGCGTGGGAATCTGTGAGGAATACAATCAGGTGAATGATCTTACAGTTTGGTCGCGGTTTATGAACTTTATTTTAGCATCGATTCTTTTTGGAGACGCAAGTATGGTCCTCTCTCCCTCGCCTTCCAGACATGAAAATGCTCACCAGCTGTTGCAGGTAATATTCTATACCACCGAGCCAGTGACTTTACGACCGAATTATTCGTCATGGGTTTCCATCGACTCATATCCTCACCACCTGAAGTTCCTTTCTTCATCCTGGAGACCCGCAAAAGAATTTTTGCGTTGGCCGTTACTAAGGACAAAAGTCTTTCTACTTTCCTTGGTAGGGCTCCGCGGATAGATAGCGATTTTTGTGACTTGCCAAACCCGTTCGATCTAGACGATGAAGAGGTCTTGCTTGAGAGCAGCCGACTTGATGCGGCTTTGCAAGGCCTTGACCGGGATGGGTGGAAGTGTCCTAACGGGAAGGATAAGCCCATCCGGCCAGCCAGTTTGATTCGACTTCGGTACCAACAAGCTCACCTTCGCGACAAGATTCTACGCCTGTCATTGGGCAACAGGACCCAGACTTTCTCGGAGACTCTCTCGTATGCCATACTCACCATTTACCATGCCTTGCTAATAGATACGCAGGACTTTGTACGGAGAGTATCAGGACGCGTGGTCAAAGGTTCCACCGCAATACCGCTACAACGAAAGCGTCTGGGAAACATCGAACCCGCAATTATGCGTGGCACTTTTAATTGTTCATCTGGACTATCTTTACAGTGGATTCTTGATTGAACGAATGCTCACTCAAGATGGTCAAATGACTAAGACTTGCCTCCTGGCAACATCAGCGAAGCTGCTTTCGGGCGTACTTGAGTTCGTTCAGCAGCAGCATTGCTATCCTGAATTACGCGAGCGGTTTACATGGACGGTGCGCTGCCGCCCTTGTATCTTGACTGCAAGCTAACCCCAAGTGCTAGTTCCTTTTCTACGGCCTTCCAGGTGCTGGGACCCTTGCCACCGAACTTCATCATAGCACTCTTCTCGGACTCCCATTACAGACCTCTATTCCTTGCGCCAACATCATCCGCGACTTGAGCGTATTACTGGCATGGTTCGAGCGCAAATGTTTTCCCGATCGGCCTGACTTTCTCGTCTGTGTTCAAATTAGCAAAGTCATTGGTGCTCTTTTGGATGATACACTGAACAAGGAGGGACCTTCATCTCACATTGCAATTCCCTGGGAAAAGTGGCAGCCAAATCAGGATGCGCCGAGCTTATCTCATCCTTGTCCTGTAGGCCAAAGCCACCTTGGGATGGTCCAGCCGCTACCTGACGCAATGACAAGTCAAGACTTTCTTAACTGGTTTGACGATTTGGTGTGGGACGATCCCTCCATGAATTTTGACTCCATCTGTGAATAACTTTAGCGAGCAGCCTTGAATTTATTTGAGGTTGATGCTCTCAATTGTTCTATAATAAAATCAAAATGTGATATTGACAGGAATACTTGGGACCCCCATTGTCGGGCACCGTTTAGGGCTTGGTACCGAACCCTAGATACTTCAGGCAGAGCGACCGACTCAATGATACCAGCACGGGATATCTACCAGCACCGCTTATATGCGGACAAATAACCCAGTTTGATCTGTTCCGGGAAGCAAGCGATGACTTTTGAAATACGAGGTCACCTGATAGCAGACATATAAGTCTTCCCGTCATCGTCCAACCCCTCATTCTCCAAAACACCGCATCGCAAGTCTCTTAACCAAAATGTCGACCGCAACCAAGATTCTAACAGCACAGTGTCACTGCAAATCAGTGCACTTCAATATCAGCATCCCTGTAACATCCCTCCCCCTGCCAGTCCATCTCTGCCACTGCAACATCTGCCGTCACCAACATGGAACCCTCTGCGTCTTCCATGCCCCGCTTCCATCCGGCGTAAGGCCAGATTTCGTAGCACCATCGAGCATGGCAAATATAACTCCCTATATCCGGCCCGAATCGCCAGCAAAGAGATACTTCTGCAGTACATGTGGTTGCCAAATTGGCGGTGAACTGATGGAAACTGGTGACTGGGTGATCTCGACGGCCATCTTCGACGCAAACCGTGATGATACTGGGATCTGGGATATCAAAAAGCATATATATACCGAGCCTACGCTGGATGGCGGGTTAGCGGAGTGGCTACCACGAACCGGGGAGAAGGAGATGACAGTGTGGAATCCGCCAGACGACACAATCGATCATCCGCAAGAAACCGACGGAAAACTACTGGCGCAATGCGACTGCGGAGGTGTATCATTCCAATTCTCCCGTCCAACACAGGAAATCCTCGATGACCCAGAGATGAGATACAAGTGGGTATCCCCCGTCGATGAGTCGAAATGGATTGCTTGTTTGGATGCTTGCGATACTTGCCGACTCACAGACGGGGCTCATGTGATAGCCTGGACGTTTATCCCAAAGAAGCTCATCACGCCGCAGATCCCGGATGATCTACTCCTCGGTTCGTCCAAAGGCTATGTCTCCAGCAAAGGAGTGCGGAGGACGTTTTGCGGTACTTGCGGTGCGACGGTCTTTTACGACTGCGATGGACGGGAGGACATCGTGGACGTGGCGATAGGACTTCTCCGGGCGCCTGAGGGTGCCAAAGCGGAGAACTGGCTGACGTGGAGGACGAAGCGAATGGCCTTCCCGGAGGATGGGATGCGGTATGATCCTGTGTTGACTGAGTCGCTACGACAAGGATTCGAGGAGTGGGGGAAGCGGAAACATGGAGACTTGCTTGATATTACCATCGGATAGAATTGTATGACCTTGAAGTGAGAAGTGTCAATATTAAGTCGCCGGAAAAGGACTGCCACTGGTGGTTAGTCTCCCTCGACCTACGTGATACTTCCACCCTCCTGCTTCCCTCCTCCATTGCCCTTCTCTCCGTACAAGCTACATACTTTCGTTGTTGGAAGTAAACCATCCGAGTACGTACTGCTTACCGGTCAGTAGCCTTTACATCTGAATCTGATCTTGGGATTCCCTCCTATTGTTCCTAATCGACGACCTAATAGTAAAGCAAGTATATTCTTCGCCACTACCTTGATCATAACCTTGATTCTGACGCCATGCTGCATATCATAAAAGCAAAAGTATATTCTATCTTAAATCAGCTCTGATTACAAAAAAGGGGAACTTGAGAAGGAGACAGCTTCTGACATGACAACAGTCAGGCCTAAGTGCATTCTAGGCATTGTTCAGGACTTGGCGAGCATTGTAGATATAGTAATATCTCAAGTCTAATATCCCTTACTAGCTAACGAAGCAGAGAGAATAGGAAAGAAAGTGTCTACATCTTCTAAAATACTTCGACAGTGAATAGTCTTGAGTATTAAATGTATATACTTTCTTATTCGCACCGGAGGTATAACTCGGCACTCCTATTCAATCTACAGCTTATATTCACTAACTGGTTCTTTGATAGTGAATAGAGATACTTCAATGAGTCTTGTAAGTCCTGATCCCTCAGCATAAATACACTGATCTCCCTCTGTCTAACTCTCCTTTCCTTCTACATCTTTCCACTTTGCTATTCATCCGTTTTCCAGTTCCGAAAGACTCGATTTTAAATCTTTGCCTGATGGGCCTCTTTGCTCTGAGGAAACATTGCTCTTCTTTTTACGGAAGGTTCCGTATTCGTAGGGTTTTACCCTATACAATGAAACACTTCCATGACTGACCATGGATCCTGCTTTGTGGCTTTCGTTATCGCTGTGGTATCAGGCAGTGGCCTGATGCTCGGCATTTGCTTCTCCTGTTTCGGAGAAAGTCCATAAAGTAAGAACTCTGAAATGTTTCGACCCTTCCCAGTTGACGATACCTTCGACGGCCTTTAGTTCTCCAGGCTGGCAGTGTGTTCAGGGGGAGGCGGCGGAGCTGGTGATTCGGCGGAGGCTCGCGGTACATGTACATCACCCTACCGTATACACGTGGAGACGCTCTTCATTAACACCTGATGCTACAGACAGATGCCGTTTCAGCAGCCCGGGGCTAGCGTGGAGGTTTCCGTCGGGGCCGTGGTGGTGGCCCTGGCATTGCCTCGCAGAACTTGATAAAAGCTCTCGTGCAAAATCAGAGGCAATTTGTTGTACCCACCACGGCCCCAATGTTCAGCAGTGGCGCCTTTCGCCACTGACTAGGTAAGCTTGACATCTGAAGAAGAAAAGGCTTAGGAGGACACATTGACTAACCAAATAGTTCGCTGCCTCCGGAACCCGCAAGCCAGCTAGGACGCTGTAATACACTCCGGAAGAAGAATTATGACGGTTAGCGTCCACCAAGCAGGTAGGTCGTTCCATGTGGAATCCTGAATGTTGCAGGGCAAGTGAGTGTCTAACGATGAACAATCAAACCAGGCGATAAGTGGAACTTAGGGGCCTACGACGAGACCACCGAACTCCCATATCCCGAAGACTTTTTCTGAATTCTCTACCTTCCTCAGTGAATGCCATCTTCTGTTAGAAACAGGCTGTTTACTCATTTACCACAACAGACAGGGCCCTTGAGTACCTGGAACTCGCCCAGGATGGCTCAAGCGCCAGTCGGGAGGAGTTCTGGAGCTCCGGGAAAAAAGGTACATATACCTCACTATGAACGTGATTTTTATAAATACATAGCTAACAGATCAGCCGCCTCATAGTTTATCAGGGGTATAGAGAGGTATATCTCACCCTCATGTCTCCAGGTACTCGTTACGTTGAGTACCTGGACAGGACAGAGCCCTCCACCAAAGCCGACGCGCAAGTCCGCGCACTCCTCGACGTAATTCTTGGGTTGGTGCTAGGATTCACCAAGCAAGACGGTCGGATCATTGGGGCTACGAGACCCCGTTCTGGAAGACGATTCACATCAAATTTCGGGAGAAGATGTTGCGTGGGTCGACCTGACTCCGCAGTCTGGATGGCCAGTGGCCGCGGCCACCCCGCAGGTAAGTCATTCCATACTAGATCTTGAATATTGCCGATCAAGTTGTGGCTAACAATGAACAGCAGCTGCCCCCCTCTTTTCGCCGCCGCCGTTTGGCCATGTAAGCAATTGATCTTCGAAATTGAACAGTCCCATTATTGAGTATGGTCTAACTGTGATTTACAGCGGCCAAACATCGCTCTCCATCCGGAGTGATGCGTTTTCAATGGACACACAATCAATGAAAAATATCCTCCACCATGGGCAGGGAGCTCATGGTCAGGGTAAGTTGTCCATGCCCACAGTCCCAAAAAATGAGCAATTCCTGGCAGCCCTCCGCACCCTCTCCATCCTTCCGCCGCCTTTCCGCCCGTACTCGGCCGGCTCGATGATCGCGCCGCAGCCTTAGGCTCCAGTCCAGAGCTGCCCGGCTAGATTATAGAAAGCAGAAGAAGGAACGCACGGTGTTTCAGCCGATTCTGTGGCATATCCCGCATTGGAATGAGGGGCAGGGGATGCTCCAGGTATGGGATTCTGGAAGGACAGAGGGCGGTCTTGTTCCAAGTCAATCCGAGGATCCTGAGGAAGGGAGAGGCAATATTGAAGAGGCCCCCGGAAAGGGGATATTCTACTTATTTCTACATTATCTGTCCCCACTGGTGTTTCCAGTCAACTACGTCTTTTCTCCTGCGATTACACTATCTGTCTGGTGTCTTGCAAGCATGCCATTTGCGCTGCTTAACTAGAGATTCAGTTTTTTTCAATTCTCGGGGCTACATTTAGTTTACAATTATTAAAGACAGTATTTTTGTAGTACCAGTTTTCCCTCCTCTACTCTACTCCGAAAGTTGTATACCTTTCTTGCCATGGTGGTAATGTACAACCGATGTTCTTAGGGCTTCGACCATCACCTGAGTCAGCATCCCGATCAGCGATCAGGATCTTGAGTCATGAACGGAGTACGGAGTATTACGGAGCACCCTCCTACTCAAACAAGGAATATCCCCATTAGAGAGCGATAGACCGGACTCCAGAGACAACTTCAAATTGAATGTCTGAAATTTGTAATGATCTTCCTGAGTGACTTCGGCCGACGGGCTCGTTGGCACGCAGCACATGTAAGCGTTCAGCGGTGGGTCCAACAAACTTCCATCAAGTGGGACTGGATTGTAGATCTTCATAACGGAAGGGCCAACCATTGATTGTGGCCAGTCGTTATACGAGGTTTCACGATAGTTTGCCCCAGTTGACTTGTTTTTGGAGGTCTCTCAAGGAGTGTTTCGGTCGGTGGCCGATTGGTTCGACTCTGATTATTGGTACTGATCAATACTTACTTTTGTGTCTCACTCAAAGAGTATCGAAGCAGGAAGGAAGTCGCTGAGGCATGAATATGTGTAATTAAGGGGTTGTTGAGGCCAAGTCAAACATACATCATCATCATCCAAGATCTCCATACATTAAATAGTATCTAACAAAGGAAAAAAGAGGTTGTAATAAGAAGCAGGACGATTATCTGCTGAATCGATTTGGCTTCCGTAATGCCTCCTCTGGCTCTGCGGCTTCGTGCGTGATCTCAATAGTCGTTTCTTGGTACACTCCGTGGGCCATATTGCTCAGCTCCATGTCGCCTTTCGGGCCTTTCGGTACAATATCTTCTGTCGAGTCGCCTCGGTCATCGAGCACCGTATCGTTGATGCTTTGCAGCCCACGGCGGAGGCGAGACTTGACCCGAGACTTCTTGCTCTCAGGGCCCGCAACGGTGGTGCTGACGTGCGTGTTGTACAGATTCGAGCCGGTGTGCGCGTAGTAACGATCCGACGTGCTGACCTCGGTGTCCAGTAGCAGATGCCGGCGGGTCAAGGTGTACACAATGACATCCACAAGTCCGGATAGAGCCATGAGGGCACCGGCGGCGGCAAAGTATTCCTTGCTGGGAACAACATGTCTGGCCGTAGACATCCGCCCTGCAGCCAGAGGAAGGGAGAGAAGAACGTATACCAGAGGATAAATAACCATGTACACGACGACTCGGTTCAAGCGGTTAAGACTTTCCTGGTGGTTCTGTCGAAGGGCCGCTGCTTGTTTCATCCGACGCCGGAGGTAGAAAAACATGATGCCGTACAGAACGATGGTGCCAAATTCGGAAAGGAAAATCCATACATAGTGTCCCCAGAGCCGCTCATCTTGGGCTTGCGGACTGAGCCAGCACTATTGAGAGTCAGTACGTCCAATCTTCATTCATCGTCAAGGAAGTCACTGAACAACTCACCCAGCCGGCTTCCGAAATCACAAAGGTCTTTGAGCCATACAATCCGACGGCAATCAATCCGAGCAGAATGATAAAAGCCCAGAGCCCAACGACACACCAGACAAACGTCGTAAACGGTAATTGTCGCCCACGTAGCACAACTACACAAGTATGTATCGCAATGGCCAACACGAATAGACCACTTCCTGGATCCGCGGTCTGAATCCACCACCCTTGCAGAACGCAAGCCGCACTTGGATAATTTACACCGCCACGGGCGACCCAATGCAGGCAGAGCAAGAATGCCGTCGCTTGTTGGATGTCAACGAGAAGGAGGTTATAGATGAGAAAGACATATTGATTGTGCGCAAGAGGACGCTTGTAGTAACGCTGCCAGAAAATGAATCGGTACGTTAGGAAGGAAATGAGCGAGAATGTAGCGATCCACGAGCAGAGAGCGACTGCTCCTATTGCAATGAAGCCCGCCCGAAGGCTCCCCGTCAGAGGCTCGTCGGCGAATGTCGGCGGCTGAACTTCCTGAGAACGAGCGGTGAGGTACGGTTTGTCGCCATTTTCGCTTCGCAACAGTAGCAGCGTTCGAACCAAGCTAGTCATCCTCGTTTATCATCGCCCGTTCAAGGCTGGTTGCTGATGCGGTCGTTGAGAAAGATGCCAGACTGATGGAGTTCGGCGAGTAGGTTCCTGATTCCTAGCATGACAGGTACTCCTGGCTCTAATATGGAATTGTCGACCACGTCAAGGCGAAAGCTTTTATTACCTTGGCTTATGCCCAGCTAGGTAGACAGATGGGTCAAGAACTTGGGAGAACCATGGTCTTGAGTTTTCGTTCCGTAACTGTCCATTTCGCTAGACAAGCGAGAAGTGATGCTTTAGGGATGAATCTAGCCTAGGCTATCCTCGAAAGCACCTGTTGAGGGCCACATGGCAGGGGATAGTTTCCCAGCGGTCTAGGAGACAGGACAATACGAGATCCGCAAGAGGGGCAATATGGCTCTGTTGTCTCCACAGGCGATCCACCAAACGGCGGTCTCGAGCCGACGACATTCCAGATACAGTAGATATTAGATAGATAGTGCTATCCGATATGTAGGAAACAAGCCATGTCAATTTTTGCCGAGCTGTCTGGGCGCAAAACACGTGGCGTTAGGCTGGGGGTCAAAGCACCCTTTGACCTGCATCGAGGGCAAATTGAGGCGTAAATGACCTGCGTGGCTGCGAGCATGATGACTTTTCTGGCGAGCATAGGAGCAGATCTCGAGGCGATGGTCCGCTGTACCATGGGCTGGACCCAACACAGTGGTAGTCTGCTTGATCAGCAAAACAGTCCTGACTCTATATGGTGCCAGACTGCCAGTGGTAACATCAAATTCCCCGCGGTTGATCACGAGCAAAAGTCAAAACGGTAGATATGACCTAGGTAATACCTATGCACGTTTTCCTAGCGAATCGGGTCGAGAATTGCAACCAGCAGTCTGGAAGATCATATCGATCTGCATTCCTATTGAATGCAGAGATGATCTCTCGAATCTTGTTCAATTTCATGAGAATACACGGACGTTCAAAATCCGCCTTTCGAGATCCTAAGGTCTCAAGGTTCGACCAGACCACACTACTAGCAGGCAATGTGGAGTGGTAGGTTGCCACTTCTTTCAAACAGCTCTGCTTCAGCCAAGTTTGGTGTTGCACAGGCCAATGAAGACAAAAGGTCCCTCCAATATCACGCAAGTGCGCTTTTAGGAATTGTCCCTTATGAGAATGGAGACACCCACCAGCAATTGAACTGGCAAGGCTAGGACATCCAATGAAGTTGCACTTTAGAAAAAGAATCAGGAACAGAGGCCAGATTGCAGGCAAGCGGTTCCACTTACTTCATTGGGATAATGTAATGGAGACAGCCATAGGTAGATTAGGACAACTAACGAATGTCCATCGCGCTATTACATACGCATGTCATTCTTAAATTGCCTCGCGCTCTGGAGTCGAGTCGTAGTCTGTGGAAGATCGACTACGCATAACTTCACCAGTGCCGAAATGGAACTTTCTCCGAAGCTCCAAAGCTTGTGGGTTAGGATTTGATTTGTTTCTGTGGAATCGAATGCTTAGGATAGTAGACGGTCCGGTCAAGGCGCCGTCCAAAGCTTAAACCTGTCCGTATGCCGATCCCCTCCCCTCAATTTCAGTCAGGAGAACTGCATGTTTACCATGGGAAAACAGTTTCAATTCCAAGATTTGACTGAATACCGACAAATGGCCGCAATCAAGGTAAGCGTCGCGGAGATTCCCAGTTGATCCATTGATCTCATCTGGAATCTGGATCAAGAAAGCCTCATGAACTGCGGCGCACTGGCTCAATTGTGGCGGCTTGGAGGCTGGTACTAGCATCTAGCACGCAAAAGACATGTTTGTTTAGAGTTCACCTGTGGAAGAGATTTTCGAATGATGATTGATGACCTCGGTCGAGAGAAACCTCCAGAATGGATATCCATTGATCCGGTCAGTAGATACCGTTTCCGCAATAATAAGAAGAATCAAACCATCTACATCGACCCAGTTCAGGTAGCCTGTCAAATATTTGTCATACATTTGATGCACTTGCACAATAGCCATAACAAAATCGCTTACGGGAATACGCTTATTTTGGATGCTTCTGGATGTTCCTCCCGTTCGGAAGTTAGCGACCGGATATTACCCAATCCGACAGCATTCTCAACCGTGCGTCATGCGTGATCCAAAGACGATAAAGATCTTGAGAGCCTTCGATATTGAGATATTTCTTCAGTGCGAATTGCTGATGCTCTCCTTGCCTTAGAATTCAGAAGCTCAATGCCAAGGGCTATCCTTGCATCGGGTGGCGGCTTGTGTCAGAATGTATATTTAGCAACAAGCATACCACACGTGAGACGATTTCCTGTTTTGTCACTTAGCCTCATCGAATGCTTACTGTGTATGGTCTGACAACTGGCAAACGCTGTGGAATGCTCAGCCTTACCTTAACCGGATTCCCATCGATCAAGGTTCGACCTTTAGATCCTACCGATCAATGTGGCGTCTGATGGACTGGAGGCCTTACCAAGCGGTCAGTTCGTAGGCGTACAAGCAAGCCAGAATAGGCATGATTATTATGGCTTGGCGATAATGCTGGGTCTAAGGCGTCTCGTTTATCGGGACCATCATTCGTTCAACGGAGTGGTATCATCAACTCAGTGCGCTTTTCCGCAGTTGTGTACTTGAGAAGTATCACAAAAATGTCTAAAAAAATCGACGGTGTCACCCGAGCCGGGTGGAAGTTGCTGGAAGAGGGTGAAGCTGTATGTCTCATCGCAGGGTGGACTCAACCTCATCAGATGACCGAGCGTTACTCGAACGGGTGTCAGTTGCAGAGTCTTGGATCCCCGCATTTGGCACTCCACTGTCATCTGTAGTACCACTGTCGTGTCATGGCAACGATTCCTGCCCCATGTCGATCTCAGTTGCCTAGTAACTTTCTACGGCCAGCTGAGGGGGTGTCTCACTCATGTCGATATGCGATTGATCCGGTTTCTGAGGATCGAGAGTCGGCCTACCCATGGGTTGTGATGGATTCTTCCAGTGTCTCTCCTCTCCGGCAGGGCAAGACGCCTGATCGGTCGTAAGTATTCAATATATCATTGCTAATAATAGACAGGGGAGCGGGACAGACTGGGAAAGAGACATATATAAAGCTTCACGATCCCAGATACCACAGCCAGGACTATAGCAACACCAAAGCATCTAACCACTCAATCTCAAACTTCTCTATCAAGACAATTACTTTCGCAAAGCCACTCGTCCTCTCAAGATGAAGTTCACTACATCCGTCTCTCTCTTCTCCCTCTTCCTCTCCTCCGCTCTCGCGGCCCCGACCCCAGAGAACGAGGCCAGAGCTGCTATTCCTGTCTCCGTCTCCTACGACCCGCGCTACGACAATGGCGGTACCTCGATGAACGACGTCTCCTGCTCCAACGGCGTCAACGGCCTCGTGACCAAGTGGCCTACCTTCGGCAGCGTCCCCGGCTTCGCTCGCATCGGTGGCGCCCCCACAATCCCGGGCTGGAACAGCCCCAACTGCGGAAAATGCTACAAGCTGCAATATAACCAAAACACAATCTACGTTACGGCGATTGATGCCGCACCTGGCGGCTTCAACATTGCAACGAGTGCGATGAACCAGTTGACGAACGGCATGGCGGTGGAGTTGGGCAGGGTGCAGGCAACGTATGAGGAGGCCGATCCATCCCACTGTGCCTCTGGTGTATAGAGGGATCTTTGGCTGCAGGGAAGACACAGGGACAGATCAAGTGGTTTTTCGCCATTGCATATGCATAATGACCTGGCTTTCAAGGCCTCTTTCAATCCTTAGACTTGTTGATTTATGTTTATATACAATCCTTTAATGTCATCAGAGTGAAGATTCATACAATCTATGTATATGTACATTCTAGGGCATCAGTCATCAAGATACAACCTCCAACATCTCTTCCACTCGCCCAAACTTATCTCGAACTTTCCCCTTCTGCTGGCCCCTCTCCCGCTCTGCCTTGTCGATGCGTTCCCAGTCCTGCCAGGTGGTTGGCCGTAGCCCGCGCTTCTCCGCCTCGGGCCGTACACCGTCCCAGCCGAGACCTGTGCTATTGGCCGGCCCATTCAGCAATGATCCTTTGCCTGTTTGACTCGCCTTGTCCGCAGCCAGAGTGTCAGCGGTGGTGAATGCATCGGTCATGGTTGAGGCGATGACACCAGTTGGGCCACGCTTGACCCACCCGGCACAGTAGAGCCCAGGCAGATGGGTGATCAGCGAACCGTCTGGCAGTCGCTCATTACCCCCTGCGGTGGTCGGGACGGTAATTCTACCAAAGCCGTCGTTGGGGAGCACACCGCGATCAGAATCGAACTGGATGCCTAGATCTTCCAAACCAGGCAGAGGGAGGGATTTGTAGCCGACACTGCGGAAGAAAGTGTTGGCGGGTATGTCGACTTGCGCCCGCTTCCCGCTTGAGAGGTACTTTGGTGTAACCTTGGCACTAGGTGTGTGAGGGTTGCTTGGATCCAGTTCATTGCGGGAGAACCTGACGGACGAGAGGCGGTAAGGATGCACAGGCGACCAATTCAGGCATTCCGGAGAAAGAAGAAAATCTAAAGACCATGACTTGGTCGCGGTATTGGGGTCATTGGTCGAACCCTTTGCCAGCAGCTGCATTAATCTTTTTTGTGCCCGAGGAAGCGTGGATATAACCTCGTCTGGTGGAAAGAGGTCTCGAGGAACTGGATCAAACGACACAGAAGGCAGCTGGAGAAGCTCTCTGAGCTCTTTGATCGTAAACGCGGCCTAAGAGCAGATTAGCATTGCATACCGCGGAAAAACTTGTCAAACGTACTTGCAACGGCCCGCGACGGCCTACAACCCGAACACGCTTGATCTTGCTCCTGACCAACTCTTCCACCGCGTACTCTGCGATATCTGTCCTTCGTAGAGTATTGATATCCGACAATAGTATCCTTGCAACGTCTAGGGCAACGTTTCCCTGGCCAACAATCACAGCATCCTCACCGGCCGTAAGATCCGGTGCGAGATCACGGTGCTCCGGGAGGCCATTGTACCACCCCACAAACTCTCGCGCCGAGTACACATTCCGAAGTGCATCCTCACCAGGTATACCCAGCTTCTTATCTTTCGGCGCCCCGTATGCGAATAGAATGGCGTCGTAATGTGGTTTCAGCGCTCGGAGTGGGAGACTTGTGCCGAGTTCGACGTTGCCGATAAAGTTGAACCTCGGAGATGCTGCAACTTCAGTGAACTTTTCCTCGCAGTTCTATTGCCAAAATGGAATCAACATGGTTTCCCCAGACGTGCTTAAAGGCATTGAGCGTACCTTGACTTCCGGATGGTCCGGCGCAACTCCGTATCGTGCCAGGCCAAAGGGGACCGGCAGTTTCTCATACATATCCACCGCGGCATCCTCGACCTTTGAGAGCAGTCTATAGGCTGCATAGAATCCAGCTGGTCCTGACCCTACAATGGCAACGCGAAACGGACGATCGGCCCGTATCGTCTGGCTCTGGTGACGGCGCTGGACTGTCAATTGCGCCAGTCGCTGAACATGTGGACGGTATAGCGACGCGTAACTAATTTTTGAACTGCATTGTGCGCAAAGGTAAGAAGCACGTTTGAGATTCATCGTTATTTAATGGAAATACCCATTAGAAAATAGCACTCGTAAAATAGACAATAGAAATCTAGTCGGCTAGCTATGACTCCATTTCGTTCCGAGGCCCGCACGTGACCCTTATCAGCTGGTTGCCGCGCCGACTATCGCCAGTGTTGATGCTCCACCCGATTGGGAGCTGTCTTCAAAGGGCCCGATCTCCGATCTCTGATGATGATTATCACCTAAGGTAGACTAATATCTTGATGACAGTCTCCTCTTCTCCTCGTGCATTCTTCCCGTTCCATGGTTCCGCGCGTGCTTCTCGAACCACATCCCCATCGTACCTTGCATACTTATTTTGGTTGAACACCCCCCAACATTCCTTTCTGTCTGGGTCATTCAACGCCCACATTCCACTCCTCGCGTGGATGCGCCGATAAGCATCATCCATTGCGGCCATGGGGAGATCATTGCCTCCATTCCTTTACGGTCCTTCCTCCTCGCATAGTTTCTATGGTCCGACGGATCGTCCATTCAATCCAAAGGCCGTGACGCAGGCGAGCTGGACTCGTCCGAAGCCAAAACCTAAGCAGAAAGGGCCTTATGTTAGCTTCAACAGACACCCTGACTCGGTACGTTAATTCTTGAACTGCTCTCGACAGCGCGCATGTGCTGATTAATGCTCGATCAATAGTATTCGAACTTTCCTGATGGAGCGTCCCGCTGGACTCCCATGAGCCCCAGCACAAAGGGGAGAGTGGTCTATGGTCGAAAGATACAGCTTGGTCTGCGTGTGCTGGCTTTACTCGGCGCTCTCGGCTCGCTCTTTTGTGCTATTGTCATCAAGAATGTTGCTGTCACGATCATTTGGATCATTCGAGTCGGGGTGAGTCCACAAATATGGTTGAACACGAATCCAGCTAATGTCTGTGTAGCCTATCGTTGCCATTCTTCATACCCTCTATGGAATGTACCACCTATGCCGCTCGCCCGTTACCAGACCCGCTGGATCACAGGCCAGTTACATGGTCTTTGCGGCGACGCTTGACCTTGGCTTGGTTCCATACTATGTCTTCTCCGCATACATCGCGTACAAGCAGATCACAAACAATGCCTACCACTGGAGCACTCTGCTGAGCGCGGACGCTGGTATCACGGACAAGATCGCTCATTCCACTTTCATCCTTAGCATTGTCAACGGAAGCTTTCATTTGATCTCTCTCTGCATTTCCGTCTGGCTGGCTTTAATATTCCGGCAGATCTCCCAACTGCCTCCGGATCTGAATCCTCTCGAAGACAATCTGACCGCTCGTCCTCATAAACGAAACAAGTCGGAAATCAACGAAAAGCATCTCAGCCAGTCTACTGTTGCATCGGCCACGTCCATGGAAGAACCCCTGATTGGCCCTGCTCGGCAAGTGCCATTCATGCACACCCGCAACCAGTCCTCAGAAGATGGCTCGAGTCGGTTTTCCGTTATGAACGAGAAGAGGCGATCACAACAATCGATGTACTGTGACACGGCTGTCCCACCCGTACCACCTGTTCCTCAACACTCCTTCCTGGCGCAGCATGACCAGCAAGCGTCGGTGCAATCGCCCTTGGCAGATTCTCATAACGACCACGCTCAGCAAGTCTCTCGCGACCTTCCTGACAGAGCTCAATGCGTAAGCCCAGACTCGGACAACTGGATTGTCTACCCTTCTCGGTCACCCTCCCCGGCAGAGGCTGGTTTGAATGAGAACCTAGCCCGTCGAGAACCCTCGTCAGCCTACAGTCAAGCGGAGAGCCTTATCTCTGCAGGTAGCAGTTTCAAGGACTGGCTTACTTCCGCCCAGCGCTACGAACTGCACCTTAACGAGGCTATCTCGGAGGACGTTCGCGGCGAGTACGAGTCACTAGCTTTCCACGAACACTATGCGAATGACGAGGACATTCATGATATCCCTCAGGTGACACGATTCTATGACAACGCCGAGCAAGACATTGGCGACCACAACATCAATATCTTCCTGGACCACAACGACCGCGAGCGACAATTCTCCGCCTCCCTCCAGGTCAACCCTCTAGCCCTCAACCCTCCCACCCCACAGCCAGTCGAGGACGAGACCGACAATGCACCCCACCCCTCGACCCGTGCCCCTCTCACTGATATCCCGAACCTCGCTCCTAACCCTCCCGCTTCCCCTCCCTCCCCAGACAGCCCCGAGAAGAAAGGCCGCTTCTACGGAGAACTCAACACTAAGCCTTGGCTCAGCGTTGCGCGCAGTGTAAGCGGTCAGAACGATCCCGACTCGCACGATCTGGACCGGAAGAGGAGCAAGCTCGTCAAACGCAACAGCCAGAAACTAAACACGTACGGTTCGCTTAAGCAGCACGACGCCGATGATCTGGACGTCGAAAATGAGATCCCTCCTGTACCTACGGATCCTGCCGTTGCAGACGGTGATCGCAAGGGCCGTGTTGTCAGTAACTCTGGGGCTGACATCGGTCGGCATGATTTTGGATCAGGCTCCTCCTTGGCGTACGGCAATTACATCGCTAACTTGGGTGTGGGACGACGACGCGATGTGAGTGGAAAGATCGCCGAGGAAGGTAGAGGTGGCGTGGTCACCGAGAGTCCGAAGCCGATTAGAGCTGCCGGATGGGCTCGGTTTGCTGGGCTCTAGACCTGCAAGTTGGGATTCATGGTAATATTTGGATGATCAGATTTGTTGACGATGGAATGGTCATTTTCATGATGGAATGGAATTGTAACGAGTTTTACGTGACGGATTTTCTTTCATGTTTGATAATACATTTTTTTGCATAAAGGTGAGTTAGGTCGTTAGTAGCTTCCTCAAATCCAATAAATACTGTTTCGCAGCAAATAGAAGGATTAGATGTGCGTGTTATATCGAAGTATATGTGAGAAAAGTATATGTGAAAATGGACGAGCTACGAAGGAACACCTTCGTACTCCCACCCTTGAATGACCCTTTTGCCTCTCCTCGAATTTCTCCGGTTCGCGTTACATTTAACAAATAACGTGAGCGCAGTGATGATGCAGATAACGATTCCGGCAATGGCAGCGACCAATACCGTGCGGCGTTCTAGCTGGTTTGGATCGGCTACATACGGGCAGGGAGTATCAGGGCCCCCTGTTACCCAGCAAGATGCAACGTCCAGGGAGTTGAAATCAAGCCAGACCTCGTACTTTGCGGGGTCCGTCGCTGTAGGGTTCAAGGTGTCCTTGGATCCATCGAGCAGGAAATGGTATAGGTAGGTGTTCTCAAGGCCAGTCCGGGGTATGGAGAAGGATGTATTCTCCGGGCAAGCGTGGTCGTACGCGTCTGAGTACGTATACGCTTCCGATGACAGGGACCAGGTGAAGGGATGGTTTCCCACACGACAGGCGGCGTGGCGCTCTTCGCTGCAGTTAGTGGAGCGCCAATGGCCCCCCAGTGAGAGGTCCATTACTGCACATCGCTCGGTGTGCTGCGAGTCCTCGTCGATGCCAGGAGGTGAGCCGTCTCGAGGTTCACCAATAGCCCAGGACCACGAGGCAGAAGTGGAGATGTTTTGGTACGGTGTTGCGTCTGAATCGGCGGTCTTGTTGAACAAAGTGCTACTGAGCACCGGAGATAAGCCGCAGACTGTGAGGTTGACGACCAGATCGCATATTTCTCTTAGAGCCTTGGTTTCGTCTGAGCTGTTTATGATGGGTATGCTGCTCGATTGAGTCCACGACGAGTTGACTTGCGACACCGAGGTAGCTCCCGGCTGGTAGAGACAGCCAGAAGTCAAGGTACCATTATCAGCCGCTGTTGTCGAAACGGCATTTGTCAAATAATGAGGAGGAAATATGACGTCGTTGTCTGCGTTCAAGTCATAGCTCCCCAGCTGCGAGTCAACCGACCCATATTCCAGGAAGAGTCGTCGCTCTTGCGCAAGTTGCACATATTTCGAAGAGGGCCAACCATCCGGCGTACTTTGCTTTCCATCCGCATCCTCGTGAAGGGTGAAGTATTCCGTGATAGGCTTGTATCCATCGTCAACTGCATACCATGATTCGTTGAGGTTCTTGCGCTCCTTGGCTAACTCGGACGGCCTGTAGATATATGTAGAAAGAGGAGCATCAAACAAAGAGCTCACGTATTCTGACGGTAACGGCAGCTGCTCGTTGGTGACGGATGCAGCTGGCTGATCTAAAGATGCAGAACTTGATGCCACATGAAGGTTTAGGGTGATGAATGTCGTATACACATTCCATTGAGAATTGGTGACTCGGAAATGCTCTGCGAAAATATCAACTAGCCCAGAAAGATCCAGATTATCGGAGCAAAGATAGGGACCGAGCTCGTAGAGTAGCGAGCCTGACGAATCGGCGACTGCTGTGACGGCGCCTGTGACTGCACTGGCCGTGGCTGTGGGAGAAGGCGTCGTCGAGACAGTGGCAACTTGAGCGTTCTGCGGTTTTGCGACTGGGCAAAAGGTCCAAATTCGCTGCTCCACCGACCAGTATATATCAATCAGGAAACGACGGTAGCCGATAGCGAGCAAGTTCGAAATGCATTTCTGAGCAGCACTGTCGTCGTAGATGTTTTTACCGAAGCATGCTGCAGTCAGCGAGACGGCCGGTACGGTAACAAAGTTGATAGGAATCTGGCCGGCAACATCTCTTTCACTCTAATCAACCCATCGTCAGTCAAACTTCATGCAGGATCAGTTCGCGAAGTCAACGCACGAGTAGGACAGCCACCCATGTAGAGTTCACAAGGGAAGCATCAGGATCATAACTCAGGCCCATGGAGCTGCATACAATGGGCAGCGAGGATCAAACTAGGAGATATAACTCATTTCAGGTCGGATTCGCAATTGCACCGAGCAATTCGAGTGACGGAGAATGGTTAGTCGAGGCTCAAACTGCGGAGACGCGGGCGGCCGGTGCGATTAGTGAATGACGATCGACCCTTTACCTCTTTGGGCGGGCCAACACCATCTATCTGGCCACTTTGTGTTCATCACTCCCCTGTGATTTTCCGGCTTCTTTCATCTTTCAGCCAAACCACTTTGATACACTCCCCTTCCCAGCTTCATGCTCATGCTCTAGCATTTATGTTTCAGTCTTTCCTCTGTTAATTGATTTATTAACGCAAATTATCCAAATTCCCTTTCAACATGGCGGCTCCAGGTGGGCCTAGCCCACAGCAGATTGCTGCTATGCAGCAGCAGTTCGCCGCGGAAGCAGCGAGACGAGGAATGACCCCCGAGGAATTTGCAAGACAGCAGCGCGAACAACTGAATGCAGAGGCCGCAAAGCACGGCATGACGACCGAACAATACGTTCAGCAGTTGAGGATGCGAGCTATGGCCGCGCACCAGCAGCAGATGGCCCAGCAACAGGCTCAAGCAGCGCAGCAGCAGGGACAAGCGGGCCCCCAGCAGCAGCAGCAACAGCAACAACAACAACAACAACAACAGGGGCAGCCTGGACAGCCCTCTCCACCCCAGCAACAGATGCAGCAAGTCCCCGTGAACCCGTCGAATCCTCCCGACCCTAAAGCGATCGCGGTCGCCCAGTTCCTACGCTCCCAGAACCTCAAGTCTCGCACGTGTATCCTGGACGGACAAAGAAAGGACATGTTCAAGGGTACTTTTTCTCTCATACTCCTACGAGTCTCCGACTCAGTACTGACGAGTAGCATAGTCAAACGCGCCATCCGCGCCCTCGAATCCCCCGCCTACGCCAAAGCCGCCGCCAAAAAGAACTCCCTCCTTCCCCCCGTCACCGACCGCGCCTCCGCCGAAAACGTCTTCAAACTCCTCCCTCTCTCTCTTCTCGCCCTGCGCGTCTCCAAAGTCGACCCGCACGCTGGCCACAACCACGCCAAACCAAAGACCCGCGTCAAGGGCCTCTGGACCGTCAAGATCGAGCAGCACCAGGAGACAGATCCCATGATGCACTACGTCTGGCTCTACGAGGGACCACAGTGGAAACAGAAGGCCATGGCCGCTGCCGTCGTGGCAGGTATCTTTGCGGTTGTCCTCTTCCCGCTGTGGCCCATCATGCTCCGCCAGGGCGTCTGGTACCTCAGCGTCGGGATGATGGGTCTGCTGGGTCTCTTCTTCGCCATGTCCATCTTCCGTCTGATTCTGTTCTGCGTGACCGTCTTCGTCGTGCCTCCTGGCCTCTGGTTGTTCCCTAATCTCTTCGAGGACGTCGGGTTCATCGATAGCTTTAAGCCTTTGTGGGGTTGGCAAGAGGTATTCCTTTCTCTCCCTACAATCTCCCCTTTCGATAGATGTACTGACTGTATCATAGAGCAAGAAGAAGAAGAAAAAGTCCAAGAAGGCCGTCGCTGGCGCTGAGCCACAAACTGCATCCGGCAAGGGGGATGACTCTACCCCTTCCGCGACCACAACAGCAACACCTGCCGCAGATGCCTCCGGTGTCGTGAAGCGCGATCTAGCGCCCAAGGTGGAAGAAGCCACTGAGGAGTAAATGGCATGATGGGTTGCACTTGGGCATGATTCTAGGATGCATCGTATCCGCTCGTCGCTTTGCCTTTTGAGTCATTGTGGTTGTTCTGGGTTGTGTTCTGGACTTGGGCTTCGGGGTCATCGGATGAATAGCCACGTATGACTATGTTTCCTAAATGATATATGTTCCTTCGGGTTGGAGTAAGGTTCCGCGTATTTGAATTGATCAAAATCCTTGTGGATCATAGAGAATTCTGTAATTCCTATATTATGATTCTTAATCGTGAGGATGCGCGTGTCAAGTCAGAAGATTTCGCTGTGTGAATGACCCTAGGTTGAAATATTCGACATGGAAGAAGATAATCTCCACTATGTAACTGTATGAGGCATCAAAACCCAAGATAGACCCACATAAAGAACATGTAAATAGGGAATAATGAAACAGAAGATGAAAAGGAATAGTTGAATATGGCAACGACGTACAGCGTGGATATCTTCAACAGCGGCTGTAGAAAAGGTCAAGAAGACGGGTAAATGCAATGACAAAGTAACAAAGGTGTTTGGTATCAGTGGTATATATAAGAAAGCAAGTCGCCGAGGCATCGCAAATGCAATAACTCTCCAGGCGTGAAGACAGAATTTTCTCAGGAGTGAGGGGGAGTATAAAAGCACTTTTCCAGAATGCGCAAAGCTATGTTTTCGGGGCCGAGATGATGTACACGTCTCTATAATATTACCGACGCCTGAAGATGCAGAATGAGCCGTGGGTACAAAGTAGAAAAAATCGATGTGAGGTGGTATCGCTTATAATCCGGAAGATACCCGGGTATCTATACTTGGAGCAGTAGGAAGATTGATATGGGACGTGGGAGGATTGATGCTGGCAAAGCTTCTTTGGCGGTCTCGTAACGTCTTCGAGGGTGGCAATTGGGAGGAACGAGTTGTGAGGGAAGCGCTTGGTAGCAGAACAGGCCTATGTGGATCGATTGGAGATGGGATTTTCGGTAAGGGGCAATTGGGGGGAGGTGCCGCTGGGGGCCCAACTGATAGTCCCGGCATGCTCTTGCGCCGAGCCATGCTGGGAGGACAACCGCTGTGGTCTGTGGAAAACATTTTATCCCGTTGGAGCTCAAGGCGGGCTTGATTTCCGTAATTTGTGGTTGGTCGTGTAGGTTCCGGGTCAGATGGAAGCTTGCTTAACGGGTCAATGGCTATGCTCGGAGGACGGGAGTGCGTTGTCATGGTATACGTTATCGGTAGACGTGGGTTGGGTAAACTCTTGTGGTCATCATTTCTTTGCTGAGGACCTGCCAGCGAATCCTCGGAATTGGATACCCGCAACTGTCGCCTAGGGGAGGCGTTGCGGACGGTAGAAGGATCCTCATATATGTCGTTGAGGCCCATTCTACTCATGTTCCGGGTTGGCGACTGAGGTGGGGAGGGAAACGCAGACAACGCATCGAGTTGCTCGTCAGATTCCTGATGACGGAGCTCATTACTCCGGTCACAGTCCAGACGAGGATCTTGAAGAAGCTGAGCTTGAGCGGTCTTCGCAGCAAACCTCTTGCTGAATGATGGAACACTGAAGTTGGGTGCTGGAGGCGAAGTGCTTCGCAAGATTGGCTCTGGCACCGTTGACGGCGACCACCCAGGTTCATGCCCCTCCGTGCTCAAGGATCCTGCCAGATAGGCGGATAGGCGGTTGGTCAGACTTGCCGTGGTTGGGCTCGGCGGTACACCCGGTTGGGATGCTCCAGGAACTGCGAGGCCATTAGGAAGTGTAAAAGGACCACTCGGCGGAGGGACCGAAGGATACAACCGCCCGAAGCCGTTGACAGGCGGTGTTACATCCGTCTGTGTGGTCGACATCGAGTTGGAACGGGACTCAGCGCCAGACTGACAAACGATCGACCGGCGTTGAACAGATATATAGGAGCTGCGGCGGGATTGATCGCTGAGAGCTTGATCTTTTTCGTCGGAACCTGCCGACTGATGAGGCTGTAGATAGATTTTGGAGAAGCGGTTGGGGTCCCTTTGCACCATCTGTCGGATACTCGGTTTCGGCCGCAGCTGATGCTCCATGCCCTCGTCGTACAGGTTTTCAGAGATGTATTTTTTGCCTCCGCGGGCTTCGATCTGAGCTCTGACAGCCAGGAGCCAGGAGCTCATTTCTTCGGCATTGCAGAACACAAGAAGGAAAGTACGAGTCCATCGCCGGGAATAGGATCGATGAAATCCCAAGCGGGAAAACAAGGGCCGATAGGTATCAACTGTCGCCGTGCTGTCTTCTTCCGAACTCTGAGAAATTTGAAGCACGTAACGCTTACCAGGAATCGCGTCGCTGGCAAAAGCCACTGATCTGGGGCCCACCTGCAACATCTTCTCCGGTAGTCGATCATGCTTCCCGCTTGCTGAGTATTGCAAGATATAACCAGATGTGACCAGCACATAGATCTTTTGGGACCACTCAGTCTTGCCGATAGTGTCGGAGACCGTTCGCATATGTTTCTTTTCCTTTTCTTCCTTCTTCTTCCGTTCCGCGGAAGCTTCCTCATGTGGCGGCTGATTACCCTGAGGGTCTATATCGTTGGAGCTGCTGTTACTCTTTGCGGTCGCCTGGATGCGCAAAATGGAATCAGCAGACAGAGCCGGGGCCCAGAGACAGTCGTGCCTGATTGCCTGTGGATAGGCCTGAAATAGCGGAGGCGGCTTCCACCCATGGTCACCAGCGACTGGTCGACTGTCGCTAAGCTTCCCTCGGGACTTCGATGCAAGTTTCGTCCGACTCGCACCGCCCGGCGGAGAGGCAATCAAGGTCGACATCGACATCGCGGTCTTGGGGGTGGCACAAACACTTGGCGATAGTGGTGTGTCCGACACGGTCACCGACTGTGTTACAGTAGTGTGCGCCTCGTCGATTTCCGCGAGCTTCGTGTCAATGTTGGACTTACGAGAGGGCTTCTCCCAGGCAAAAAGTCCGCGCAAACCCGACTTGGATGTCTGACGCTTGACCGGAGTTTGTTGTAGCGGCACCCTCTCTCCCTCGCTCTCATACTGGTAGTCCGTGGGTCGCAGACGTTGCAATCGAGGGGTTGCAGACAGGGTTGACGCTGCATCGGGAACCGTAGATAAAGTCGGAGATTGCACTGAACCGTGAGCATTCGGACGGCTGAAGTTCGTTTGCAGAGGAGCTAGTCGTTGACCTCTGCGCTCGCTAACGGATGGGTGAGGGGGCTGCTGATCTAATCTCATCCTTCTGGAGAAAATTGGCTTTCACCCGACATCAAAACGCGATTCCAACTGATCGGTGATGATGCGATGGAGAAGTCGTTAATCTGAGGATACGGAGCTTCAAGGGCGTGCGTGATTCATCTGGAGAACAGTTCAACTGTGGTGGGGGTAGTGTTGCGCATCGATGTGGAAGCGAAGACTGGCATTGCAGGTGGACGCTTGTATCGACGGGTCCAGTGATGATCGCAGCCTGAAACCGAACCCACTGGTTTCAGACTATATACAGGTCAAGAGTGGTTAATGCAATTGTACAGATCGCGATTAACTGAAGTGAGGACAGAACAAACAGAACCGAATAGGAAAGTGGGAGAGAATCGCGTGGAGGCTTGGAGCGGAGACGGCGGACCCGAATTTTGGGAGCTCACGATTGGAGTAGAAGTACAGGCGTAGTTTCAATTCAAGGGAAGGGAATTCAGTTGTAAGGAGTGACTGAGAAAATCGCAGTGCGATATCAGGGCAATTCATGCAACTCCATTGTGCTTCTCCTAGGGTTAGAAAGAGAGTGTTGAGGTGGAAGAAGAAAAAGGAAGGGAAAAAAAGAGAAAGAAAGAGCAAACTCAGCCCAGAACAAGCAAGCGGATGGAAACTCGGAAGCCAGATCGAGTCTCAGTCAGGACTTTTCCTCCTCTGTGTGAGTGTGGTCCCTTTTTTCCCGTTAATTTTCTTTGTCTTAATTTTTAGGCTTTGATTAGCTATGAATCACAGTCAGTAGTCCAGTTTTAGTCTACTACTTGTTGAGATTGGAGTGAAGCTAAATCTGGCTGGAGGATCTGAAACAGTTGGCCCCCTACGGAGTAATAGGAGCAGAATCAGATCAATTCGGACTATCATCGGTAGTAATAATAATAGACAATTATTGCCTGTCGAGAATCCAGATACTATATGCGCCATAACGTCTATAATTGGCAACCTGCCCCTGAACAACAGTTTTGGGACAGGTCCGGTCCCACTTTGCCGGAATAGCATCATGTTTATTTACGTAGGGCTATGGTGAGAGGGGGAAAAAAACCATAGTTCCTGCTACGGAGTAGGAGTACCGAAACTCTCCTCATTATTCTCTAAGTAAACCTGAACAAACTGCGCGGCCCTTGATATATCGAGAACGGGCAATCTACTCTGCAGCAGATTATGAATAAGTTGTACCAGGTGACGGAACGCAGCAGATTGCAGCAGTCCATACTCCTTCAAGGCATGAGAAATGGCGATCAACGTCAATGGATCGTCGGTCGGCACGAGTTCATAAGTATGATCGTATCATATCACTTCCAGTTCTGAGCGGCTTGACTTGATTCGGTTGGGTCGTGAAGCCACAATTGACAGGTCAATCATTGTTTCTCGAGTAATACGCAATTGGTTCAGAATAATAAGGTACAGGAAATAAATGCCTCCTAGGCTTCACGCTCACGCGAGGGAGTTCCCAGCAGAGTCACCGAGGGCAGCGAGCACTTCTTCCCCTGCGCCTCGGCAACAGCCCCCATCAACTGCGCTCCCTCCTCACAATGCTGCGCCATAGCAATGTCTTTCGACGACAGTCCTCGTGGATTATGCGTCGTCCAATGCACATCCACGCTTCCAATCCTCTTATCACCACGGACCATCAGCATATCGCAACCTTTTCCCCATTCAGAAGGTAAAAAAAAAAAACTTACAACAGTCATGGTAGGATGATGCTTCTTTATCGCGCTCTGCGACGCAACCACATTCACAAAGCTCTGCACCAACCAAACAATCAGCCTCCCTAGATATCTCGCGAAGAACAACAATCAAGAGAAAACCCACCACAGCCTTAAAATAAGACCGAAAATAATACGTCTTCTGGATCCCCATCCCCTCCCCATCCAACACCCACCCCTTCTCAAGCAACCGGTCCAATCCCCCCCGAACCTGTTCTGCATCCTCACCCTGCGAGATCTGCACCTGCGCCTGCGCCTGCTCCTGCTCCTGCTCCTGCTCCTGGTCCCCAGAAGCACCAGCAGAAGTCGAGTAACCCACACCCGCACCCGCCATCACAGGCGTAAGCAACCCCCTCCCCTCACGGAGCGCGCCGCCGCGGAGCGGAGACACCGTCGTGCGGGGAGAACTCCGCGTCGAAACGGATGATGACGATGACGACAACGACGAAGACAACCACAATGATGGATAAATGACTCTACCAGATAAAACACCGGGACGAGAGATGCAAGCCCGCACCCGGCGTTGCAGGACTCCCCGCGCTGCGTCCATGCTCGAGGTATAATTTAGCCAGGACTCTAAGATACCTTATCGTCATCACCAACAGAAGTTGACATTAACAACGGGGGAGTTGACAGCAACGGTAGCACCTCGCGGGACGGAACAGTCACGTGATCCCCACAGGTATCCTCCAAGGCTCCATCGTCCACCCCCACCGAGAAGGTTGAACGTTTTCGTGCCAGACAAATGGTTCCTGCAGAACAGCCTCATCCTCACCCAAATCAGGCAGGTTTTTACGTGTACTCCGTACTCCATAAAAATACCCTGACTCCCCTAGATAAGAGATCGCCGGATGTAACCTCCGGGACCAGACAGCCAGATCTATCCCACAAATTCTCCGCAGACGGTTAACCCAAAAGCCAAGAGTCCGTGGAAGTCACCTCCGCGATCTCTGTCGATGCGTCTGGCCTCCATTGCGGAGTTCGTACTATCATCTGCCCGGTGATCTGTTCAATGACGTTTGGTTCTTTTTCTCAGACCAACTGCCTCGTACCTTGGCTTTGATAGACTATAATACCCCCTCCTCATAACAGATCCATGGGGGGACAGGGAACCTTAACAATGTGCTTTAACTCTAATACTTACTCCATGTATGGGTCCCTCCGCATTGAGCCCGCATCCCCAATACCTTGATTTCTACTCTTCCGTCCATCCCATCGTTCAGCCGCGCTTGAGTCCCTCTGGTGGATTACGTCGACATGAGGCTTTACTGCCTACAGATTGCTTGAAGCTTCGATAGAAAAAGCATCATTATTTTTCGTATTTTTTCACTAGCCACCAGCAGCCGAGGAGTCTCTCGTCGCTAAGTACTTCGATCCTGCCGTCAAGACACCATCGCTAGAAAGTAAACATCCACCTCGCTGGCAACACAAGCATAGAGAAGACAGACCACCGTTGAAACAGGAAATCTCGTAAGCCGCAGAAAGAAACAAAGCTTAAGCCACATAAAATCCCAGATACAATTAAAAGGCCATCGAAATGGTACGAAGCCGACGCCTGTTTGACTCGGGTGTACCGACCAGACTCCGCCCATTCACTCTGCAAGGGTGCAATGCAAACGAGTTCTGAGAGTCGGCAGTCTGAACACGCAAACAAGGCGTAGCACTAGGGCCCTCCACCACAGACGGAGATGAAAGAAAAGAGACAAGAGAGATAACACTTGCAAAGCCCGGCCCTGCTCAAGAAATGAAAATTGCTTACAAAGGCAACGAACAGAAGAGCCACAAAGCTCACAAAGCTCCCATAAAGCGTGTTGCTGCCCGAAACCCTGCGTCACTGTAGATCATTCACTCCGACCATGATTGGCATCAACGACAACGTCTCCTCAAATCACCCATCGGCTCCAGGCCGCTCGGTTGTGGAGTTGTGATCATGCTCATTCGGCGAAGGAGATACTGTTTCTGCGCGACTGAGCACGGGAGCCCGCGCGAGAAGGACCACGGGATGCCACATAGCTGCCCTGTCGGCTTCCAAGGGCCTGGCGGATTCGGAGATCCTGGCGAGATCTTGCAAGAGAATTTGCCCTAGAGCCAGTGGGAATTCTAGACAACTGTCGGATATTGAGGTCGACTTCGACATCGTGGCGAGCAACCGACAGCTGTTGGGCGAACGTAGAGCGCTGGCGGAGATAAGGACCGCACCAGTAGATGACATAGACCGCAATGACGAGGACGAATGAGATGCAGACTAAAGAAGGTCAAGATCAGTCTCTGTCCCTGGGATGCTGTACAAGCAGATTAAAGACTTACACAAAATCGTAGATGCGTACTCAAGATGACGCTTGCCACCAATGTCTGTGGAGTCCTGTGTCAGCTGCTGTGACCATAAGGCGGATCAGTGGACAGGAAAACTTACTCTCGAAGAAAGGTGTGGCAGGAATGGTAAGAACACCAGCCAAGAAGTCTCGAGACCAGCCATTTCCACCGGTTGCCGAAGCAGAGTAAGGACCATAGGCGCAGACCATGTAGTCAATCGTCGCCATGTAAATGCTGTAGTTGGCAATGCCGACAATGGCTGAGAAAACCATGGTACCAATCCAGTGGACGGGAGGACCCTGGCTGGTCCAAGCGAAACCAATCAGCCCGATGGGCAGGCAAGGAGCTGTGTAAAGAAGCCACCATAGGCGAGACTCGTATTGAGCCCGTTCGTCCTGGGGCTTAGCGCGTCGCTCTTTGATGTTTCGTTTAATGGCTGGGATAAAAGATATCCATGCAATAAAGTACCCTACTAGGATGGGTAAAAACGACAAGCCGAGTTCAACCGTGCCAAAGCCCCACTGCTTGTAAACAAGACCGAACGACTGGATGAACATAAAGATCAGAGCGTCGCTGAAGCCACTCAACAAAGACAGAGACAGGACGATGGGCTCAGTCAAGAACATCTTGAAGGGGCGGATCCAGGTGGCGAGAATTTCCCGCATTGCAAACCGCTCCCGGAACTCAAGCACCTCGTTAGGGCCCCATATATCCTCACCATTCTTTCTTCTTCTCTTAGCAATTCTGTCCATCAATATCGTCGTGCGAGTCTCCGGAACACAGACTAGGTGAGCGAGCTGAACAGCTCCTCCGAAGATCAATTGAATCCAGATGTTCCAGCGCCAAGGAAGGTATTCTTCGACGAATCCACCGACGACAGGACCAATGACGGAGCCTGCAACGGAGGAAAAGACGACACAGGCCACGGCGTACTGCTGATCATCTGCTTCCCATAGATCGGCAATCATTCCCAGCGTGACGGAGCCACCGGCAGAACTCAGACCACCCAGGGCGCGACCAACCATGATGGAGGCAAAGTTAGGAGCAAGAGCCACAGGAAGTTGGAAAGCATTGACGAGGAACAGACTAGCCTGGAGAATTGGCTTGCGTCCGAGTTCCTCGCTCCAAGGAGCCCAGAGTTCGCAGCCAAAGGCATAAGTAACGAGGAAAATCATGGCACCGCAACGAGCAGCCTGCATACTGACTCCATACTCTTCAGAGATGCCAGTCAGAGCATTGGAATACAGACTGGTGTTGAAGTTCATGGAAGTCTGGACGAGGAAGATCACACTGATGATCGTCCACTTTTTCCATGCTGGCCAGGAGTAGCCGAGTTCATCATAACAATCTGCCTCCTTAATGACCTTGTCCGCCCTCGAAGGCAAAGGCTTTTCTTCGACAGCTTCCACGGTCTCGACATTCTCAATGTCGGCAGTAGGCTCTGGCTTTTCAAACGGGTCGATGCCCTGGTCCGCGTGAGTAGAGGACGAGGCCTCAGACTCATGAAGATGCGAGTCTCCTATCTCCATGACCCCTTCAGAGGGAGGAGGCACTGCCATTTTGAGATAGCCTGCTCTGTATCTCGCGTATCAGAAACCTAAAAAGACAGTTAGAGGTGTGAACGCGTAACAACCATTAGGTAGACAATGTCAACTTACTTTGATAAGCAAGAGGTGTTTGACTTAGCAAGGCTATCACAAGCAGTATATGTCGATAGAAGGGATTATAAGCAGAGTAAACACTGAAGAGGGGGCAGGAAGAGGAAAACAATGAGATAGAAGCTTTATCTCGCGAGGTAAAAAGTGGTTGTGTGAGAGAAATAAGACTAACACTCGGCGAAGTGTTAATGTAAGCAAAGGTTTGGGAGAGAGGAGTGCAGATCAAAAGGTGGGTGGGAGAGAAGAGGAATAAAGAAAAACAACAGTCGATTGAACAGGGTAGAAGAAGTATGAATGCGGTCAACAAGAGGCGCCTCAGGCTATCTATATTATACTGTGTGGCCTGGCAGGAACCCCAGAAAGGGAAAGGACCGGGGAAATACCTGATGCTACTCTACCACCCATGGACAAAGCCCACTTTGTGCCTGCACTTTACTTCCCTTCCAATGGAGAGAACCCGGGGTAAGTCAGTACGGGGCTTCTCTGTTGATTTCCCAAACTTTCTCTTGTCTACTCTAATGATCCATTTAGGTTACAGAACTGCTAAGAACAGAATATACTCATCAGCCTTTGCTGTACGTTTCTTGCTAAACCCTGTCTTTTTTCCCACATTTTGCCTCTGTTCCTGTACTAAAAAATCATTTATCTCTTTGCAGACATGCTCGCCCCTTCCTTTGCATAATTGACTAATTTTTTCTCACGCAAAGACTGCAGCCAGGACGCTGCGCATTGAACATGGTTTGGGCCACCGACGCAGCCGGATACCGAATCAGGACCGGACATTCGAGCCCACTCGCCACGCCGTCCAGGAAGAATGTCCTTCCCCATTAGTTTCGAATATGGGACGTCTGGGAATCTCAGGGTCCAGTCAGCGTCTGCCCTCGTCATCTGAGCCAACGGAAAACGGTGATAGGAAACCCCACGGGCAAGTAGAAAATGGCCGCAAATGGCCATGATTTATGGTGCCCCACTCGGAAGTTGAATGCTAGCCCGAAGAGTACCACTACAGAGGCCGCTCTGGGCCGACAGCTTCAGGAATGCCCGTTTCGGGAAACCAAGCGGCCAAGCCATGGGACGACGTCGAAGGGAAACCTACAGTACAGTCAATTCTGCCAGCAGAAATACTCTACTGCAGCGTTGGTCTCGTTCCCAATGGATTTTACAGGATTTACAGAGTACAGACTGACAATGAAGAGGCTAGCAACCCGTATTGACGCAAGGAGTCGGGATAGTTGGCCGGCCGTGCTCATGGATCATTTTTGTGTGGCTTGCCGAGGCGGTCGGGTAAGGGCGATCTTTTGAACTTTCTTCGAGGTTTAGCCGCCAGAAAATTCCCAGGATGAGTTAGGACTCCTCGGACTACAACAGATTACGACGTGCACATCGAGACGATCAATGTTGGTGTGCGAACAATCATGATACTACCATGTTGGATACTGGAGTAATCCAGGAGATTTGACCAATTGCAGTGGTCATCCTCGGTTTCGTGGGGGTGTTTTTTCTTCGGGGCAACCGCGTGTGACGTCAAGCCTCTTCTTTTCCCTTTCTTTCAAGTCGGCTCTTACGCAGATCGTCATTCCGAGTAGGACCTGGACTGTTTTACGACGACAACTTTAGTCATGCATTTGTATAACTTCTTGGTTTCTAAACCTGATCGTGAGATATTGTCTTAGTTTCCAGAATATTTCATAGAACATTGTCAGATGTGGACAATCCTTGTCGCCTGCATGAGTACGTAGGAGGCTTTCTCTGTAACCTGCAAATGTAGTAGTATTTTTGATCACCTCGGACGTGACGTTTCAACAAGCAGATCGGATCCACTAAAGGTACATTTGTCAAAGGAGTTAGGTAAAGAGATCATACGGCATAATGGTAATTCTGTGTTTATCATACGAGAATGCATAGGTGCCTTCTGATATTCCGAGTAACCTTACTCTTTCAAAGCAGCGCATGGAGTCAGCATGCAACCTTTCTGAAACCCATGGGAATGTTCTCACTGTCGTTGTCAGTTTCAGATGCCCGACATAGGCTAATTCTGCTCAGTAGAATCTAGAAATTGGTTTGCCTAAACGGTGATCCAAAGCTTACTGTCCAGGGTCAACCCAGGTTACGAGTTCCTACGCACAAGGCCCGTACGACATGACAAAATCGCTCAGTCAAGGATCGTTGCCAAGGCGATAATAGGGTCTTGGGGCGGAATTTGCAGCTTCAATCCGAATAGAAGAATCCATCATTGAACCTGGATTAGCTTCTATCGGTCGTATTCTACTCGGGCGCTTGACACTCCTTACTTCGTAGCACGTTACCCCGGCCCCATCTCACTGATCTACAAGGGCTTCACGTTTTTTCTCACCCTACTTCAACCTTAGGTTTGGAGACTGGAGAATGTTCGATTGCACCCCCTCACATTATAATTCTTTCAGAAAAAAATTCCCCGAAACCCACGCCCACGAGGAAAGAAAGATCGGTTCCATGTCACGTGGTCCACCTTATGAGGTCAAAGGAGAAATCAGCCTGTTTCTCTAAACCGACGGATCCGAGACTCAAGCTTTCTGGCCGACTGGCACACTTCTTGGAGGGGTTGGCTGCGTGACTGGTCCGCTTGCGGGTCTTGGCCCCCTCACTATCCCTAATTCAGCAGCGGAAGCCGGTACCGGCTGGAACGGTGAAATTCAGATGTCTTTCAGAGTTCACACTTACCGACTTTCTTCTAAAAATCTAATAATAATGCTCCTGCTCTGGTGTCAGGTCTCAGTTCCTTTCCCCTCCGCTTTCTCCTCCAGGTGGTTGCCCATGGGGTAGACAATAATGTCTCAGTCCCCGGAATTATGATATCAATGCATCAATATCACCTTGATAGTAGTCAGCTGACAATCCCCTTTTTCTGACAAACTTCCTGTCATGTATGAGTGAACTAGTTGATGGTACTATGATCTACGGTCGCATTGTGGCTGACATCTAGATTTATACTCAGAGTATATCTTTGACTATCGCCATCACGCAAACGCCGCATTGGGCTTCTTGAAGCTCACGGCGGTCTGATCCTAGTCATGTGGCGTTGCTCTGTCGAATTGAGATAAAACTCCATCGGAACTTTCAAGTAGATCAGCTGTAACCTTCCGGCTCTCTAAGAGTCTAAGCTCTGTCCCTGATCTTCTGGCTCGGAGTAGTACTTCGCGCATGGGCGAGGTTCGTGGTTTTGACTAGATACAATCATGTCTTCGTTGACCGTTGGCACCTGAAGAAACTAAGTCAAGCTTTTGAGGGTGCAACAGTATCATGTTGAGCTCATCGTTCCGGCAATGCAGAACCAACTTGTCGAGCTTCATGCTTTCTCCATCCTCATGAGAGTCCCCGGCTGGATTCTGGCATTGCATTCCACGGCATGTACTTCCGGCTCGCAGCCAAGACAACTCTGGTAACCCATAAATTATCCTATGTAGAAACGATCGTGTTTTCGGGCCTTGTGCGGAAATAGATGGTCAGCATATGCGCGTAAGTTCTCTTATCGGTCCTGGTCTCTCGAGTAAACAGTCTATTCCACCCAAGACACTGGGTCAAACCACAGTGCATTGCATTCTAGGCATTCTGTCTAAAAGAATCCAGCCCGTAGGCCCAAGTGCTCTGGCTGAATCTGTCGAGACTATAGGCGATAAGCACCGCTAATCTGTTTTTATGGAGGTTTGGTCATCTGGCACTCGGTTGAAAACTGATCGTACTCACCCTGTCTCTGAAGATCTCCGAACTTATCAGCTTCTGAGGCTCTGACTTTGTATGCTGATGCTTCGCAAAGCGAGCAGGTTGATATGGACCACTGATGTGGCTTGGATACTCAGCCCTAGTTAGGTGCCCTAAAATGAAGTCAGAAATGGTCAAGCTGTGGCGCAGCAGGCTGAATTCAGAATAGCGTGACTGACTAACAGCTGCTGCTCTGGTTGCGGCATCATCAAACCAGAACCCATAACCAGAGCTGAGTTCAAGCAAACAGTGATTGTAATCATCATCATTAACATCATTCTCATCGTCATTGTATCACATCACTCTTCTTTCTTCCCGGGCTCAGCCTACCACCTCTTCAGCCCAAGGAATGCCTCCTGATCTCAATTCTCTTCCACCATCCCGTTCCCCCTCATCCCCGCGTGCACCGCGGACAGTCCCCGCCTCTTCCGAATCTGTGTCAGCGGTCTCCCCTGCAGCGTCATCTACCACCATGAATAACAATACTAATGCCACGGACCTGTCCCGTCGGTCGTCACGCGCTTCGCCTCGTACAAGGTTGTCAATTTCAGAGCACCGCCGACCTCCCACAGGTACCAACTCAAACTTGAGCGAGTCCGAAATTCCCTCGGCCGAGCACCGTTCCTCCCTGAGCCATGCACTTCGCACGGCAAGTCCCACGATCGGAGGCAGCCCGATATTTGCTACAGGCGACCCGCACCACCAGCGTGCTCCGTCTCTAGGGGAGCTCCACCAGGAATTGGAGCAAGAACAAGAAGCGCAAGTGGTATGATTATCTATGCGCTATCCTCAAAAATGCAAATTGGCTATGCATGCTGATTGGGCAATAGAACCGACTGTTGCAGATGATTCGGAGTCAACAAGCCCAACTACAACAACTCCAGCAGCAGCAGCAGCAACAATCAGGCACTGCTGTTGAAGATTCCACACCACCGTCCGAACGGTCGGTCGGTGTCCCCATAATACCACCACTCCCTGCAGCTGGTAGCGGTCGGACATCCACTCAGTTTCCTTCATCCCTGTCTAGCCACCGGGCGTCGCGCCCTTCCAGCCAGACAGCCTCTCCCAGTCTTCGGCCGCTACCTTCTGCTTCTCTGCATGGAACGTCGGTCGACTCGTCCCGTGGGCCCGAAGGGTTGGACCTAGTAGCAGGCACCAGTGAG